CGGGGGTTTCTAGAGGGATTGTAAGTACTATACTGTTTTGTATGTACCGTTTGATGAATCATTACGTACTTTATTTACAAATATTTCATTCGCCATAATATATAATATATACTTTTGCTGTACGTGTTTGTGTTGGGATTGCAGACTTGCAGCTTTGTGTTGCTGTTGCCTCATAGATGAATGCTGTTGTGATCCCTCCATCGTCTTCGTCACCTAAGAATTAACACTAGCTACTATATTTTACTATACATCTTCATGTTATGTAATACACAGAATTAATATATTTTACTAAGTACATCTGTATTATGTAAAATTTAAATAATTACATTCATCATATTTATAAACTCGATCTGCATTAGACGACATTAATTAATTTGGTTGGGTTATTGTTTGATTCTTCGTGTGTATTAAAGTTTGATTCTTTCAGTTGTGGAATATTGTTTGATGTAATTCAATGGCTTTTGTAGTGGTTTGGGAATATATTCTTTGTTCAACATCATATATAAATAATAAAATAACCAAATTAGTTAACAGACTGTTGATTTAATAATAGTGATACAAGTACTAAGTACTTAAATTTGACAGTACTAAGTAGATTAGCAATCGTTATGCACTGGACCCGTGTCCAGCTTGCAAGCTGGACACGGGTAACAGTGCTAACGGCACTGTTAACTTTTTTTTTTTTTTTTTTTTTTTTTTTTTCAATTTCAGACTGTTTTGTTATAGGAGTATATATTCATAATTTTATTACTATATGTTAATAATTATACATTCATAACTCCATAACTGTACATTCATAACTCTATAACTGTACATTCATAACGTCATAACTGTACATTCATAACTCCATAATTGTACATTCATAATTTTCGAAGCTCTATGTTCACAATTTTAGAGCTCTATGTTCATAATTTTATCACTATATGTTCATAATTGTAAGTTCATAATGTTAGAGCTCTTTGTTCATAATTCGATCAATAACTGTACATTCATAATTCCATAATTGTAGATTCATAATCTCATAACTGTAGATTCATAACTCCATAACTGTAGATTCATAACTCTATAACTGTACATTCATAATCTTCGAAGCTCTATATTCACAATTTTAAAGCTCAATGGTCATAATTTTATCACTATATATGTTCATAATTGTAAGTTCATAATGTTAGAGCTCTGTGTTCATAATTTCATAATTGCATAACTGTACATTCATAACGGCATAACTGTACATTCATAACGGCATAACTGTACATTCATAATCAAAAAAAAAAAATAACGCCGTTAACGCCGTTAACGGCAAAACACGCGCGAATTTTTTTTTTTTAACTAAATGACGCGTTTTTTTTAAAAAACGGCGTCGTTTTGGGCCCGTGTCCACAATTCAATGTGGACACGGGTCCAGAGCATAATTTGCCGTAGATTAGTAATAGACAAATTTTGGGCTTAAGAGTTGCCCGTCAAATGATAGGCCCATTGGGCTTATAAGTGTGAATACAAATCTTTGATGAAAAATTGTGTGGAGGAAAATGGAAATATTTTATTCGCTAAGGGCTTAATGCCAACAAAGGGGATCTTGCATGTCACAACAGTTTTGTTTAACGACACAAACGTGCGTTTGGCCGTCCACGTCACCTGCCTCATTGGGCCCCACCCTCTTCTTGCAGTAAAAACCCCTAATTTCACGGCTTATTAAAAATTAAAAATAAATAAATAAAACTCCAAATTACCTCCCGAAATCCCACGTCGCTCCACGTGTAATACGGGATGAATCTCGGCCGTCCGTGCCAGATGTTGCGGTCAGCACCATAGATGGCAAGGGAACCAACACCCACCGTCCGATCACGGCTCGCAACTCCATCGACGGCTTCCAAGCTGCCCGTAATTTCCCCGGTCAGATCTCATCGCCTTTAAGAGGCGACGTCTTCTTCTCTCATAACTCGCTCAATCCCTTCAGAGTTGAAACCCTAACCTCCTGCCCCCACAGCCTCCTTCGTTGTTTCACTTATACGTATATATATCCATTGCCGGCTGGCGGACGGAGGTTTTGTCTTATTCCGGCGAGCGCGTGACATTTCCGTTATATTTAATTCATGTTTTCTACACAACCTGAAACCTATCGGCTCGGCCTCGAATTCGCCGGAATTCAGCGCTTCTGCTGCAATTCATGGCGTCAGCAGCATTAGCTTGTCGTAATGAACTAAGTTGGGCTCAATCCTGTGCTGCTGGTGGTGGATTCATGGGGAAAACCCCTAACTCTCGTCCTCATTTGAAACCTAGCGCTAATTCTAACCCGAAGAAGAAACAGAAATATTTGCATCACGGAGTTAACGGCCGTCAGAACGATGATTTGCCTGCTGTTAAGCAAACGGCTCCGGACGATGCGTATTCGTTCAATCAGCCGCCTAAGGAAGCAAATGGCCTCAATTTTGGGAGCTATTTAACCTACAACGTCACGTCGTACTCGAAAGCAGAGCTCAGCGAGCTTCGGAAGCGGCTTGGCGCGGAGCTCGAACAGATTCGGAACCTCAGAGATCGAATTGAGTCGGGTCATTTCAGCACCAGCACTACTAATCCAAGACCCTACGGGAAGTCTAAGAAAATGCCGGGGAATAAAGAGCAGATATCTGTTGGATCTGACAGCGATCCGAGGAGGTTTTCAAATAAGAATGCCGGTGTTGTTTGCGGTGGTATCGGTGTTATCGATGTGGAGAATATGATGAAGGATTGCAGGCAGATATTGACGAAACTAATGAAGCATAAAAATGGCTGGATTTTTAATTCGCCTGTAGATGCAGCCTCCCTGGGTCTTCATGATTATCACCAGATTATCAAGAGGCCAATGGATTTGGGGACTGTGAAATCGAATATGGTAAAAAATTGGTATCCGAGCCCGGTTGAATTTGCTGCTGATGTGAGGCTGACTTTCAATAATGCGTTGCTGTACAACCCAAAAACGGATCAAGTTCATGGATGGGCTGGCATTCTTCTGGCTAGATTTGAGGAGTTATTTAAACCGATCCAAGATAAACTCGTTAAAGTCGAAGTCGAGAATGAAAGAAAGGAAATTTTGGGCGTTGATGAGTTCCATGGCAGTCATTGGAATCACATTTCGACTCCTGAGATTGCTAAGAAGCCAAAGCCTAGTCCAATCCCCCAGGTCCCGAAGAAGGAAGAAATCTTGCATAGTCAATCGAGTGCTTCAACACCATCAGTTCCGCCACTTCCGTCCAATCCTCCCTTGCGTAAGCAATCTCCTATTCCAGCTCCTTCTGCTATGACAGCACCAACTGCGAAGCCTATTCCAGTGAGAGGAACAACAGGGAAACAGCCGAAGCCAAGGGCTAAAGATCTAAACAAGAGGGAGATGAGTATGGAGGAAAAGCATAAACTTGGAGTTGGTTTGCAGAGTTTGCCTCAAGAGAAGATGCCCCAGTTGGTGCAGATTATAAGAAAGAGGAACGGGCACTTAGCCCAGGATGATGAGGAGATTGAGCTGGACATTGAAGCTTTGGACACCGAGACACTTTGGGAGCTTGATCGATTTGTAACCAATTGGAAAAAGATGGTTAGCAAAACAAAAAGGCAATCTTTGATTGGTAATTTGACAGCTCCAACTGCTGCTCCAACCACCTCTAATACTGAGGCTGACGAGGTAACCATACATAAATTACACATTTTCTACTGTCTTCATATTCTTGGTAAGCACCTGTTTGAAATGTTTTCTTATGTTTTGAGGTTTTGAAACCTTGCTTCATTTGCTTTATTGTTTCTTTAAAAAAAATTGTGCATCATTTGTTAATCTTGAACTGTAGTGGCTTACATCGATTTTGGCTTGCAGGATGCTGTCTTTGAGAAGAACGATTCTACAGAGAAGCCTAAAAGGATTGAAGTTGGGGATGAAGATGTTGACATTGATGATGATATGCCTGCAGCTAGCTTTCCCCCTGTTGAAATTGAGAAGGATGAAGCTGCTGGCCGAGAGCCTGATAACCGCAGTAGTAGCTCCAGTAGCTCTGGTAGCTCATGCAGTGATTCCTCTTCTTCTAGTGGTATATGTCCTTCCGAGAGCAGTTTTGATGATAATTTATTGATGCTTGGTATTAATTCTGTTGGGGGAACATTGTTTGACGGGATGTGTAATGTTCATGGAATATAGGTTCTGATTCAGGGAGTTCTTCAGGCAGTGATTCAGATGCTGATGATGCACAGTCTTGACACTTATTTATCTGGAGTTGCAGAGGCTTTGGGCATCATGTTTGCTTCCTCTCTAGTCTCTATGTATGTGTGTTATCTATCAAGGTAGCTAATAACTGTAATGAATTCATGTTATTTCTATTTGTATTTCTTTTAGAGTGAACTGATGTGTGATTGAACTTTTTCTCAGGGGGATATTTTCCAGATTGATAACTAACTACTGTGGAACTTGCTTGGTGGGATGCAATGTTGAAAGATGCATGCCTTGGGTAGCACTTTGAATTTTTTTTTTTAACTAAATGACGCGTTTTTTTTAAAAAACGGCGTCGTTTTGGGCCCGTGTCCACAATTCAATGTGGACACGGGTCCAGAGCATAATTTGCCGTAGATTAGTAATAGACAAATTTTGGGCTTAAGAGTTGCCCGTCAAATGATAGGCCCATTGGCTTATAAGTGTGAATACAAATCTTTGATGAAAAATTGTGTGGAGGAAAATGGAAATATTTTATTCGCTAAGGGCTTAATGCCAACAAAGGGGATCTTGCATGTCACAACAGTTTTGTTTAACGACACAAACGTGCGTTTGGCCGTCCACGTCACCTGCCTCATTGGGCCCACCCTCTTCTTGCAGTAAAAACCCCTAATTTCACGGCTTATTAAAAATTAAAATAAATAAATAAAACTCCAAATTACCTCCCGAAATCCCACGTCGCTCCACGTGTAATACGGGATGAATCTCGGCCGTCCGTGCCAGATGTTGCGGTCAGCACCATAGATGGCAAGGGAACCAACACCCACGTCCGATCACGGCTCGCAACTCCATCGACGGCTTCCAAGCTGCCCGTAATTTCCCCGGTCAGATCTCATCGCCTTTAAGAGGCGACGTCTTCTTCTCTCATAACTCGCTCAATCCCTTCAGAGTTGAAACCCTAACCTCCTGCCCCCACAGCCTCCTTCGTTGTTTCACTTATACGTATATATATCCATTGCCGGCTGGCGGACGGAGGTTTTGTCTTATTCCGGCGAGCGCGTGACATTTCCGTTATATTTAATTCATGTTTTCTACACAACCTGAAACCTATCGGCTCGGCTCGAATTCGCCGGAATTCAGCGCTTCTGCTGCAATTCATGGCGTCAGCAGCATTAGCTTGTCGTAATGAACTAAGTTGGGCTCAATCCTGTGCTGCTGCTGGTGGTGGATTCATGGGGAAAACCCTAACTCTCGTCCTCATTTGAAACCTAGCGCTAATTCTAACCCGAAGAAGAAACAGAAATTTTGCATCACGGAGTTAACGGCCGTCAGAACGATGATTTGCCTGCTGTTAAGCAAACGGCTCCGGACGATGCGTATTCGTTCAATCAGCCGCCTAAGGAAGCAAATGGCCTCAATTTTTGGGAGCTATTTAACCTACAACGTCACGTCGTACTCGAAAGCAGAGCTCAGCGAGCTTCGGAAGCGGCTTGGCGCGGAGCTCGAACAGATTCGGAACCTCAGAGATCGAATTGAGTCGGTCATTTCAGCACCAGCACTACTAATCCAAGACCCTACGGGAAGTCTAAGAAAATGCCGGGGAATAAAGAGCAGATATCTGTTGGATCTGACAGCGATCCGAGGAGGTTTTCAAATAAGAATGCGGTGTTGTTTGCGGTGGTATCGGTGTTATCGATGTGGAGAATATGATGAAGGATTGCAGGCAGATATTGACGAAACTAATGAAGCATAAAAATGGCTGGATTTTTAATTCGCCTGTAGATGCAGCCTCCCTGGGTCTTCATGATTATCACCAGATTATCAAGAGGCCAATGGATTTGGGACTGTGAAATCGAATATGGTAAAAAATTGGTATCCGAGCCGGTTGAATTTGCTGCTGATGTGAGGCTGACTTTCAATAATGCGTTGCTGTACAACCCAAAAACGGATCAAGTTCATGGATGGGCTGGCATTCTTCTGGCTAGATTTGAGGAGTTATTTAAACCGATCCAAGATAAACTCGTTAAAGTCGAAGTCGAGAATGAAAGAAAGGAAATTTTGGGCGTTGATGAGTTCCATGGCAGTCATTGGAATCACATTTCGACTCCTGAGATTGCTAAGAAGCCAAAGCCTAGTCCAATCCCCAGGTCCCGAAGAAGGAAGAAATCTTGCATAGTCAATCGAGTGCTTCAACACCATCAGTTCCGCCACTTCCGTCCAATCCTCCCTTGCGTAAGCAATCTCCTATTCCAGCTCCTTCTGCTATGACAGCACCAACTGCGAAGCCTATTCCAGTGAGAGGAACAACAGGGAAACAGCCGAAGCCAAGGGCTAAAGATCTAAACAAGAGGGAGATGAGTATGGAGGAAAAGCATAAACTTGGAGTTGGTTTGCAGAGTTTGCCTCAAGAGAAGATGCCCCAGTTGGTGCAGATTATAAGAAAGAGGAACGGGCACTTAGCCCAGGATTGATGAGGAGATTGAGCTGGACATTGAAGCTTTGGACACCGAGACACTTTGGAGCTTGATCGATTTTGTAACCATTGGAAAAAGATGGTTAGCAAAACAAAAAGGCAATCTTTGATTGGTAATTTGACAGCTCCAACTGCTGCTCCAACCACCTCTAATACTGAGGCTGACGAGGTAACCATACATAAATTACACATTTTCTACTGTCTTCATATTCTTGGTAAGCACCTGTTTGAAATGTTTTCTTATGTTTTGAGGTTTTGAAACCTTGCTTCATTTGCTTTATTGTTTCTTTAAAAAAAATTGTGCATCATTTTGTTAATCTTGAACTGTAGTGGCTTACATCGATTTTTGGCTTGCAGGATGCTGTCTTTGAGAAGAACGATTCTACAGAGAAGCCTAAAAGGATTGAAGTTGGGGATGAAGATGTTGACATTGATGATGATATGCCTGCAGCTAGCTTCCCCCTGTTGAAATTGAGAAGGATGAAGCTGCTGGCCGAGAGCCTGATAACCGCAGTAGTAGCTCCAGTAGCTCTGGTAGCTCATGCAGTGATTCCTCTTCTTTCTAGTGGTATATGTCCTTCCGAGAGCAGTTTTGATGATAATTTATTGATGCTTTGGTATTAATTCTGTTGGGGGAACATTTGTTTGACGGGATGTGTAATGTTCATGGAATATAGGTTCTGATTCAGGGAGTTCTTCAGGCAGTGATTCAGATGCTGATGATGCACAGTCTTGACACTTATTTATCTGGAGTTGCAGAGGCTTTGGGCATCATGTTTGCTTCCTCTCTAGTCTCTATGTATGTGTGTTATCTATCAAGGTAGCTAATAACTGTAATGAATTCATGTTATTTCTATTTGTATTCTTTTAGAGTGAACTGATGTGTGATTGAACTTTTTCTCAGGGGGATATTTTCCAGATTGATAACTAACTACTGTGGAACTTGCTTGGTGGGATGCAATGTTGAAAGATGCATGCCTTGGGTAGCACTTTGCAGGAGCAGCCAGAAGTGAAGCTCTGGTATTGAGAAGGCTATATTCATGGTCCACTTTTCAGTGAGAGGTTTAGTTAGCTGAGATTGCCAATACCTTTCATTTCCTATTCAATTCTTTCATATTCTTGTTTGGGAAAGTGTTGTTTTGGGAGTTTGTTTCATGTTGGAAAATTCACCACGAATCAGATCATTTGGGCAGTTTCCCTTCTGGAAGAAATGAAATACCTTCTAAGCTAAGATGCTAGGATGTCAGATGGTTGTATGGTTTCTGGGCATGAATTTGGTGGGTGTCTCATCCTTTAGAACAGTTGGGAGATGTCCAAATTCTGGTGGTTGGCTGTCATCCAAGTTTAGGTTTTGAATTTAGATATAATATTCTGTTGTATACAAGGTGCTAGGACGTCTGTATCAAATAGATTTTCTTGTACCTTAGCTACGGATATTCTTTTAACCTTTGAGTTTTGAGAGGCATATGTGCCTTTGAGTGAAATCTGTGTTTTAATGCAAGTGAATCCACACTGAACTTTAAATGATCTGTCAATCCTATCACGTATATAATTAAGGAGGCTTCTTTTGCACTGAATTTCAAGTCTGTACGCGAACCTGACACTGACAGCGTAAGCGTAACAACAGATGGATTTATGGCATTGCTCGACCCCATTTCGTTTCGCAACCTCTGGTTGGGTTTAATTATTGTTTTTTTCTAACTTGACAACTATATCTATACAGTACCGAAATACCCGTCAATTGAGTAATGGACACAAATAATAAGCAAAGGCACCATTTATTCATACGGTAAAAAGATTATCTCAATCCCATATAGTTCTCAAAAAAATTTATCAGTATCCTACAAAGTTTGTCAGGATGCAAGAGCCAACTGAGCCATGGTTTCTCAAGTGTAAATACAAAATGCTTGAAAATTGAAGTTCTGATAATAGAGGATTGGAACCTCTCATTTTCTAAAGGGAAGATGATCAAATATTTTTATCTCATTACTTGGAGAAAAAAAAAAAAAAAACTAGTTCAATTTTGGGACTAACATTATCTACTTCTTGACTTCCTCGTAATCGGCCTCAGGAGCCTGCTCGCCACCTTGAGCACCACCGGAGGCAGCACCGCCAGACCCACCAGACATGTGCTCTCCGATCTTTGAAACAGCTTTGTTTGCTGCATCAAGCTTGGATTTGATGTCGTCAATGTTTTCACCAGCCATGGCTGTTCTCAAGTCTGACACAGCAGATTCAATTTCTGAAATGACCTCCTTGGGAACCTTGTCTTTGTATTCGTTCACACTCTTCTCAATACTGTAGATAGTAGTGTCTGCATTGTTCTTTAGATCAATCAAAGCCTTCCTTTCTTGATCTTTCTGGGAATGCATCTCAGCTTCCTGCACCATCTTCTCAATCTCACTTTCTGAGAGTCCTCCAGATGACCGGATGGTGATTTGCTGTTCTTTGGCAGTAGCCTTGTCCTTAGCTGAAACTGTGACAATACCGTTGGCATCAATGTCAAATGTCACTTCTATCTGAGGCATGCCTCTTGGAGCAGGAGGAATACCCACAAGCTCAAATTCACCAAGGAGCTTGTTATCAGATGCCATTTCACGTTCACCCTGGAGTACTTTAATACCAACCTGTGTTTGGTTGTCAGCAGCTGTAGAGAACACCTGAAAAGTTGCAAAGCAGCAAGTAATCAGATGTCAACTAGTATAGTCATTTTCCCAAACAACATTTTTCTCCCAAATAAAACTGATCTTACCTGGCTTTTCTTTGTGGGAATGGTAGTATTCCTGTTAATCAACCTAGTGAAGATACCTCCCAATGTCTCAATACCAAGAGACAATGGAGTGACATCCAGGAGAAGCAACTCTTTCACATCTCCACGAAGAATGCCACCTTGAATTGCAGCTCCCATTGCAACTGCCTCATCAGGATTCACCCCCTTGCTTGGGGACTTTCCAAATATCGCAGCAACCACCTCCTGCACCTTTGGAACACGGGTCATACCACCAACAAGTAGAACCTCATCCACTTCCTTGGTAGATATTCCTGCATCCTTCAAACAATTCTTGCATGGATTCTTAGTCCTCTCAATCAAATCATTAACCAAAGCCTCAAATTTTGATCTGGTCAAAGTGATATTAAGATGCTTTGCTCCCGATGCATCAGCAGTGATAAATGGCAAATTGATTTCAGTTTGAGATGTTGATGAAAGCTCTATTTTAGCTTTCTCAGCAGCCTCACGAAGCCTTTGCAGGGCAAGTTTGTCTTTTGAAAGATCAATGCTCTCTGTTCTTTTAAACTCATTGACCAAGAAATCCAACAAAGCATTGTCAAAGTCCTCTCCTCCCAAAAAGGTGTCACCGTTAGTTGCTTTGACCTGTCATGAAAGCAATAAACCAAGTTTAGAAGCTAACATAATGTTAAACACACTCAACAGTGCTAAACAACTTTACATACCTCAAAAACACCATTTGAAATCTCCAGAATGGAAATATCAAAGGTTCCACCACCAAGATCAAAAACTGCAACAAGACCTTCTTTATTGTTCATACCATAAGAAAGTGCAGCAGCAGTGGGCTCATTAATAATCCTTTCTACATCAAGACCAGCAATTCGCCCAGCATCCTTTGTTGCCTGCCTTTGGGCATCATTAAAATAAGCTGGAACAGTGATCACAGCCTTTGTTACAGTCTTTCCCAGATAAGATTCTGCAGTTTCCTTCATTTTTGTTAGAACAAAGGCTCCAACTTGACTTGGAGAATATTGTTGTCCATTCGCTTCCACCCAAGCATCTCCATTGGGAGCTTTCACAATTTTGAATGGAACCATTTTCATTTCCTTCTGTGTCTGGGGATCATCAAAGCGTCTACCAATTAGACGTTTGGTCCCAAAGAGAGTGTTTGTGGGATTTGTGACAGCCTGACGTTTGGCTGGTGTACCAACAAGTAATTCTCCTTTCTGGTTAAAAGCAACTACAGAAGGTGTGGTACGAGATCCTTCAGAATTTTCAATCACTTTAGGAGTCTGCAAAAGATTTAAGCATCAGGGCCTGTAAACTTTTTTTTTTTAAACAACAACCAAAAAGAAGTCTGGCTTCTCAAGTGAACAAAAACAAGTTATTAATTCCAACATACCTTGCCCTCCATGACAGAAACACAGGAGTTTGTGGTACCCAAGTCAATGCCTATAATATCATTTCCAGCTGGTTTTGAGCTGCAACAAAATGAAAAACTTAAGATCAGAAATGAAAACAAAACTTCCAAAATCAAAGACTTCTGGATGTGAAATAAAGATACCTAAATGGTCTGGCCAGGCTAGCCCATCTAGCACTTCCGATTGAGGGATTAGTGTTGGCAGCAAACTGCACATTCCATGTTGAATACACATTTAGTTCCAACAAAGCTAAATACAACAGAGATAATTGATAATTTGATATAGAGTAATACTAGATGCAGTCCATATTTGGATAAGAGACAGTTCAAACTTGTATACTCCATCTAGCTAACTAGGCAAATAATCTAGACTTTCATTAAACAACAAGGATTTACAACATAACACTCGACCAAAGAGCTAACTCTCAGGAGCATAAATTCAAAAATAAAAATAAAAAACCAAAGCTATTCCTAGAAACCTGGAACTCAACCAGACAATACTACCTTAACGTACATCCATACCGAATCCAACAAGGAAGAAATGAACAATACGCAGAAATGATCGAAGAGAATACAGGCGAAGAACTTACGGCCTTGTAGGCAGAGAGAGAGGAGGTAGCAAGGTCACGGCGACGGAGAGATCTGAGCAAGACGGCGGTCGCCATTTGATCAGTGATGCAGCGTTTGCTCCTTCGGCTTTGCTTCCGGAAGTTTCTGTTGCTTAGGGTTTAGGGTTTTAGAGAGAGGCTGAGTGAAATGCGTCGAGGCGGCGAGTAGATCTTTCTAGGGAGACTGGGGAGGGATTGAGAGAGTGTATATATATGACGTGTGGTATTGCTGGGTCAGAACGTTCTAGATTATTGCCTTCCACATTTTACTTTCCATTTTTAATTATCTGCTATTTTGTTTAGTCAAAATACAGCAATTTTTATTTTTTATTTTTAATTTTTAATTTTAATGGAGAGGAAACCATAGTTACACTAGAAAAATAATGTTCTAGATTATTGTCTTCTTAATGATGTGCGCTAGATAAATTATATAAAAATAATTAATAAATCACACTCAAAAAATTAGTATAACTAGTTGAATAAAAAAAGTTATTAATAATAAAATTCATAATTTTTTGATACAAAAATTATGCTCATTTGAATAACAATATATTTAGACTATAATTATTAATCTCATATATAATATACTAATATGTTTAAGGACCAATATTATATAATTGAGAATTTAATATAATTCTATAACAAAAATTTACCACTTTACTTTTCATTTATTCCAATATTTTGATTATCTTCGAGAAGTTCTTTTTCTATTTTTGTCAAATTATTGTACTCAGAAGTGATATACATGCTATAATGTCGAGACAAAAGGTCACACATACGGGTGATATACATGCTACAATATCGGGACAAAGAGTCATACACATACGGGTAGTAAAAATTTATTTGATTCTCTAACCAACATACATGCTACAATGCTTAGACAAAAGGTCATACTCGCATAAGGTAGTATCATTTTGCAATTATTATAACGTTTCAATAAACGAATAAAAGAAATTTGAAATATAATGATTATCTATTTATGATTCTTATAGGTGGAATGCTCTAGCCTCTAGATATTGGTTAAAAATTTAATCTTTATCACCAACTTCATGGTTCTTCCAATGCTAGATTTACACAACTAAACACAATAGTCACTGATCTTGAAACTTGATTGGTTCCTGGTCCTCAGCAAGCCTTTTCTGATCCATGAGGTCTCCATTCTCAGGCTGTTAACAAGTTTTTTCTGGAGAAATGACACAAAACTACAATCATTGTGGTAGAGGTGAGATAAACTCGGCAAATTATTGTATGGACCATAAAGTACATTATTTGATAGTATAGTCCAGACAGCTGTATGAACCATGGTCCACACAATAATGATTGAATAAACTCACCACAGTACAAATTTTGAGTGCCAATGTCTTTGATAGTTTGATCCTAGTGTAGCCGCAGGTAGCCTTCTTTTCTGGTGGCTCTTTCTGCACTTCCAGTTCCTCTTTTAACAAAAGATCTTTGGTTAATAGACCAACTTCTTTTCATAGCCTGCTTTCGTCTCCAGGCCATTATTTTGTTATAAAGAGACGGGAAAAGAAAGCACAGAAGGAGAAACAGTAACATAGCAAGGCAGAGTTGCATGACATTTCGGAAGCCATCCTGCAACTCTGGTTGCTTTTGGTTTGTCCAAGGAACTCCTCCAACGTTCATCCCAAACACTGTCAGTGGAAAGAAAGGAATTCATATCAGATAGTATGTGAGGGTTGGTTAGAAGTTGAACTAATTAAAACGCTACTTAAAGTTAAAGAGAGAATGTCACCTCACCTCCAGTTATAACTGATAAAGGAAGAAATATTATGGAAAGGAAGGAGAGGTAATACAGTCTCCTATTAATTTGGGCAGACTGCCAACTGTCAAGACCAGCCTGCACTGCTGTAACACGATTGGCTATGAACCCAACATTCTCCTTCAGTCTCCTAAGCCGACCAATTAACTCTTCCAGGGAGACGATGTCTTCGTGGGCAAACCAATCTTTTGAAGAGCACTTCTCCTTGACTCGCAGAAATACTTGCTCTCCATGTGCAATTGCCTGCAATGCCATTTTAGATGAAAGTACATCTATAAGCTCTAATACTACATCTCGTTAGTGCTTGTTTGGTTCAGCTTTTCTAGAGCTTATCAGCATAGAGAAGTAGAAGCTGGGCCAAACAGCAAAGATATATAAAGGATTTCCAGGCTAGATAACAGGAAAAAGCTTTTCAACAAATTCTATTGTTCTAAATTGAGGCTTTTAAAGAAGCCAGTAGCCTGCCAAAACAAGCATTTAAGTATTAGCTATATGAATAGGCAACTATAATATGCAAAGTAGCGAGATCTACTATTCCAAACAATCTGTCTGCAATAAGAAAGCGTGAATACTAAACGAGGAATAAGCCAAACATATTAGAAGTCCAGAACAGAAGTCCCTATAACCCAAAAAGCATCTCCCTAGCAGAGAGGTGGGGAAGATTTTGATCTACAGTTCTCATGAAAGGAAGAGAAAGCATAGGACATTCTGGCAAGAAAAAAATGATTCAGTTCTTTCATATATTGGTTCTCAAGAGCAAAGGTACCTACTCTAGATGGCTACCAACAGCAAAATACAGCTTATAGAACTACCAAACCTGACAATGTGAGCATGTAATCTGGAATTCACATTCTTGACGTTTAATCCTCAATAACTGAACATAAATTAGATTTATTTTTGAAATGGTTGAGTGGCTTCTCTTGTTCTAAAACTGTAGTAAAATGTGGAATGAGAATGTGAAGGCCATTACCACGTCCATGTAGCAAACTAACAATTGCGCCTCTATTTTCACTATAAATTACTTCTTAGAAACCAAACAAAGTAACTAACTCTAGTTTTCCCAAATCCAAAGGAAGTTGTATGATAGGTAGATAAGGCTGTAAAACTACCTGCAAGAGACGTTGTAAGTCAAGATGCATTTTTGGAAATCTTCTATCATCCAGCATTTGTTTCTTTAGAGCTGATCCACCTGGAACCAAACCAGAAACCAAGCACAACCCATAAAACAACTGAGAAAAAGAAAGGTTTAAGACACAGGATGCAATTGACATATAACACATACAGAGAAGCCAGTGAAACGTTTAATATTGCTAATTAATCTCTGACCCGTTCGCCATTGCACATTTAACATTAAGGGCAAACATACCTCTATCCAACTCCAACTCCACTGTATCTAACTCAAGCTCGAGATTTGTCACAACATCTTGAAGCTGATCCACATGTGTGTCTATGAAGTGAACAACAAGATTTGACACTGATTTAGGAACGGGATTATCAGCTTCCTCGGAGTGATTCATTGTCAGTAGAAAATCAAGAAAATGCTCTCTGATCACAATCCCGCTTCTTTCCCTTTGTTCCGTGCTATTATGACTAGGACTTTCCACAACCGGAACCTCTGAAAGAAGAGAATCATTCACGGGAGAGAAACCTAATCTTGGCAGACGACCCAACGAAACAGTGATCACTGAATGCTCAGTGACTCTTGCAGAAATTCTAAACGTAAATTTACTCATGGCAGGACCAGGTGAATTTACCCTAAAGACAAGAGCACCATCAACATGCCCACAAAAGGGTCCGTTGCTAACGAGGGACAGAATGTCTTGGAGCTTCAATGGAGGGCAGAGAACATCAATAAGATACTGTGCAGATTGCGAAATCTTGTGGTTCAGCTTAGGAAGTTCCACATGGTACCAACAAAACTCTTTCCCTCTACCCTCTGACAAATCCCATTCCTTGTTGAAGTAGCCCCCTTCTCCATCAAAAATATATGCTTTCACTCTCACAGCCCCCGAACAACGCACCAGAAAATCATTATTCTCCCCAATATTAGTATGTGTTAGTGGCATTGTTTCCATTTCCTCTTCTACTTCTCCCCCTCTCTCTCTGTTCATCCTCTCATGAATAAGTTCCATGTTCATAAAAACTTTCACTCATCAGCTAAAGTAAAAAAGAATAAGAAACCCCGATACAAGCAAGCTCTTTTGTTCAACAATCGCTCGAAGTTCTAGAAGAACAACAATTCAGTTTAGAAAGGATGAAGCACACGCCAATAACCTCCGCCTAATCAGCGCAATTATAACAGAATTCAATGAACACTGGATATAAATGAAATCAAAAGAAATGAAAATCTCGAGTAATCTGAAATCTGCAACAAATTCATGAACACCAGATTACCCGATAGTCATGCACCAACTTCGCATCATATCTATTCTCACCAATTAAGCAGGGGTTTTACCTCGTTCAAACAGCTCAAAGAAACTGCAAGCAACTCCGGTATAAATCCAATCATGAAAATCCCTACAAAACCAACCAAAAACCACCCAAATACAAATGGTTCTATGTAAGCCGCCGAATGAAGAAAAGCGAACGAAACTTTAGGAAAGAAACTGTGTATGATTTTCTCTGCGTGTACTCAAAGTCAACTCACAAATGCGATCATGGAAACGAATGAAGAAGTCGGAAATCGGAAAGAAGACCTGCTCTATCTAGAATTCTGACCAAAGAATGAAACTTTCCTCTAAACCACCGTCACCTCCAATTTCCGAATGGGAGCTGATTTTCTTTTCCACAGTAAATTTGACTTCCGTATATGTTTATCGCAGTAACCTTTTACAGTTTTACTTGATCCTCCCATTTCAGTTAGGAATTTAGGTCATTCCACATCATCTACCGGTCCCATTTTATGTGTTGAGTTTGGTTAAAGAGACTAAAATTATTTACAATTTAATTTTCATAATATTAAGTTTAAAATTAGAATAACAAAATTATGATAAAAATTTGTGTGAGACTATTTCACGGATCCCTGTTCATTGTACGGGTTGGGTCAAAATGAATTTTATTATTTACAAACTTAATAAGAGTCAATAAAATTAAGTCGTTGGAACTAAAAAAAAATATTGGTGTAATTATTAGTTGAAATGAATGATTCATATTAGTTTGATTTTAATATTTTTATTGCACCATTAATCCAACATTTCTGCCACATGTTATATTTATCGATTCTTTGAAATATTTATTTTTTATGAAAAAATTAATAATCTTGCATTGATATATGTCAGGATACCGAATGATACTTTCATAAAATCTGAAACACTAATTTAGAAATACAAATTGAGTATTAGCCTATTCGCACAATGAGCGTGAACACTAATTTAGAAATACAAATTGAGTAATAGACTATTCGCGCAATGAGTGTGTGACAACGGATATCTAGTTATCTACTATACTAATAATAGTCCAAGAGAGTTAGGTCTATAATGAGTAGAAAAAATGATGGTCAATTTTTTTTTTAATCAAATGAATGGCTCAAATGAATCAAATTTTAATTTTTCCTTAAATTTCATAATTTTTTACTATACTAATAAGAGCCCAAGAGAGCTAGGCCCATAATCGATAAAAAAATGACGGTCAAATTTTTTAATGAAATGAATGACTCAATTTAATCAAATTTTAATTTTTTTTTTAGATTTCTTAATTCATCATTAATTATATGATTATTCGTTAATTTTTCCGTTAAATATTATCTTGTCCATTAATTTATGTTAGTTCACTTTAAGTTCTCATTGATTTTAATAAAAAAAGTCTTAGGTTTGAATCTCATCCCAATCAAAATTGACATAATTAGTACTCTATTTTATTCTTATTAAATTACTAGTTAAGCTAAGTTTGAAAATAATTTTAATAAACTTTAGTTATTACAATATTTTTTGACACAAACAAATTGTACACATATTGTAATTCTCATTAATTATTACTGTCAACAATACTAATTTTTTCTATAATTGTAATTTTTAAAATTTGAAGGGTCTAATTAATCAACTTTTGGCCTAAAATTTAGGGCATATTTATCCATTATTTCTCATATATGTACCAAAAATTAAGAATGTTTGAGTATAACAGTGAATTAATGACATATATTACATGCATGATCTATCATGTCAATGGAGTTGTGTTGATGACCAGTAATGATCTGGGGTAGGTCCTGTTTTGCCTTCAATGGCGGCGATTTTGAAGCGGCAAAATGGGCAACAATTGTTTCTCATCAACCACTTGAGAATGCAGCGTTCATGGGTGTAGTGAGAGCAAGGCAACCGGGCAACCTCCGACCCAACACACATATCTATCAAACAGATACCGCAGCTCTCTTCCTCGCCGTCGCCGTCGCCGTCGCCGCCGCCTTCCAACTTCACCCTCTCGATCGCCTGAGACTGCAGCACCAGCATTCGCCACTCCATCTCCCTCTGCGGCCGCCAGAGGGTGCCGTTAGCCCTTCCACGCGCCGCCTCTAGCTCCTCCTTGGACAGCTTCACGAACTTGGAGATCTGTAGCTTCACATACGGATATCTCTCGTCGCTGTTATCGTCTTCTTGCTTGCGCACCAAGTTCTTCACGTCCCGGAGAAACAATGCGAGATGAACAACCATGCCGTTCCAGTTCACGACGGGGACTTGTTCGAACACATTGTCACCGATTTTCTTCCAGAAGAGCTGCTGTGCGTCTTGCAGAGGGAAAGGCACGTTCATGAGATCAACCAACCGGTTCACGGCGGCGACGCCGCTCTCCGGACAGGAAAAGTCGTCGCAATTTACCCACAACTCGTAACTGGTATTGTACTGTACGACGTCGTAATGGGTCGCTTTACGATTAGGGTTGGGGTGGATAATGCGAACTGTAAATGTGACGGGGAAACATCCGACCCGTCGCGGCGATTTGGATCGCGTCGGAGGCATTGTCGTCTGCAAACCTTGGACAACTACGTACTCGTCGGAGTTGCTGGGTGGCGACGTTGCAGAGCTTTGTTGTTTCATGGTTTAATCTTGGAAGAGATGGAATTAGAGTTCAGTTAATTGAGATCGATCTTGGGTTTTGGTCTCTCTTTCTATATATATATATATATATATATATATATATATATATATATATATATATATATATATATAAAGGGAGAAAGAGAAATATCGGTTTCAATTTGAGATTAAGAAATATATGATCGATGTTGCGTTGCTTTATTTTGTTGGTTTCTTAATTAGTTTTGGAAGGTGTTCAAGATTGTCAACCCATGGAGATTCAATAATTAAGGAAAGCAAATTAGGAAATTTCCTCTTTGTCTTGAATGATAAATTTTGATTTTTTAAAAATATTATTAAATATGATCTTTATTAAGAAAGAAAGGAAAATTAGAAAGTTTTGAGCATAATTTAATCTAATTTGATCACTGTGTGATATTTTGAGCATAATTTAATCTAATTGAGTTTTTTTTTTAAAAAAAAATAATCTAAATTCCGTTTTAACTTCTTTAAAAAAAAAAAAAATTAGGAGTGGAAATGGCTCTACAGTTTTAACTATTTTTTTTTTTAAATTTTATAAAATATAGAAGTGTTTTGGAGAAATCATTCTCAAAACGCTAAGTGAAAATATTGTAAATTGCAATGTTTGTATTTTCAGTGGCTTGGAACAAATTATTGCTTCAAACTGTTGAATAACCAAACACTTTTTTTAGCATTTTGATATCTGAGTTACATCATATTTACCAATCGTCCAATATCTTTGGATTACATTATAATTAAAAATTTTAAATGTTTACTACTTCATCTAAATTCTCTTATCCATAATAATTTATTCAACAATAATGGTACGGTTAAACTAAATGAACACTGAGCAAAACACCTAAATAATTGGTACCGTTGATTCATTGATTGATCTTGTATATATGTGCATTCATTAAATATATTAGAACTCTTTGCAACAAAAATACTTGATTACTATTTAAAAAAAAAATTACTAACAATTATAATAAATCTCCTATATTACATTATATTCATATACTATGAGTTACATATTTAAATAAACAAATTTGACATTAAATTATTTATGTATGAAGTTCTCATATATAATTTTGTATTGATATACTTTCACATATTTATTTAATTGTAAACATTGGGCAATAACTGATTCTCGTTAGTATATTTCTTATAAGAGCAACCACTATTCACAACATCTTTTCCCTATTGGTAAATCTTAAAGTATTCCACGCATGTCGTGGCACGACATTACATCTCCATGTATACAGCTTGAAAAAAACAAATTAAATAAAAAAAGATGGCTTGAGAAAAATAAATAAAAAAAGACGGCTGAAATTTCGTTGACAACATTAAGTCAACCCAGTACCTCCAAACGCACTTAGCTTGCATGCATGTCGCTGCAATGCTGGATGCATAATAATCTTGGAATATTATAATGGCGAGTCATTGGTATTTAAAGAATTTCTTGATGGGGAAGAAGGTATCATAGGCTCAAGGATCTGCTCGATCGATCTTCTAGGCTTTCTTGATGTCTGTTTTAGTTGTTATCAGATAAGAAACAGCCATGGGGGATTATTGCAGTTTCTTCCTTCTTTTCTTGTTGATAATAATCCCTTTAGTTCACTCACTATCCTTCAATTTCGATCGGTTCACCCCCTCCAACGCTCAGAATCTTACGTTTGAGAGAACATCTATGGTGAACACCTCAATCCAGCTAACGTCGGACCGGCTAGCGAGCATCGGCCGGGCGACGTATGCCCAGCCGCTGCATCTCTGGGACAACGCGACGGGGAAGCTCTCGGCGTTCAACACCCACTTTGACTTTGTCATTGATTCCAAAGGCAGCAACAGGTACGGCGACGGTTTCGCGTTCTTCCTGGCGCCGGTTGGCTCCCGGATTCCGCCCAACGCCACCAAAGGCGGCGGTTTTGGCCTCGCCAATGACGCCGAGCGCTTGAACGCTAGTAAAAACGCGTTCGTTGCTGTGGAGTTCGATATTTATCTGAACGATGAGTACGATACTCAGGCGAAGCATGTTGGGATTGACGTGGATTCTCTGCAGTCCGCTGTTACTCAGACATGGCTTCCAGACATTGAGGGCGGGAAGCCAAACCAGGCCTGGATTAACTATGATCCTGGGTCCATGAATCTAAGCGTTGTGTTCAGTACTATAATAAACAACAGAAGTACATTCGACCGGTTGTCATATGTTGTTGATCTAAGGAAGTTCTTGCCAGAACAGGTCACTTTCGGGTTTGCCGCTGCAACTGGAAACCGATCAGCACTGCAGATGATTAATACATGGAATTTCACGTCAACCTTTAATAACCAGACAGATCCAGCAGTCCACACTAAGGGCCTCCGGCCGGGGCTTGTTATTGGTGTGGTTGTAGGAGGGTGTTTTCTGGTTGGAGGCTCCGCCGTGGCACTTTTATTTCTGGTGTGGAGAAAGAAGAAGATGAGGGAAAAAGTTGATGACGATATCTTTGGTGACCTTGGAGGGGGGGCCGGGCCAAAAAGGTTTACATATCGGCAGTTGACAAGAGCTACAAATAACTTTTCACAGCAAGCAAAACTCGGAGAGGGAGGATTCGGGAGTGTTTATAAGGGCTACTTGAAGGAACTTGATTCGTATATTGCTGTGAAAAGGGTGTCAAGGGGATCCAAGCAAGGGATCAAGGAATATGCATCAGAAGTGAGGGTGATTAGCCGGATACGCCACAAGAATTTGGTGCACCTAATGGGTTGGTGCCATGAGAACAAAGACCTTCTACTAGTCTATGAGTTCTTGTCCAATGGCAGCTTAGACTCCCATCTTTACAAAGGCCAAAGCCTGTTGACATGGACACTAAGGTACAAGATTGTTCAAGATTTAGCCTCTGCATTACTCTACCTGCACGAAGAATGCGAAAAGTGTATTGTCCACAGGGACATAAAGTCCAGCAATGTCATGCTGGATTCAAACTTAAATGCCAAACTTGGAGATTTTGGATTAGCCAGACTGGTTGATCATGAAAAGGGATCGCGCACAACTGCCCTGGCAGGAACCATGGGGTACATAGCCCTTGAATGCGTCGTCTCAGGGAAGGCTAGCAAGGAAACAGACATCTACAGCTTCGGCGTTGTGACATTAGAGATAGCTAGTGGGAGAAAACCGATTGATCATGATGCCGATGAAGAGAGCCAAGTGAACATTGTAGAATGGGTGTGGAAACTGTATGGAACTGGGCATCTTCTTGAAGCTGCGGATCCAAATCTTTCGGTGGAATTTAGTGAAAGAGAAGTGGAACAGATGTTGATGGTTGGACTATGGTGTGCTCATCCTGATTGCAGTTTTAGGCCAAGTATTAGACAGGCGATTCAAGTGCTCAACTTTGAAGCACCCTTGCCTAATCTCCCAGAAAACATACCAGTGGTAACATTTAGGCCTCAGCCAAATGTTGATGTTGCATATTCTTCCTCTTCATCATACTACGTCTCTGATGTTTCTCAGATAAGCCAGGCGCAATCTGTAGTCTACAGTGGCAATACTGATTGCTCATGTCCTGATGAACAATTGTCTAATTGATGCAGGGTAAATCGGGCCTTAGCTTTTCTCATTCATGTATCTAGTGGGATTCGAAACTCCTTCGGCTATGACATCAAGTCAGGCAACGAACCACTTTTATGTACTCTCAACTTCAATAAAATTTATGATTTTTTAATGAATTTTAAGAATTTTTTTTAGCAATTGTGAAAATGTCATTTTCAGCGAAGCCTTTCTTGTGACCGAGTCTAGATAAAGATCCATAGGTAGTTCCTTCAAGAAAACTAATTTGGTTCGGTGTTGCTTTACCAAGTTGAAAGCAATAACGAAAACAGTAACCCCAACATGGTCATATTGGCGTAGTTTCAGGCTTTAGGACTAATTTTTCAAAAGACAACACTACAATTAATTTACTTAGGGATGGCTTTATTCATAGGGCCTATGTTTGCCGAAAAGCAAACTTTAATACATACGAATTGGATAACGTTGAAAGCAAATTGTATGAATATAGACATCTAATTAGCTAAATCCTGAATATTTCGAGGTGGTCTCCGCTCTCTTTTAATAATTCTTCCAGAAGGCTGAATCCCAACCCTAAAGGGCTCCCATACTCTGACCCGACAGAATATTTGGGAGGATGTAAATCATGGTAACTCAACTAAACATGAACCACAGAGGCTATCATGAGATGTAAATCATGGGATCTTTTAATAATTGATTATGTTGGTGTTTTGTATCCTCAATTTATGTGATTTTCTTATATATAAAGAATACAATTTATTTCATTCAAAAAGCCAAAATAATTTAAGAAAAATACTACTTCTACTTCCTCTCTCAAAATATTGATATCGACATCTTTCTTAAGATTCACAAGATGAAGAAAACTGATCATTTTTTTGCCGCCTTAGGAAGTAAAAGTGAGAAAGTAGATATAGTAAAAGTGTAAAACTCATAATTTAAAGATAGGTGAAATTTTATTTGAGTAAACCTTGCCATCCATAATGGATTAGGTGAATCACTACATATTTTTCCCTTATGAATATGATTCAGTAATGAACATCTTCGTTTCTTATTGATGAAAAGTGTCAAAATTTGGCCTAATTAGCCATTGTATTTGACATGATCTTGATTCGGTTTCAATTCAAAACTATTAGTTTATAGTTCCATGAAATTATAAATTGAAATCGGAACCCTTTTAGGAAGATTTTGACGGTTCTAGTTTGAAATGAAATGTTTGACCTTTTTTTTTCTCAATAAAATCAAGTTTTTTTATTTTATTTTATTTTATTTTGAAATCGGAACTGGCTGATTACGAACCGAAACCAATTGTTCTAGTTTCTGATTTTAATAAACTGAAATTGGAACCTTTTAGGTTCTGATTTGATTTCTACCATGTCAGATTCAATTCAAACCAAACGGTGATAATCTTAATTCTCAAACATAGTTAACGGTCAATTAATCGCATCATGGATTAGATTCAATTGCTTTTAGTTTCTTTTTTTTTTTTGGTAGGTATCCTTTAATTTCCTATAGATTTCTACGATGTATGTAATCATTTGGCAGCATCTTATTGGAATATATATGTAACAACTACCGTGGGTCATATGTCCACACGTACTGCAACTTGCAATTTGCCATCCACTTGACCAATAATGGCACGCCAGTTTCCCAGCATCCACGCCCCCTGGTTAAAAAAACAACAATGGTGAAGTATAATAATAGAATAATGACCAATTGGTGATATGATAATAAAAGATTTCTTCTTTATTGATAGACTAAACGGAAGCTGCAGAAGCAATAATGTCATATGTTTTGTGTTTAAGGTTCAAGGATTTGGTCTATGCGTTGTTGACCATGGTGGGTCGTTTCTTGCTTCTTTTCTTGTCGATAATCCCTTTAGTTCACTCACTATCCTTCAACTTCGATCGGTTCACCGCCGCCAGTGCCCAGAATCTTACGTTTGACAGAACCGCCGTGGTGAACAGCTCCATCCAGTTAACGTCGGACCAACTAGCGAGCATCGGCAGGGCGACATACGGCGAGCCGCTGCATCTCTGGGACAAGGCCACAGGGAATCTCACGGCGTTCAACACCCACTTCGCCTTCGTCATAGATTCCAAAGGCAGCAAACGCTACGGCGATGGTTTTGCGTTCTTCCTGGCGCCGGTTGGTTCCCGGATTCCTCCCAACGCCACCAAAGGTGGCGGCTTTGGCCTTGCCAATGACGACGACCGGTTGAATTCCAGTAGAAATACATTTGTTGCTGTGGAGTTTGATATCTACATGAATGAGGAGTACGATACTCAGTCGAAGCAGGTCGGGATTGATGTGGATTCTCTGCAGTCTGCTGTTACTCAGACATGGTTTCCAGACATTGAGGGTGGGGAGCCAAATCAGGCCTGGATTAACTATGATCCTAGGTCGATGAATTTAAGTGTTGTGTTCAGTACTTTAGTAAACAACACAAGTACATTCGATCAGTTGTCATATGTTGTTGATCTAAGAAAGTTCTTGCCAGAACGTGTGACTTTCGGGTTTGCTGCTGCAACAGGGAACAGATCAGCTTTGCAGAAGATTACTTCATGGAATTTCACTTCAACCTTTAATGTTAGTCAAATCCAGGCAAACCCAGAGAGAAAATCAGCTAGGAAGGGTAGCCAACCAGTGGGGATTGTAATTGGTGTGGTGGTGGGAGGGTGTTTTCTGATTGGAGGTTCTGGGGTGCTTCTATTTGTGGTGTGGAGAAGGAGCAAGATGAGGGAGAAGTTTGAAGATGAGATCTTTGGTAATTACAATGATGAACTTGGAGGGGGGGCCGGGCCGAAAAAGTTTACATACAGAGAGTTGGCTAGAGCTACAAACAACTTTTCGAAACAAGATAAGCTTGGAGAAGGAGGATTCGGGAGCGTTTATAAGGGCCACTTGAAGGAACTCGATTCGTATGTTGCTGTGAAGAGAGTGTCAAAGGGATCCAAACAAGGAATCAAGGAATATGCATCAGAAGTGAAGATAATCAGCCGTATAAGGCATAGGAATCTGGTGCACCTTATTGGTTGGTGCCATGAAAACAAAGATTTTCTACTTGTGTATGAGTTCTTGTCCAATGGCAGCTTAGACTCCCATCTTTACAAAGGCCAAAGCCTGTTAACATGGCCACTAAGGTACAAGATTGTTCAAGATTTAGCCTCTGCGTTACTCTATCTGCACGAAGAATGCGAAAAATGTATTGTCCACAGGGACATAAAGTCTAGCAACATCATGTTGGATTCAAACTTAAATGCTAAACTTGGAGATTTTGGATTAGCGAGACTAGTTGATCATGAAAAGGGATCGCGCACAACTGCACTGGCAGGAACCATGGGCTACATAGCCCTCGAATGCGTCGTCTCAGGGAAAGCTAGCAAGGAAACAGACATGTACAGCTTTGGCATTGTGACATTGGAGATAGCCTGTGGGAGAAAACCAATTGATCCCACAGCTGAAGAAAGCCGAGTTAACATTGTTGAATGGGTGTGGAAACTGTATGGAACTGGACAACTTCTTGATGCTGTTGATCCAAATCTTTCGGGCGATTTCACTAGAAGAGAAGTGGAACAGATGATGATTGTCGGGTTATGGTGTGCTCATCCCGATTGTAGTCTCAGGCCAAGTATTAGGCAAGCCATTCAAGTGCTCAACTTTGAAGCTCCTTTGCCTGATCTCCCAGAAACCATGCCAATAGCAACATTTAGGCCCCAACCAAAAGTTGCATATTCTCCATCTTCATCATACTATGGCTCTGATGTTTCTCACACTAGCCAAACACAATCTTCAATCCACAGTGGCAACACTGAAATCTCATGTTCTTCTGCAGTATAATTAATCTGAAATTTTGTATATTTCTTTTCTGCTACACCAAGTTTCTTCAGTTTGACTGCAAACTTCTTCTAGTTACATGGCAGTTTCCCTTTTTCATTTTGCAGCAGAAAAACTCAAAATTTTCTCCTAAGTAATGATATTTTAATGATATGCTTGGACTAATTGAATAATGCATCCAAATCATATCATAACCCTGACTCTTTAACATGAAGAGTCAATAATATTCCAACCAGTTACATTAGTAATTTGCACATTCCCTTGTCATCAATTAAGCATGTGCCATTATTGATATAGTTATAGACTTTGTTGAAGCATGTGCTCCATCTTAAAAAGCCTAAGCTGGTAAACTGTAGTCGCTTATAAGTGGCGCTTAGAACTAATGACCTTTGGTCTGACTCTGATACCAAATTGAAGCATGTGCTCCATCTCAACTAAAAGCCTAAGCTGATAGTTGGATTGCACATTAATGGCTATATGCTCACACAGAATATTTGTTAGGTAGAAAAAGAAGACATTGTCCTTTATCTAAATTATTTCCACCAAATTTTTGAAAGAAATACTAAAATATTCATATTCATTTGGGACAAGTTTGATGCATATATTTATTTTAAAAATACCCATTTGCAAGGTATGGTTTAAGTATTAGTGCAGAGTAGGATTCGGGTCAAGTTGGATGGCTGATGGCTGTAGTAGTAGACTAGCATACTGTGGGTCAGATTCAGACAAATTGCAACTTGTAATTTCCCACTTTCCCAGTAATGGCAACCCAGTTTCATAGCACCCACCGACGCTCCTGGGAATCTGTGATGAAGATAGTATAATAGGCTTTCTTGATCTCTGTTTAATTACTTGATAGAGCCATGGTTGGCTGCTTCTTTCTTCTTTTGTTGTTCATAATCCCTCTAGTTCACCCACTGTCCTTCAACTTTGATCTGTTCACCCCCTCCAATGTTCAGAATATCACGTTTGAGAGAACTTCCTTGGTGAACAACTCAATCCAGATAACCCCGAACCAGCGGAACTGCATTGGCAGGGCCACATATTCGGAGCCGCTTCACCTCTGGGACAAGCCCACCGGAAAACTCTCGTCGTTCAACACCCACTTCGCCTTCGTCATTGATTCCAATGGCAGCGCAAAGTACGGCGACGGTTTTGCGTTCTTCCTGGCGCCGCTTGGCTCCCGGATTCCTCCTAATGCCACCAAAGGCGGCGGCTTTGGCCTGGCGAATGATGATGAGCGCTTGAACTCCAGTAATCCGTTTGTCGCTGTGGAGTTTGATGTTTATTTGAATCATTATGATACTGAGCAGAAGCACGTGGGGATTGATGTGGATTCTCTGCAGTCTGTTGTTACTGCACCATGGTCTCCGGACATTGAAGGTGGGTGGGGAAGTGAGGCTTGGATTAACTATGATCCTAGGTCGATGAATCTGAGTGTTGTGTTTAGGAATTTCGGTTCATATGGTCATGTTTCGTACATTCTTGATCTAAGAAAGTACTTGCCAGAAAGGGTCACTTTCGGGTTTGCTGGTGCAACAGGAAAGGACACAGCACTGCAGATGATCAATTCATGGATTTTCACTTCAGCCCTTGACATCAGTGAAAACCAGGCAGACACAAAATCAACAGGTAAGGGACTTGTTATTGGCCTGGTTGTGGGAGGGTGTTTCTTGATTGGAGGTTCCATGGCGTTTTCATTTTTGGCATGGAGAAAGAGGAAGATGAGGGAGGAGTTTGATGACGATATCTTTGGTAACATTGGTGAACTTGGAGGGGGAGCCGGGCCAAAAAGGTTTACATACAGAGAGCTGGCTAGAGCGACAAACAGCTTTTCGCAGCAAGATAAGCTTGGAGAGGGAGGGTTCGGGAGTGTTTATAAGGGCTACTTGAAGGAACTCGAATCGTATGTTGCTGTGAAGAGGGTGTCAAGAGGATCCAAGCAGGGGATCAAGGAATATGCATCAGAAGTGAGGGTTATCAGCCGGATAAGGCACAAAAATCTGGTGCACCTAATCGGTTGGTGCCATGAGAACAAAGATCTTCTACTTGTGTATGAGTTCTTGTCCAATGGCAGCTTAGACTCCCATCTTTACAAAGGGAAAAGCTTGTTAACATGGCCACTAAGGTACAAGATTGTTCAAGATTTAGCTTCTGCATTACTCTATCTGCACGAAGAATGCGAAAAATGTATTGTCCACAGGGACATAAAGTCCAGCAATATCATGCTGGATTCAAACTTAAATGCTAAACTTGGAGATTTTGGATTAGCTAGGCTGGTTGATCATGAAAAGGGATCGCGCACAACTGCATTGGCAGGAACCATGGGGTACATAGCACTGGAATGCGTCGTCTCAGGGAAGGCAAGCAAGGAAACAGACATCTACAGCTTCGGAATTGTGACATTAGAGATAGCCTGTGGGAGAAAACCAATTGATCCTACAGCTGAAGAATGCCATGTGAACATTGTTGACTGGGTGTGGAAACTCTATGGAACTGGACAGCTTCTTGATGCTGCTGATCCAAATCTTTCGGGCGATTTCAATGGAAGAGAAGTGGAACAGATGATGATTGTCGGGCTATGGTGTGCTCATCCGGATTGCAGTCTCAGGCCAAGTATTAGGCAAGCCATTCAAGTGCTCAACTTTGAAGCTCCTCTGCCTGATCTCCCAGAAACCATGCCGGTAGCCACATTTTGGCCTCAACGAAATGTTCAATATTCTTCATCTTCATCATATTATGGCTCTGATGTTTCTCAGACTAGCCAAACAAAATCCTTAGTCTCCAGTGGCAACACAGATTGCTCATGTTCTTCTGCAGTATAATTAATCTGAAATTTTGTGTATTTCTTTTCTGCTACACCAAGTTTCTTCAGTTTGGCTGCAAACTTGTTCTAGTTACATGGCAGTTTCCCTTTTCATTTTGCAGCAGAAAAACTCAAAAATTTCTCCTACTTTAATGCTTGGACTAATTGAATGATGCATCCAAATCACACCATAACCCGGACTCTTTAATACGAAAAGTCAATATTCCAACCAATTACATTAGTAATCCGCATATTCCCACGTCATCAATTAAGTATGTGCCATTATTAATATATTGGAATAGTTATAGACTTCAGAATATTTGTTAGGTAGAAAAAGAAGAAAATGCCCTTTATCTAAATTACTAGTTTTTTACGCGCATTGCGCGATTGGGATAATGCCCAATGTTTTTTTTTAAATAAGTACTTTAAAGTATATTAAGGCAAGATTATATTGAAATTGTTCATGCATAGATAATTGAAGGTTGAATTTGCGTATTTAAATAGGTAATTCTTCTCCCAAAGGTTGAGTCCCCTACCCCAAGGGCCCCCCATACTCTGACCCGACAGAGCATTGTAGGAAGTTGTAAATCACGGTGACTCAATGGTTCAGCAGACAGGACCAAATGCCGGTGCGAACAAGGAATCTACCCACTTTGGACATAATTCCCGCACTAAACCATTGAGCTAAGCCCGTGCGGGTTAAATAGGTAATTCTAAGTTTACAAATGCAAGATAATGTAGTCAAGATTGATTATAATTGTCAATAAAATAATTGTATAGGTATAGTTGAAACCAAATACGGGACATAATGGAGAACAAATAAAAATTAGGGCATAAAATATTAAATATATACTAATATTGTTTGAGAAGATTTCGACATTAGGATTTGTGGTTAAGTTCTATGAAGACTTTAATATTAGAATTAGATTAATGGTGTAATTATAATTCTATATTAGACGTTAATATTATTCTTCCAAAAGGTTGAACCCCAACCCTAAGGGCCCCCCACACCCCGGCCCGACAGAGCATTTGGGATGAAGACGTTAATATTATAATTAGACTAACGGTGAATTAACGCTATTTAACGGAAAAGTTAAATGGATAATCATATAATTAATGATAAATTAGAAAAATTAAAAAAAAAAAAATTAAAACCTGAACAATTTGAACCATTCATTTGATTTAATAATTTGGCGGTCATTTTTCTACCCAATGTTAATAATTAAATAAATTCGTTGGTCAAATCCGCTAATATAATCCGCGCGCTAACTGTTGATTGTCAAACAAGGACATTGCAAGGTAGTTCTCACTTCAATTTGTTGTGTGATTTGAATACTCTCTTTGTCACAAAATCTTTCAAGTAGTTAATATGGTTGCCTTTGTTAATTATATATTTTTTTAATTTTTTCATGGTATTAATAAAATACTTGGTAAATAAATATATAGCATTATTTTGTATTATAACTTTGATATTTAATTAGAAAAATAGTGCACAAAAAAGATAATAGACAATGTAGTGAATATAATCAATTGATGAATTTGAATGTAAAAATTTTTACATTTCAGTAAAATAAAGACAATATAACTAATGAAAATATTTCTCTTAATTAATTTATTCATAATGAATAATTTTTTCAATGTAGCGAATATAATCAATTAATAAATTTGAATATAAAGAATTTTTATATTGTAGAAAAATAAAGACAATATAATTAATACAATTATTTCTCTTATTTAATTTATTGATAATGAATAATTTTTTTTTTGAATAAAGACATTGTGAACACATAATTCTAAATTAAAGAAATGCATATCTATAATTTTTTGTTGTAGCTACTAAATTATTATTTATATAATTTAATAAGAGTAAAATAGAGTACTAATTATGCCAACTTTGATTGGGATGAGGTTCGAACCTAAAACTTTTTTTTTTATTTTATTGAAATCAATGAGTAAGTTAACGGTGAACTAACGGCAATTCTTAAAATTTTAACGGAATTAGTAACGGTGTGTGGGTATTTTAGGAAATTTTAGTGTAAAATTTAAATCTTATCAATCTTTTAATCAATCTGAGCCATTCATTTGATTAAAATCTGTGACCGCCATTTTTTCTACCCATTATAGGCCTAACTCTCTTGGGCTCTTATTAGTATAGTAGATTTCCACCAAATTTTTGAAAGAGATATTAAAATATTCATATTCATTTGGGACAAGTTTGATGCATAATATTCTGGGAATGTAGCATTTCTATGAAAATGAATAGGAAGAGGAGAGGAAACTAATTAAGACTGTCAGTTTCCTTTTGGGGTAAGTATGTCTGTCTATATTTGGCATATAGTGATTTGAATATCCTAGGAAAATAAATGAACTAATAAACTAGTTTTATTTAGAAAAGTTGTGTTACATTACAGGTGTTTACATACATATAATATTAATTTTTTTAAAAATTGTACCCTTATTATTATTATTATTATTATTATTTTTTTGAATCACAAAAAACTCATCATCACTACTTGAGAGTGTGCACGATAAATCCTAACTTTTAACCTTAGCTGGCAAGGAATCAGGTAAATTAGTTTAGGTAAAATCCTGCATTGTGACTTTAGCCGACAAAGGATCAGGTAAACAGTCTAGATACTTGTTTTGTGACTTTAATCAGTAAAAAATTAGATAAGTTATCCATAATCCATAAGTACTTAACTTTTCATGAAATTGAACTTGTAATCTTGTGATTATTAAATTAAGAACCTCATCAACTTAACTATTTTTTGAGGCCCAATGTGCCGGCCATGGCCGGCCCTCCTTAAACGCTAATCGGCGGGTGAGAATATTGATTGTAGAGCGTGGACTGGCAAAGTCTTGTAACTATCTAAATCTAGTGTTGGATTGTTGGTGAGAGCAATTATTTATGAGAATCAGCACAGCTTACACCTGATCATCATGAGCAATCTGTAAGCCAGCCATGGCAGCAGCTACCTTGTGTAGATTCTTGAATATCCCTGCAGCCTTCTCACTCTTTCTGCTTGCGTCTTTAGCGTCTCCACTCTCATTTGATCTGCAAAACATCACTCCTAAGGATACAAACGTGAACATAAATGTGGAAGGAGATGCATATATCACAGAGCAGGGGATCCAAGTCACCCCATATGAACGCAACCAGGTCTTGAATGGCAAAACCGGCCGGGCAAAGTATGTTGAATCCTTTCACCTATGGGACAAGGGTACCGGAGATTTGGCTGATTTTAACACAAGTTTCACTTTCAATATCGACTCAGATGGTGACAGTAGCTTTGCTGATGGGTTGGCCTTTTTCCTGGCGAATTTTTCAACCCCATTCGATAAAACTGGCACTGGTGGAGGCGGCCTTGGGCTCATGAATCCCAGTTTAGTAACACCCCCAGATCCTTTTGTGGCTGTGCTGTTCGATACGTACTCGAACGGTGAGAAGACCTCGATGACAAATGTAAGTATCAACGTTAATTCTACGCTGGAGTGGTTTAATATCACAGCATGGTTCAACAACGTTACTCAGGGACAGGATAACAATGCTTCCATTACTTATAATGCTACTTCCAAGGTTCTTGGAGTTGTTTTTACAGGATTCTGGGATAACCAGTATCTGACAGGCAGCCTTAGCTTTAAGGTTGATCTGAGGAAATACTTGCCTGAGTTCATTAGCATTGGCTTCTCAGCTGCAACAGGATTGTACTTTGAGAAAAACACTGTCAGCTCGTGGCGGTTCAATTCTACTTCACTGAGGACGGATAGTGCTTCTCCCCCGTGGCTCCCGCCTTCTCCAGACGACCCAAGTCCTCCCCAAGAAGAAAAGAACAAGAAGAAAGGATCATCAAAAGGAGGATTGATAGGATTGAGTATTGGTGTTCCAGTTTTAGTTGCTCTGTTGGCTCTAGGCATCTGTACTTTTCTTAAGATTAAGAATATGTGGGCAGAGAAAAGAAATGAGATTGTTCTTGGTAAGGCCATGGATAGTGAGCTTGAAAAGAGTGGCAGTGGGCCTAAAAAGTTGCCATACAGTGACTTGGCTGCTGCAACTAACAACTTTGCAGAGGAGCAGAAGGTTGGAGAAGGGGGGTTTGGAGTGGTTTATAGAGGTTTCTTAAGGAGCCTAAACATGGATGTGGCTGTCAAGAGAGTCTCAAGTGGGTCTGGGATGAAGGAATATGCATCAGAAGTGAAGACGATCAGCCGATTGAGACATAGAAACTTGGTGCCACTTCACGGTTGGTGTCACGAGAAAGGGGAGCTTCTGCTTGTTTTTGAATACATGCCACAAGGAAACTTAGACTCCCATCTCTTCAAGACAAAGTCACCTTTGAATTGGGGGGTCAGGTATAGAATTGCACAAGATTTGGCTTCAGCTCTGTCCTATCTGCATGAACATTGGGACCAATGTGTATTGCATAGGGACATTAAGTCCAGTAATGTCCTGTTGGATAAGGACTTCAATGCTAGACTAGCTGATTTTGGGTTAGCCTCGCTTGTTGACCATGGAAACGCACCCGAAAAAACCATAACCGGGGGAACACCAGGGTACGTAGCCCCAGAATGCAATTTCACATTTAAGACTAGTAAAGAGTCAGATGTGTATAGTTTTGGAATTGTTGTTTTAGAAATTGCATGTGGACGAAGAGCCATTCTTGTCAATGAACCAGAAGGTGTGAAAAGCTTGGTGGAATGGGTTTGGGATCTGTATGGAATGGGAAAGCTACTTCAAGGCGCAGATCCTAAGCTAGGCAGAAACTTTGATGAGGAAGAAATGGAGCGATTAATGATGATCGGGTTGTGGTGTGCTCACCCTGACAGTAATTGTCGACCAAAAATAAGCCATGCTTTAAATTGTCTTAAATTCCAAGTGCAACTGCCCTCCCTTCCACCAGAGATGCCTAAGCCATTTTACTCAACTTCTTTTAATGTTTCAAGTTCCATTAGGCAGATATTTGAGGGCAATACAAGTTCCAGCAACAGCAGTTTCCCCACACGTTCTTCATCATCTGCCTCACATTGATGGGTCTGTGGTGTGCTTACCCTGATAATAACGATCGGCCCAAAATGAGCCAATTTACTCCACTCCTCCTCCCGATACTCTCTTCTTCTGGGGTCGAAGCTGTTGAGAAACAACAGTTTGGGTATCATATGATTTCCGGTTGCAACACTAGTCTGTCACGTTTCATTTCATCTTTCGGGTGGTGGTTAGAAATTAAAAATTACTTCACAACTTATAGTCCAATGTTGTTAGATCGAATTTGAAGGAGGTGATTGTGTATTTGTGTCATGTGAATTTGTAACGACATTAATACAATAACAAAATCTACCAATCATGTTATCTGTTCCATTTTTTATTTAGTTGTTTGTGTGAGAAATACATTTTCACCAAAGTAGCATTAGAGTAGTGAAGAAGATAAATTTTCAGTTGTGGGTTAGAACAGATAATGTACATATGAAGGGCAAAGGCAGTCAGTTTCCAATTTGTTATTTTGTTACATAAAAGCTCAGTTTAGAATAGTGCAAGTTGAATGGTTAAATGTGAATATGAAGGGCAAAGGGGTCACAAAAACTATCGCAATTTGCGCAAATGGGACAAACCGACAAACTCACAAACATCATTTCCCTTAAATTAATAATAGTGATTTTATTTTGAAAAAGGATTGATGCACAAATAGGACCGCATGCAAAGTAGTTGGTCAAGTCGTCAAGATGTGTGCTTGTGTGGTTTGCATTATTCTGGTTATTAAACATTAATAAATGGAGTAGAGAGTGGGCTAGCGAGTCTTCCTGTCTGAATTTTCAACCATTTCTTAGTGCAATAATGTCTTACCATATCCATTTATCATAGATAGTAATCAGTTCTTAGGATTCTTGATCAGCTAGCCATGACTACGGCAGCTGCCTTGTGCAGATTCTTGAATAATACTATCTGGGCAGCCTTTGTAGTCCTTGTGCTTTCCTCTTTGGTGCGTTCACTATCATTTGATCTGCAATCCATCCGGCCTGACGATGCAAATACGCGCATCAAAGTGGAAGGAGATGCATCCATCACCACCCAGGGCATCCAAGTCACGCCATATGAACGCGAATTGGTGTTGAATAACAAAGCTGGTCGAGCCACCTATGTTGAATTGCTGCACCTATGGGACGAGGCTTCTGGAGATTTAGCTGATTTTATCACCCATTTTACTTTCATCATCGCCTCAGAAGGTAACAGTAGTAGTTATGCTGACGGGCTGACCTTTTTCTTGGCGGGTTTCTCCACCCCATTGAATACAACGCTCACTCGTGGGGGCGGCCTTGCGCTAATGAATGAGTTTATACCAAAATCTCCAGATCCTTTCGTTGCTGTGGTGTTTGATACCTATTCACACCCGCATCACCGCCCCATGACGAACGTAAGTATCAACATCAGATCTATGCTAAAACCTGTTAATATCACGCCATGGTTTAACAATATTACACAGGCGGTGGAGAATAACGCTTCCATAACTTACAATGCTAGTTCCAAGATTCTCCAAGTTGTTTTTACAGGATTCTGGAATGACCAGTACTTGACAGACAGCCTTAGATACGAGGTTGATCTGAGGGACTGGTTGCCCGAATTTGTTAGCATTGGCTTCTCAGGTGCAACAGGAGGGAGGTTTGAGAAAAACAATGTCAGATCGTGGCAGTTCCATTCCACTTCGCTAAAGAAAAAAAAGAATGAATTGGAAGGACAAATAGTAATAGGATTGAGTATTGGTGTTCCTGTTTTAGTTGCTATGTTGGCTCTAACTATTTATTCTCGTTTTAAGAAGACAAGGGGACCAGAAGGCCAGAAGCACATTATTCTTGGTCGGGCCATGGATAGTGAGTTTGAAAAGGCTGGCAGTGGAGCTAAAAAGTTCCCATACAGTGAATTGGAAAGTGCAACTAACAGCTTTGCAGAGGGGCAGAAGCTTGGAGAAGGGGGATTTGGAGGGGTTTATAGAGGTTTCTTAAGGAGCCTAAACTTGGATGTGGCTGTCAAGAGGGTCTCAAGTGGGTCTAAACAGGGGATTAAGGAATATGCATCGGAAGTAAAGATCATCAGCCGATTGAGACATAGAAATTTGGTACCACTTCACGGTTGGTGCCACGAGAAAGGAGAGCTGCTGCTTGTTTATGAGTTCATGCCAGAAGGCAGCTTAGATTCCCATCTCTTCAAGAAAACATCGCCATTGAATTGGGGGATCAGGTATGGAATTGCACAGGGCTTGGCCTCAGCTTTGCTGTATCTACATGAAGGGTGGGAAAAATGTGTGTTGCATAGGGACATCAAGTCCAGTAATGTGTTGTTGGATTCAAGCTTCAAGGCCAGGCTAGGGGATTTTGGGTTAGCCAAGCTTGTTGACCATGAAATGGCACCTGAAAAAACCTTGTCTGGAGGAACACCAGGGTACATAGCCCCAGAGTGTCATTACACGTTCAAGACTAGCAAAGAATCAGATGTGTATAGTTTCGGGATTGTTGCATTAGAAATTGCATGTGGACAGAGAGCTATTATTGCCAACGAATCAGGTGTGAAAAGGTTGGTGGAATGGGTTTGGGATCTGTATGGAACGGGAAGGCTACTGGAAGGTGCAGATCCTAAGCTATGCGGAAGTTTTGAGGGCCAAGAAATGGAGAGATTAATGATTATCGGATTATGGTGTGCTCACCCTGATAATACCAATCGGCCAAAAATGAGCCAAGTTGTACATTGTCTAAAATTCCAAGTGCAATTGCCTATCCTTCCATCAAAGATGCCTAAGCCAATTTACTCTACTCCTCCTCCAGATACATTCTCTTCTTTTGGAGTCGAAGATGGTGAGAAACAACACTTTGGGTACCATAAGATTTTGGGCTTCAACACTAGTCTATCACGTTTCATTACATCTTCTAGTCCGTTGTTGGAAATTAAAAATTACTTTACAACGTATAGTGATCCAACATTTTTGTGATTGTTTCATGTAATATTGTAAATATATTAGTACTCTACATTTAACGTGTTTTGTTTTTCATCTTTATTTAGTTGTAAATACATCAATACAAGAACATGAATAAAAAATGACTTACAAATTGTTAAGAAATGTAAACAATATTTTTTAGACGGGGAGAGTTTTAATAAAGTCTAATTTGCTCACAACTGATTTGCACACACCAAAAGTGAATGATTCATCAGTTGCCAAAAGGTTCAAAAAGATAAAAGAGGGGGCCAAGCCGTACTTAAAGTGATTTAATATTCATGGAATAAGGGCCAAATATGCCACTCAACTGCACACCAAAATGCAATTATAGGCCATTAAACTAAAAAAAAATGGAATTGAGCCATTAAACAACACAAAAACATGCAATTTAGTCCAAAATGACTTGTTTATTTGTTGTAGCAAGTTACCCATTTTTTAATTAAATTTTAAAAATAATTTTTAATAAATAAATAATTAAAATTATATAAAAAAAAACCAGAAACAGCCGGTCGGAGACGAATCGTCTCCCGCCGGCTTCGTCTCCATGGCCGGAGACGCACCTCCGTCTCCATCCATGAAGACAAAGACCTTCGTCTTCGTCTCCATGGCCGGAGACGCACCTCCGTCTCCATCCATGAAGACAAAGACCTTCGTCTTCGTCTCCGGCCATGGTGACGACGTCCTTCGTCTCCATGGCCAGGAGACGAAGGTTTCCATGGCCAGGAGACGAAGAGGTCGTCTCCATAGCCGGAGACGAAGGTCTTTGTCTCCATGGCTGGAGACGGAGGTTCGTCTCCGGCCATGGAGACGAAGCCGGCCGGAGACGAATCGTCTCCGGCCGGCTGTTTCTGTTTCTGTTTTTTTTTTTTAATTAATTTATTATTAAAAATTAAAAATTATTTTTAAAAATTAATTAAAAATGAATAACTTGCTACAACAGGTAAACACGTCATTTTGGGCTAAATTGCATGTTTTTGTGTTGTTCAATGGCTCAATTGCATTCTTTTTTAATTCAATGGCCTAATTGCATTTTTGTGTGCAGTTAAGTGGCCTATTTGACCCTTATTCCAATATTCATTAATCCCACGTTATGAAATAATACATTTTTTGAGTAAAACAGGGAAATATATTAATTAAGATCTAAGTTCAGAACATGAACAATGAAAGGAAAAGCGCAAATTATGTTGTGCAACCGAATGCACCTTGCAAGGTGCATACGGTTGCAAAACGGCGCCGTTTTGATTAAAAAAACGCGCGTCCCACTTAAAGAAGAAATCAGGTTCGATTCCCGGCAATTGCATTTTTATATATCCAGAAATTCATAACTATATATCCACAAATTCATAACTATATATCCACAGTGAATGAATGAATTAAAAATCCATAATGAATGAATGAATGAAGTAAAAATCCACAATGAATGAACTAAATATCCACAATGAATGAACTAAATATCCACAATGATTGAACTAAATATCCACAATGAATGAACTAAAAATCCAGAAATTCATAACTATATATCCACAGTGAATGAATGAAGTAAATATCCACAATAAATGAACTAAATATCCACAATGAATGAACTAAATATCCATAAATTCATAACTATATATCCACAAATTTATAACTATATATCCAGAAATTCATAACTATATATCCACAATAATGCTATTATCGAGAATCAAACTTGAATTTTTTTTTATAAAGTGGGACGCGCGTTTTTAGTCAAAATGACATTGTTTTGCATCGTATGCACCATGCGCATGGTACATTCGGTTGCACAGTTGAAGGAAAAGGAAGTGGGCGAGGCGACCTGTTGACAGTAACAGTAATTCCTTCATACATTATACTGTTCAATATAACGTCAGAAATAAGGGGAAGGCCTGAACGTGGGCATGTAGCGAAAGACCAAAAGGAAAAGTGTGAAATGAGCCAAGCAGACAGCGGCGCAGACACGATTCTCCTTTTCTCCATCTCCATAAGCCTTCGTACACTGTTGAAAGAGTTGACCTTAATAAGGGGGAAGAAGCAAGATAAGAAAGCAATGTGGAACAAGCCTTTTTCCCTTTTAATGAATTTTCCAACAAGGTGGTTCGCAACTTCGGAGAAAACTTAAATTTACTGTAGTCAAGTAGACTGCGGACCAGCAAGTCTTCCTATTTACACTTTAATTTTTACTATAAGTTCACGGTGGGGGCAATTATTTTTTGTTTATATGGATTGATCTCAGCGCAATACTTACGCCTAATTAGTTCTAAATCATGATGGCAGCAACTGCATTGTGCAGATTCTTGAATATCAGTGCTTTTGTTTTCTTGTTAATAATCCCTTTTGTCCAGTCACTATCCTTCAATTTTGAAAGGTTTAGCCCCTCCAATGACAAGAATATTAGGTTTGAGGGAACCTCTGTGGTGAACAACTCCATCCAGCTAACGTCATACCAGGAAACAAAAATTGGAAACCAGGAAACAAGAATTGGAAGGGCCACATATGCTGAGCCACTTCACCTCTGGGACAAGGCTTCTGGGGACCTCTCGGGGTTCAACACCCGCTTCGCATTCGTCATTGATTCCAATGGCAACACAAATTATAGTGATGGTTTTGCATTCTTCCTGGCTCCTGTTGGCTCTCGGATCCCTCCTGATGCAACCAAAGGTGCCCGTTTTGGCCTGGTGAATGATGATGAAAGCTTGAACTCTAGTAACCCATTTGTTGCTGTGGAGTTCAATATTCATGATACTGAGGAGATGCAAGTGGGCATAGATGTGAACTCGGTGGTGTCCATCGCAACTGTGACCTGGTCTCCCAACATTGAGGAAGGGAAGCAGGGTGAGGCCTGGATTGATTATGATCCGACGTCGATGAATCTAAGTGTTGTGTTCAGTGGTGTAGAAGGGAATAAAATTACATATGGGAACCTGTCACACATTCTTGATCTAAGAAAGTACTTGCCAGAACGGGTCACTTTTGGCTTTTCTGGTGCAACAGTGAACCAAGCAGCATTGCAGATGATCAATAAATGGAGTTTCACATCAACCTTTAACCTCAATGAAAACCAGGAGGCAGATGCAGACAGGAAATCAACCAGTAAGGGACTTGTTGTTATTGGTGTGGTTGTAGGAGGGTGCTTTCTGATTGGAGGTTGCACCGCGTTTTCATTTGTGGTGTGGAGAAGGAGGAAGATGAGAGAGGAACTTGATGATGATATATTTGATAACAGTGATGATGAGCTTGGAGGGGGCACTGCCACTGGGCCAAAAAAGTTTACCTACAGAGATCTGGCCAGAGCTACCAACAACTTTTCACAGCAAGAGAAGCTTGGAGAAGGAGGGTTCGGGAGTGTTTATAAGGGCTACTTGAAGGAGTTCAATTCGTATGTTGCTGTGAAAAGGGTGTCAAAGGGATCCAAGCAAGGGATCAAAGAATATGTATCAGAAGTGAAGACCATCAGCCGTACAAGGCACAAGAACTTGGTGCAACTAATGGGGTGGTGCCACAGGAACAAAGACCTTCTACTTGTTTATGAGTTTATGTCCAATGGCAGCTTAGACTCCCATCTTTACAAAGGCCAAAGCCTGTTGACATGGCCACTAAGGTACAAGATTGTTCAGGGTTTAGCCTATGCTTTACTCTATCTGCATGAAGAATGCCACAAATGTATTGTCCATAGGGACATAAAGTCTAGCAACATCATGCTAGATTCAAATTTTAATGTTAAACTTGGGGATTTTGGATTAGCCAGGTTGGTTGATCACGAAAAGGGATCGCACACAACTGATGTGGCAGGAACCATGGGATACATAGCACTTGAATGCATCGTCTCAGGCAAGGCTAGCAAGGAAACTGACATTTACAGCTTTGGAATTGTGGCATTAGAGATAGCCTGTGGGAGAAAACCAATTGATTCTACAGCTGAAGATTGCCATGTGAACATTGTTGACTGGGTGTGGAAACTCTATGGAACTGGACAACTTCTTGATGCTGTTGATCCAATTCTTTCGGGCGAATTCAATGGAAGAGAAGTGGAGCAGATGATGATTGTCGGGCTATGGTGTGCTCATCCAGATTACAGTTTCAGGCCAAGTATTAGACAAGTCATTCAAGTGCTCAACTTTGAAGCTTCTCTGCCTGATCTCCCAGAAACTATGCCGGTAGCCACATTTTGGCCTCAAAGAAATGTTCAATATTCTTCATCTTCATCATACTATGGCTCTGATGTTTCTCAGACTAGCCAAACAAAATCCTTAGTCTCTAGTAGCAACACAGATTCCTCATGTTCTTTTGCAATATAATTAATCTGAAATTTTGTGTATTTCTTTTCTGCTAGACCAAGTTCTTCAGTTTGGCTTCAAACTTGTTCTAGTTTCATGTCAGTTTCACTTTTTCATTTTGCAGCAGAAAAACTCAAAATTTTCTCCAAGTAATGATATTTTAGTGCTATACTTTGAAGCTCTTTTGCCTGATCTCCCAAAAACCATGCCGATCCCAACATTTATGCCTCAACCAAATTTGCCATCCTATGATTCCCAAGTTTCTCATACTAGCCAAACGCAGCCTTCAATCTAAAGTGGCAACACTAATGGTTCATTGCAGTGTAATAACTATGAAATTTTAATTTCTGTATTTCTCGACAACTAGACCATGTTTTTTTAGGAGTTACCAATTTGTCATTTTGTTACATAAAAGCACAGTTTAGAATAGCACAAGTTTTGAATGGTTAAAATTGGGCGCTATTAGCTTGCGTCTTATCCATGAGACGGAGTAACATGTCTTTTTGTATCTGTTTTGAGTAACTTCTCATTTTGTATTTCAAAACAAAAAATAAAATTGAATGGTTAAATGTCCTTATGTCCATATGAAGGGCAAAGGGGTCACTAAAACTATTGCAATTTGCGCAAATGGGACAAAGTCACAAACATCATTTTGATTAATAATAGTGATTTTATTTTGAAAAGGGATTGATGCACAAATAGGAAAAGACTGTAATGTGACGAATAGGCCTACCAATTCCGTGAATATGACGTTTTTTCTTTTTTGACAAATATAGGAAAAGTGCGCTTGGGACATGCGTTTTAGCCATGTCCCATAATTTTTTTTTTTTTTTTTTTTTTTTTTTATACGGCTCCAAAGACGCAAATAGTAATTGCGTCTTTGGTATTGTATACGGCCATCGCATCTGCGAAATGCCTCTTACGTATAGAATGAGTATAAGGTTTGACGCATCTCTTACATGCGTTTTAGACGCGGGTGGGTCGCTGGAGACTGACCACAGTAAGCCGCATGTGTGATTTGCGTTCTAAGTGAAACAAGCGTTTCCGAGGCTTGATCAACACCCGTTCTCAGTTCGTCCTTCTCTCCTTTGGTTCCGATACACATATCTGACCTCGCTAATCACCACGCAGAGCTAGCCAGTGCGCCGGCCGAGCTGCGAAACCGTCTCATCCCCGAGCACATGAGTAAATCTATATGTGGAGAGCCACGGCTATCAATTTAGGCGGGTGTAAATTTGTTTCTGCAAGGTTGGGTTATCAATACTTGATCACTGCTATTTCGTCTTCGCGCTAAGGATGAAGGATATAGAATAGGTTGTCAAATGTCAAGGTGATCTTCTATGGATGATGCTATATGGTGTGTAAATAGTTAACTCTCACGAATGCCTTGGCTGTTCTTAGATGATGATGATGATGATGGGAGAGAGAAAGAGAGACTGATTTCTTGTGTTCTTGATGCTGGGCAAATGGCTTTAGCTTCTTTGGGTTGTTTATACACTTGTGTGAGAGGTCAATAGATTGACTTAGGGATTACCTTAATTCTGCACCCTTTTCTTGTCTTTCTTCCACGTGTTGTCTTTCAAGGGAAGTGATTTCTGTACCAAAAACCATTCTTGCACGAAACACTATATTTATTGCCATTTATTTAAATCTCCAATTCAATCTTGGGAAAACATCAATATCTTGTCTTGTTACTTGTTATTTTGTTTTATTTGGATACAAGGGGTAAGAGCATCATCAATAGTTGTAGATTTTAAGGATTAACACGGCCAGCGAGCGTATGGAATGCACCCGCCCGACTGAGCGCTAGTTTTGTTGCGACAAAAAATTTGCTATGTTGAGCCTTGGTGGATCCTACGCGACATGCAAAAACCAGGTCCTAGTGTAATGAAAAACTTCCAAAAAATCCTTTCCCATTTGTTGAGAAGCCGTTTTTAAGTTTTTACGCAGCAAAAATCACTTAAAATCCACTATTATGGATGTCCTAAACAAATTACAAAAATTTGTAACTTATTGTTCTAAAATGTTAAAATTCAAAAAGCTGTTCAAAGTAATTTTTTAAAAAAATCATTTTGTATGTAATCAGCTAACAGTTAATTTATCAAACACTTTTTTACAATCAGCTGCTATCAACTAATCAAACCCACAAACCCAATCAGCTAACTGCTAACAGTAGCCATTTATCAAACACCTCCAAAATCTTGTAGAATCCTACCAATAATCTCCACAGGAACACATTCCTAGTTTAAAATGATGGAAGTAATTGGAGTCTCTGAGTATAATATGCCGTTGGAAAACCTTTGAAATGAACTTCATGGCAGTATGGCAATCGCCACAAACTCTAAGGTTCTTGTATATCCTAATGGGAGCTCCCTTTGGCAAGTAAAGAAGCCCAAATGCAACAGCCAACTTCTGACTATGATAAGCAAGACTTTGCTGCCTCCCTTATTCATTGATGTCATGAAGAGAACACTTCATGTCAGGCACATATCCCGCCTCCTTAATCGACATCAAAACCTCGTCAACCTTCGAGTAAACCTCGTTAGCTCTCGGGTGGTTCCTATCCTCGGACGAGAATTTATGCACCACGCCATTCGTCTCCATCCAGCTATAGCTAGGCTGTTTGTGAACGCCCTTCGCCTTCATTAGCCTTCGGGTTCTCGAAGAGGCTTCCCATTTCCCAGCTGCAGAGTAGACGTTTGACAGCATAACGTAAGGGGCGGGGTCGTGGGGTTCCAGTTCGAACAGCATGGCAGCAGCTTTCTCCGCTAGGTCGAGATTTCCATGCACTCCACAGGCGGAAAGCAGCGCTTTCCACACTGTTGCATCGGGCTCGACTTCCATCTTGCTCAGCACCTCCATCGCCTCTTGCATTTTGCCAGAGCGCCCGAGGAGGTCAATCATGCAGATTTGCGTTTACTCATGTGCTCGGGGATGAGACGGTTTCGCAGCTCGGCCGGCGCACTGGCTAGCTCTGCGTGGTGATTAGCGAGGTCAGATATGTGTATCGGAACCAAAGGAGAGAAGGACGAACTGAGAACGGGTGTTGATCAAGCCTAGGAAACGCTTGTTTCACTTGGAACGCAAATCACACATGCAACTTACCGTGGTCAGTCTCCGGCCACCCACCCGCTTCTAAAACGCATGTAAGAGATGCGTCAAACGGTATACTCATTTTATACGTAAGAGGCATTTCGCAGATGTGATGGCCGTATACAATACCAAAGACGCAATTACCATTTGTGTCTTTGGAGCCGTATAAAAATAAAAAAAAAAAAAATTATGGGACATGGCTAAAATGCATGTCCCAAACGCACTTTTCCTATATTTGTCAAAAAAAAACAAGCCTCATATTCACGGAATTGGTAGGCCTATTTGTCACATTACAGTCTTTTCCCCATGCAAAGTAGTCAAGATTTGTGCCTGTGTGGTTTGCATTATTCGGGTTATTAAACATTAAATGGAGTACAGTAGAGAGTGAGCTAGCGAGTCTTCCTGTCTGAATTTTCAACCATTTCTTAGAGCAATAATGTCTTATCGGGGTCGGGTCGGATCAATATAAAAATATCATATTTATACTGTATAATACTAATTATGAATAAAATGTTTATTACTTATAAGAGAAAATATAATACTTTTGAGAATAAATGTAAGTACTTTTATATTTTGATGTAGAAGTATTATATTTTTCATCAAGAGTTTTGCATTTTTCCTTATAAATAATGTTAACAAGTCTGTTACTTATAAGGGTTAATATAATATTTTTAAAGAAACATGTAATACTTTTAAATCAAAATGTAAAAATATATAAATAATAAACATTTTATTCTTTTTTTTATTTGAAAACCTAAACATTTTATTATTATTATTATTATTTTGAATGCTACTGACTCTATTACAATGTAGTATCTGTTCATAACAACTTTCTCAACCTACTGAAGCATAAAGAGCCAATAACGCCTTTACTGAGGCTCGAACTCATAACCTCCCATATGGGAGTCCAACCTAAATATTTTATTCCTTATTAGTATTACATTTTGTAATATAACTGTATAAGTATTACATTTGATCTTGACTCAACCCGTCTCATGAACAAGGATTCGTGAGACGGTTTGCACAAGTTTTTGTCATTTAAAAATTATTTATCATCCAAAATTTTCTGGGAGGACCCTAGACAACTGGAGTTAGGGGCCGATTCTCCCCTTTATATATATATATATATATATATATATATATATATATATTGTATGTATATACTATTTATATATACAAACTAAACGTGTTAAATACTAAATGTACAAATACTTAATCAAATGATGAGTTAGCTTAGCTTAGTTGGTAATGGTAAGGTCTATGTTTGTGTGTGAAATGTCTTGTGTTTGAAACTTAGGGTATTAAGTTTCTAAATTTTATTTAAAATTTATTTTTTGGCTTTTTAAAATACTAATGGTGAGATTATAATTGTGATTTATGAGATTAATTTCTAATTCTAATTGGATTTTTATGTGTAATATTGAGGTTTTCTTTTAAATATTAATAGTGAGATGAGTGATCTTTAATGTAATTTTTATTTGAACTATTTTTTTATTTTGAATATTTTTTTTCACGATTTAATATATATAATTTTTTATTCCTAGTCAACAATACTTATGACTCGAAGTGTTTCATTTTATTTTGGCACAAGTGTCAAATAGGCCTATTTACTAGTGCGAAATGCTCAATTTTCACCACGAACTAAATTAAGTGTCAAATAGGTCCATCTACGAGTTAAATTTGTTCAATTGACTTTTTTTTTTTACAAGTTACCTATTTAATTATTAAAATAAAATAAAATAAAATAATACAGCCCCCGGCTGTCTTTGAAATGGCAGCCACCGGCTATCCGGCGAGGACAGCCGATGGCTGCATTTTTTTTTTTAAATAATTTTTAAATTATTTTGAAATTATTTTTTTAATAATTGAATTGGTAACCTGCAAAAAAAAAAAAAAAGTCAATTACTTGCAAAAAAAGTTAATTGAACAAATTTAGTAGGTAAGCCTTGTTAATTAGCCTTTAATTTAGTTCATGGTGGGAATTGAGCACTTGACAATAATACATAAGCCTATTTGACACTTCTTCCTTTTATTTTTCTTTTGCTTTTGGATCCACCCTGGTTGGACTCAACTCTCTTGATGGAGTAGAGGGTGGGCTAGCGAGTCTTCCTGTCTGAATTTTCAACCATTTCTTAGTGCAATAATGTCTTACCATATCCATTATCATAGATAGTAATCAGTTCTCAGGATATCATCACAACCATTTTATTCTACCTTCTGATCAGCCATGACTACGGCCAGGGCCCATGCTTGGAGGGGGGCCTACCCTACTACACCCCGCAAATTATGCTGTGCAACCGAATGCACCTTGCAAGGTGCATACGGTTGCAAAACGGCGCCGTTTTGGTTAAAAAAACGCGCGTCCCACTTAAAAGAAGAAATTAGGTTCGATTCCCGGCAATAGCATTTTTATATATCCAGAAATTCATAACTATATAACCACAATTTCATAACTATATATCCACAATTTCATAACTATATATCCACAGTGAATGAATGAAGTAAAAATCCACAATGAATGAATGAATGAAGTAAAAATCCACAATGAATGAATGAATGAAGTAAAAATCCACAATGAATGAATGAATGAAGTAAAAAATTCACAATGAATGAACTAAATATCCACAATATATGATTGAACTAAATATCCACAATGAATGAACTAAATATCCATAAATTCATAACTATATAACCACAATTTCATAACTATATATCCACAATTTCATAACTATATATCCACAGTGAATTAATGAAGTAAAAATCCACAATGAATGAATGAATGAAGTCAAAATCCACAATGAATGAATGAATGAATGAAGTAAAAATCCACAATAAATGAACTAAATATCCACAATATATGATTGAACTAAATATCCACAATGAATGAACTAAATATCCATAAATTCATAACTATATAACCACAATTTCATAACTATATATCCACAATTTCATAATTATATATCCACAATAATGCTATTGCTGAGAGTCGAACCTGATTTTATTTTTTAAAGTGGGACGCGCGTTTTTAATCAAAACGACGTCGTTTTGAACCGTATGCACCATGCGCATGGTACATTCGGTTGCACAGCATAACTATTGACTACACCCTATATATATATAGTATGTACATATATGTATAACTAAATAAAATGCATATACTTTAGCGAAGGAGGAAGTAGTTTAATTGGTAGGAAACATGCGCCTGAAATAAGTTTATAAAGCAAAGATTATAGGGTCGAGACCCATCTGCTGCACTTTTGATATATTTTCCACAACACTAATAAACAAAAATTCAATTTGTGAGATTTATTTTAAATTTTGAAATCTATTTATAATTGAATAATTTAACACTTGTATTTATAAAAAGTTTTATTTTTTGAACTTTTATAATGCCTCAACACTCTATTAAATAAAAAATTAATTTGTGAGATTTATTTATAATTTTGAAATTTATTTATAATTGAGTAATATAATACTTGTATTTATAGCTAGTGTTATTTTGTGAACTTTTATAATGAGATGAGTTTTTGAAAATAATTTAAATTGATTAATTAATTTATATGAAATATATTTTGTGATTTAATTATTAATAAAAATTTAAATGATAGTTTTTTTTTATGAATTATTAAGTCAATGCATTTTGAAGTTTCTATATGGGAAAATGACACTTTTCCCCCTGTGTTGTTTACATATAGCATATTTTTCCCCTGTGTTGTTTATGTAACCACTTTATCCCCCTCAATTGTTTTTGAAGTGGCTATTTTCCACCCTCTCCGTTAAATAAGTGTTAGGGCTATTAAATATGAGGTTAAAAATGACATTTCACTTATTATTATTATTATTATTATTATTATTATTAAAATATAATAAACTATGTTAACATTTCTTTAAATTAATACTCCGTATAATTTAACTTTTTTTATTTTTATTGTATTAAAAATATTATTAAACACAAAAAAAATTAATTTAACAATTTAAAAAATTAACAAAGTAACTAAAAAAGAGTTAAATTAATTAATAAATTATAAATAAGATAAGTAAGATGAGACAGAGAAAATAAGTACTATCATAAAAAAAAAAAACAAAATATGATTTAAGCACATAATAATAATAATAATAATAATAATAATAATAATAATAATAATAATAATAATAATAATAATAAGAAGAAGAAGAAGAAGAAGAAGTGAAATGTCATTTTTACCCTCATATTTAATAGCCCTAACACTTATTTAACAGAGAGGGGAGAAAATAGCCACTTCAAAAATAATTAAGGGGAATAAAGTGGTTACATAAACAACACAGGGGGAAATATGCTATATGTAAATAACACAGGGGGAAAAAGTGTCATTTTCCCTTTCTATATGTTTCATTGTATTCAAAATATTCTAGAAAAACGTAAAATTGATCTAGTTAAAAGAAAATAATATTTATAAATATCATATCAATATAGGAGATGTGTGGTTTATAATGTGTTTTCTATTCAAACCATTTTATCAAATTAACTTAATTATGTTTCATATTTTGTTATTAGTATTTTACTGCGTTTTGAAGTATTTTGATTTCGCGCTTCCAATTACGATGATTTTTAGCTTCGTCCCCGTTTGTAAGTTTTGTTTTATAAATTTTTATTACTAATTAATTTATTATTTATTATTATAACAATGTTATTACTTATAAGCCAATTTGATTTGATTTTAAAGCACATAGGAGTTTTCTTTCATGATTATTTTTATACATAGTTAGGGCCCTTTTTTTTCACTCGCCCCGGGCCTCTAAAATGATAGGACCGGCCCTGACTACGGCAGCTGTCTTGTGCAGATTCTTGAATAAAACTATCTGGGCAGCCTCTGTAGTCCTTGTGCTTGCCTCTTTGGTGCGTTCACTATCATTTGATCTCCCATCCATCGGTCCTGACGATGCAAATACGCGCATCAAAGTTGAAGGAGATGCATCCATCACCACCCAGGGCCTCCAAGTCACACCGTATGAACGTGAATTGGTGTTGATTTACAAAACTGGGCGAGCCACGTATACTGAACCGCTGCAACTATGGGACAGGGGCTTCTGGAGATTTAGCTGATTTTACCACCACTTTCACTTTCATCATCGACTCAGAAGGTAACAGTACTTATGCTGACGGCCTGGCCTTTTTCTTGGCCGATTTTTCCACCCCATTGAACAGAACGCTCACTCGCGGCGGCGGCCTTGCGCTAATGAATGAGTTTATACCAAAATCTCCAGATCCTTTCGTTGCTGTGGTGTTTGATACCTATTCACACCCGCATCACCGCCCCATGACGAACGTAAGTATCAACATCAGATCTGTGGTAAAACCTGTTAATATCACGCCATGGTTCAACAATGTTACACAGGGGGTGGAAAATAACGCTTCCATAACTTATAATGCTACTTCCAAGATTCTCCAAGTTGTTTTTACAGGATTCTGGAATGGCCAGCACTTGACAGACAGCTTAGCTATGCGGAAGTTTTGAGAGGCAAGAAATGGAGAGATTAATGATTATCGGATTATGGTGTGCTCATCCTGATAATAACATTCGGCCAGAAATGAGCCAAGTTATACATTGTCTAAAATTCCAAGTGCAATTGTCTATCCTTCCATCAAAGATGCCTAAGCCAATTTACTCCACTCCTCCTCCAGATACAATCTCTTCTTTTGGAGTCGAAGCTGGTGAGAAACAACACTCTGGGTACCATAAGATTTTGGGCTTCAACACTACCCTATCCCGTTTCATTACATCTTCTACCCCGTTGTTGGAAATTAAAAATTACTTTACAACGTGTAGTACGTAGTCCAACGTTTTTGTGATTGTCTCATGTAACATTGTAAATATATTAATACTCTGCATCAAAGGTGTTTTACTTTTCATCTTTATTTATTTGTGAATACATTAATACAGGAACATGAATAAAAAAAAGACTTACAAATTGTTAAGAAATGTGAACAATATTTTTTAGACAGGGAGAGCTTTAATTACACAACTGAATGCTATAAAATAAAATTTGAGATGCCGGATGAATTTGAATTAATATTTGTGGTGATATTAAAATTGTCATCCCTACAAAAAGTATAAAACCTTAAAATAGAAGGAGATTCGGAGTTAATATCTAAAAGGTGTATACCAGATTTCTTGTGACCCTAAATTAACCGATTAATATATTATAAAAAGAGTTAATTCCACTAGAAGAATTTACTAGGTTACCAAAAGTTATAAACTAATTAAACCGGTTGAAATTGGTAAAATAATAAAAGAAAAATATAAAGAGACAAAAATGCCCTTACTAAAAATAAGAAAAATGATGAGAAGGATTAAAATTGTCCAAAAATAATAATCTATGGATGTTAAATGACAAAAACTGTGACTAAATTTAAAATTGCCACAAAAAACAAGAAACCTCTGGTAGAATTATATCTATTTTTTTAAATTTAATTTCAACTACTAATTTTTCAACTTTAAGATACATGTACTAATTTAGGGCGAGTGGGACCCACACAAATTATTAATGAGATATTTGATGTGATGCGAACCTGGTTGGCCCGATTCTCTTCACACTCAGACTAAAATAATATTTCAGAACAGTTTATTAGGTTAGGTGAAATCTGATTAAAAGGTTTAATTTAGACTCGGCCACACCGAGTTATACGGTGATACGTAGGATTTGTGATAAAGCCACAACTGAAGTTCCACACTTGATAATCATCCTAATTAATTAATATAACTAATTCTAAAATATTTTCAACAATTCATGTGATGATGTTAACTTGGGACTTGGGAGTATACTTGACATGGTAGAAGGAACTTTTCCTTCTTTATTTTCCGTTCCCCAAATCTCCAATGGCAGTATGAGACGAAGGAATATCTTTGAAAATTTCAACTCGGAAAGCTTCAATGGGAAGATTTGGCAACCAAAATAAAGACTTTATCGTCAGGGCATTAATATGCATGCATGCATCAAATCAATCAATATGAACATTTATGCTATTTGATGTTAGTGGTGGGATATCCTTTCAGGAAAAATAAAAATGTAGGAGACTAGGTGACTTCTTCAAACTAGAAAGATTGGCGAACATTCATAAATGGCGGGCAAGAATATTCAACGTCTTTGTATGTAGCTTAGCTTGCTAAATCTAGTTTTGAGGATGAGCTAGCTAGCACAATTGAATTGGGTGAAGAAAATAATAATCTGAATCTGGAAGCTAAGCCATGGCAGCTGCCTTGTTGTGTAGATTCTTGGATATCTCCGTCTTTGCGTTTCTATTCCTTGTGCTTCCCTCTTTAGTCTGTTCATCACTCTCATTTGATCTGCCTAGCATCAGTCCAGATAATGCTGTGCACATCAAACTAGAAGGGGATGCATATATCACACCCCAGGGCATCCAAGTCACGCCATATGAACGCAACTCGGAGTTGACTTACAAAGTTGGGCGAGCCATGTATGTTAAATCTTTGCACCTATGGGACAAGGATTCTGGAGATTTAGCTGATTTTACCACCCATTTCACTTTCAAAATCGACTCCAATGGTATGACTCCCTATGCTGATGGAATGGCCTTTTTCTTGGCCAATTTTCCCATTCCATTCGGTGCATATCTCGCCAATGGTAGCAGCCTTGGCCTAACTGAATGGCCTCATGAAACACCTCGAGATCCTTTCGTTGCTGTGGTGTTCCGTACATTCCCAAATACAAATGTAAGTATCAACGTTAATTCTACACTAGAATTTGTTAATAGAACAGCATGGTCCAACAACGTTACTCAGGGAAAGGATAACAATGCTTCCATTACTTATAATGCTACTACCCAGATCCTTCAAGTTGTATTTACAGGATTCTGGAACGGCCAGTACCTCACAGACAGCCTTAGCTGTAAGGTTGATCTGAGGAAACACTTGCCCCAATTCATTACCATTGGCTTCTCAGCTGCAACAGGACAATACTTCGAGAGAAACACTGTCAAGTCATGGCAGTTCAATTCCACTTCACTGAGGCCGGTCAGTAGTGTATCTCCAAGTCCTCCTCAAGAAGAAAAAAAGAAGAAGAAGAAATGGCTAGTGATAGGATTGAGTATTGGTGTTCCAATTTTAGTTGCTTTCTTGGCTTTAGGCATCTGTACTTATCGTAAGAAGATGCATGTAGATGATGAGATTATTATTCTTGGTCAGGCCATGGACACTGAATTTCAAATGGCTAGCAGTGGTCCTAAAAAGTTCTCATACACTGAATTGGAGACTGCAACTAACAACTTTGCAGAGGAGCATAAGCTTGGAGAAGGGGGGTTTGGAGGGGTTTATAGAGGTTTCTTAAGCAGACTAAACTTGGATGTGGCTGTGAAGAGAGTCTCAAGTGGGTCTAAACAGGGGATTAACGAATACGCATCAGAAGTAAAGATCATCAGCCGATTGAGACATAGAAACTTGGTGCCACTTCACGGTTGGTGTCACGAGAAAGGCGAGCTGCTTCTTGTTTATGAATACATGCCTCAAGGCAGCTTAGATTCCCATCTCTTCAAGACAACGTCACTGTTGAATTGGGAGCTCAGGTATAGAATTGCACAAGGCTTGGCCTCAGCTTTGTTCTATCTGCATGAAGAGTGGGAAAAATGTGTATTGCATAGGGATATTAAGTCCAGCAATGTCCTGTTGGACTCGAGCTTCAACGCTAAGCTAGGTGATTTTGGGTTAGCTTGGCTTGTTGACCATGAAAATGCACCCCAAAACACCATAGCCGGAGGAACACCAGGGTATGTAGCCCCAGAATGCAATTTCACATTCAAGACGAGCAAAGAATCAGATGTGTATAGTTTTGGAATCGTTGCATTAGAAATTGCTACTGGGAAAAGAGCAATCATTGTCAATGAACCAGAAGGTGTGAAAACCTTGGTGGAATGGGTTTGGGATTTGTATGAAATGGGAAAGCTAATGGAAGCTGCTGATCCTAAGCTATGCGGAAACTTTGAGAGGCAAGAAATGGAGCAATTATTCATGATCGGGCTGTGGTGTGCTCATCCTGATAGTACTTGCCGACCAAAAATAAGCCAAGCTTTACATTGTCTTAAATTCCTAGTGCAATTGCCCACCCTTCCACCAAAGATGCCTAAGCCATTCAACGTTTCAAGTTCGCATTGGCAAATATTTGAGGGCTATACGAGGTCCAGCAACATCAGTTGTCCCTCACGTTTCACTTCATCTTCCATAATGGATACTGGTTCTTCATCTTCTGCCTCACATTCACACACACACTGATATATAGCACAATATTCTTAATTTCAAACAAGAACATTACTTATTTTGTCTGTTAATGATATATTTTTGTGTGCTTGCTATTAAGTCATTGGTCATGTTGTTGTCTCTTGTATTTATCTCTGCTCTGTGTTTACAATAAAGTAGTATAAGAACAGTGGTGATTGAAAATGTAAGAGTGTGAGATACTGTTGTAGAAGAAGGTTATGTTGAGTGTTGAGTTTTTATTTTTATTTTTATTTTATTTTATTTTATTTTTAAGCCTATAGCTATATTATAGAATTAGTGTTTTAATTTCTTGCTTTGTTATTTTTGGCACTTAAAAGTAAGTCTTTTATTTGTTGTAACAATTAGATATTCTTTTTAAGTCTAATGTAAGATCGAGTGTGAGATACTCTAATGACATAATCAACAATCGTTGCTTAAATCATTTCATCATTTTCTTCCAAAGAAGATATAAGGTTAATCACTTTGGATGTCGGTCTCAAAGTTCACAATGCACCGTGTGGTCGATCTTGAACACCCCACCCTTATTCCTTCCCATTCACTCATCACCCCCAACTCCTTGCAATAAACACCCCCAACTGCTACTTTAACCCAAATTAGCCATAAAGTCCGCACACTTATTGCCTTTGCGAAGATTGTGATTGAGATCACATGCTTGAAAATAATTCATAGATCAATTGTTGAATTTAGACTATTTTTATAATAAAAAAATTGATCAAATTGGATTTAGAACCGTGAATCGGCGGTTCAAAAATTAGAACTGAATTGCGGTCATATCTACTTATATGTGAGAATTAAAATAAATGCAAAAAAGAACATACAATATTTGTAAATATTACAATTCTAATTTTAAGCTAATGCTAGTAGTGGTTCCGATTTTGAATTGCTGATTCACGGTTTATGATTCAATTTTTTTGGTTCGTGATTTTAATAAATTGAAAGCCAAATATTGGGTTCCGGTTCTGAATCATAACTAGAACCTTTCGATTCGGTTGTTACAATGTTTGGTTTGGTTCTATGAACCATGATCATCCCTACATATAAATAATATTTTGTTGGAGAAGAAAAATAAATAAAATATTTATTTTAAAGATAAAAATGTTCATTTGATATATCAAGGGAAAAACCCACAACTTTTAAAATAATTGAGGGGCTAATGCTGATACATGAATAATTTAAGGGCAAAAGTGCCATTAGGGTGATTGAGTCCCGCACATGCCTAAAGACTGAAATGGGAACGAAATTCAATTTGTTGACAAAAATAATAAGCTTTTGAAAAACGAACAAGATTAAGAAAAGAGCATTTGAGACACGTGTTTCTGTGTCAGAAACGCAGGCCCCACATGCGATATATAACCACAGATGCAAATAAGACTTGCATTTGATGTATTATTATACATGAAACGCAAATAACTTGCCTGTGATTATATGTCAAACTAATGTGGGATATGCGTTTCTAACTAATCCTATCCATCTTTCAAAAGCTTCTAACTTTTGTTAACAAATTAGATTTCTTTTCCATTCCAGTATTTGACCCCACATGCTTAATTAATGAGGTATTTTATATTAAAAGGAACTTTCCCTTCTTTATTATTTTCCGTTCTCCTCGAGGGGTCTGAAAGCTTCAATAATATATTTAATGGGAATGACGATTTGGCAACAAAAATAGACTTTGTCGTCATGGCATGGCACTAATATAAACCGAACAATATGAACATTTCTGCTAGTGGTGGCCGGTGGGATTAAACTATGAACATTTCTGCTAGAATAATCTATATGCCTATAGGAAACTAGCTAGGTGGGTGGGTGAGTCTTCAAATTAAACTAGCTAAAAAGCTTGGTGATCGAACACTAATGGCGGGCGAAAATATTCATACGTAGAGCGTGGACTTGCTAGCAAAGTCGTCTTTACATTGTACCTACCTTAGCTTGCTAAATCTTTGAGGATGAGCTAGCACAATCTGGAAACTAAGCCATGGCCTTGTTGTGTAGATTCTTGGATATCTCCACCTTTGCCTTTGCCTTTATATTCCTTGCGCTTCCCTCTTTAGTCTGTTCATCACTCTCATTTGATTTGCCCAGTATCGGATCTGACGACGATGTGAGCTTCAAATTCCAAGGAGAAGCATCTATCACACCCCAGGGCATCCAACTCACACCATATTACGATGAATTGCCGGTGAATAACTACAAAGCTGGTCGGGCCATGTATGTCGAATCGTTGCACCTATGGGACAAGGATTCTGGGGATTATTTAGCTGATTTTACCACCCATTTCACTTTCAACATTGACTCCAATGGTACCACTCCCTATGCTGATGGAATGGCCTTTTTCTTGGCTAATTTTTCCAAACCATTCGGTGCATATCACACTTATGGTAGAGGCCTTGGCCTAACTCAATGGCCTCAAGAAACACCTCGAGATCCTTTCGTTGCTGTGGTGTTCCGTACATTCCCAGATACAAATGTAAGTATCAATGTTAATTCTACACTAGAATCTGTTAATATCACGGGATGGTTGAACAATGTTACTCAGGGAAAGGATAACAATGCTCCCATTACTTATAATGCTACTTCCCAGATCCTTCAAGTTGTATTTACAGGATTCTGGAACGGCCAGTACCTCACAGACAGCCTTAGCTGTAAGGTTGATCTGAGGAAACACTTGCCCGAATTCATTACCATTGGCTTCTCAGCTGCAACGGGAATATACTCCGAGAGAAACACTGTCAGGTCATGGCAGTTCAATTCCACTTCACTGAGGCCGGGCAATGACGAAAAGAACAAGAAGAGAGGGCTAGTGATAGGATTGAGTATTGGTGTTCCAGTTTTAGTTGCTCTATTGGCTTTAGCCATCGTTACTTGTCTTAAAAAGACACGAACAGAAATAGGAAACAATCAAGAGATTGTTCTTCTTGGTCAGGACATGGATACTGAATTTCAAATGGTTAGCAGTGGTCCTAAAAAGTTCCCTTACACTGAATTGGAGAGTGCAACTAACAACTTTGCAGAGGAGCATAAGCTTGGAGAAGGGGGGTTTGGAGGGGTTTATAGAGGTTTCTTAAGGAGTCTAAACTTGGATGTGGCTGTGAAGAGAGTCTCAAGTGGGTCTAAACAGGGGATTAACGAATATGCATCAGAAGTAAAGATCATCAGCCGATTGAGACATAGAAACTTAGTGCCACTTCACGGTTGGTGTCACGAGAAAGGCGAGCTGCTTCTTATTTATGAATACATGCCAGAAGGCAGCTTAGATTCCCATCTCTTCAAGAGAAAGTCACCTTTGAATTGGGAGCTCAGGTATAGAATTGCACAAGGATTGGCCTCAGCTTTGTTCTATCTGCATGAAGAGTGGGAAAAATGTGTATTGCATAGGGATATTAAGTCCAGCAACGTCCTGTTGGACTCCAGCTTCAACGCTAAACTAGGTGATTTTGGGTTAGCTTGGCTTGTTGACCATGAAAATGCACCCCAAAAAACCATAGCCGGAGGAACACCAGGGTATGTAGCCCCAGAATGCAATTTCACATTCAAGACGAGCAAAGAATCAGATGTGTATAGTTTTGGAATCGTTGCACTAGAAATTGCTACTGGGAAAAGAGCAATTATTGTCAATGAACCAGAAGGTGTGAAAACCTTGGTGGAATGGGTTTGGGATTTGTATGGAATGGGAAAGCTACTAGAGGCTGTAGATCCTAAACTATACGGAAACTTTGATGAGCAAGAAATGGAGCAGTTAATGATGATCGGGCTGTGGTGTGCTCACCCTGATAGTACTTGTCGACCAAAAATAAGCCAAGCTTTACATTGTCTTAAGTTCCTAGTACAATTGCCCACCCTTCCACCAAAGATGCCTAAGCCATTCAACGTTTCAAGTTCGCATTGGCAAATATTTGAGGGCCATACGAGGTCCAGCAACATCAGTTGTCCCTCGCGTTTCACTTCATCTTCCATCATGGATACTGGTTCTTCATCTTCTGCCTCACATTCGCACACACACTGATAGCACAATATTATTCTTAATTTCAAACAAGAACATTACTACTAATTGTGTCTGTTAATGATATATTGTTGTGTGCTTGCTATAAAGTCATTTGGTCATGTTGTTGTCTCTTGTATTTATCTCTGCTCTGTGTTTACAGTAAAGTAGTATAAGAACAGTGGCAATTGAAAATGTTAAGTGTGAGATACTATTGTATAAGAAGCCAGGTTGTTATGTTGAGTCTTGAGGTTTGAACTATAGCTATAAAATTAGTGTTTTCTTGCATTGTTATTTTTGACACTTAAATAAGTCTTTTATTTGTTGTAACAACTAGAAATTCTTCTCTTACTTTATGTATTTATATTTTGTATTCGTTGCATTATACCGAGGACATGTTTTAAAAGACAATTTTCTTACTGGAACAAGTTATAATAGTAGAATTTTTCAACATGTGTATTAAAAATTTATATGTTCTTGCTATAAAGTCATTAGTTGGGAGGTCAATTATGTGTTTTGCTAGATGAATAATGATGTTTAGACATGATTTAAATGATGTTGCTTTTGTATTTATCTCCGCTATAAGTATAATCGTTTCATCTTTCCTACAGTTGCAAGATTAGTCTCTTGCATTTCATTGCTGAAAAAGTTGAGATTTTCGACTATAAAAAATGATTGAAAATTTTAAGGTTCATGGTTGAAAATTGAGTAGCACTTTAAAAATCTTGAAAAAATATAATAATCCATTAATATTGATGTGAGACACTATATAATTAAAGAAAATATAAATGTAATGTTTTCCCCCTAAAATAACAGAAAAAATTAATATTACTCTGTATCATTTTAAAATGCAATTTCTTTCTTGAACAAGTACTACTTTTCATGATTTTATTAAAGAAGTCTAGGAGTGGCAAAGTTCCAAAAATATGATCATACATATGATCAAAAACACCCTAAAAATTATTAACATGTCATTGATCGATGTACCTTCCTTATATCTTAGATTCATTAACTGCTTCAATAAAAACAATTTGTTATTGCTTGTTTTGAAAGTATACGAAGTCTCAATTAAGTTTATTCCACATGCTTCTGACATATGTCTCATTAATAATGTGGTTCAGAACATTATCTACAACCTATTGTCGAATATAACCATGCACAAACCTTTTTGGTGCTTAAAGTTTCACTCCTTGTTTGATATATTTTTTTGGCTTTGCAGTTTGCACTAGCAAACACATGTAGATATATGTAATTTCTTCACAAATAGAAGATCCTTTATCTCGGCCTTCTAAATGTGATAATTTTTACTATTCAATCGTATCTATTACTTATATTTGTCTCAATATCAAATATACTCAATCAACAATCACCACTTTATTTGGAAAAATCTCACTCCCTGTGACAATGAAAAACACAAAAACCACACGATGCACAAATACGAAATAATACACAACATCCCAAAAATAAATATCAAAGGAATACACGATTTACGTGAAGCATCCTAAATCGGGAAAAATTCACCGGACCACCCATAACAAAGTTTTGACTATAACAAATCTGGGGGTAGGCTATCACATGAGTCATACATCCATAAATCATAATATATATCAACTCTAGGTCAAAAATATTCTTTCACATCCACGGGCTAAAGGAATAATATCTCAACCACCACGAACAAAATAAAAATGAATACAAATAGTAGGAGAATACTCAAAAGATGTTTGAAATAAATCTAAGGACCTTTAAAAGATTTGATGAAGATAGCATCCAAAAGTTTGGCAAACTCACAACAAAACTGTACCAAAGATAAAGAAGAGAGAAAAATGGATGGTTTCCTCGTCCCTGCTTTCTGCCGAATGGAATGAAAGAAAGAAGAAGAAAAATGGTTTTCTTTTCTTCACACTTTCTGCCAACAAACAATAATGAAGAAGAGTGAAGCCAAAATGAAGTTGGTTTCCTTTTTCACTTGCTAACAAAGTGGATAATGAAGATAAGAAATAAAAATATATTTCCTTTCTCCACTTGCTGAATTGATGAGTGCGTACGTGTGTGCTGCCAGCTTGCTTTTCACAGGGAGGGACCCAACACTCCCAAACAAGGACGAAGTCAGAAATTCAATTGAAGGGGGTGAAGAAGTAAGGACGAATTCAGAATATTTTTACAGTAAAGGCGAAACATTAAAACGAAAGAGATAATTAAAAGAAACACATCTCATTATTAATATAAAAGAATGTTATATATATTTGTATGTATTAAATAAAAAGCCAACTATAAAAATATGTTCCTACCAAGATTTGAACTCCTACCCTTTATCATCATAACTCAACATATGCTTAACCAACTCATCTAAACCATATCTTATTAATATTTAATAGTTTTATTTTACTAATACTAATACATATACATATATACATATATACATATATATATATATATATATATATATATATATATATATATATATACAAAAATTATATATGTGGTGGGGTGGGGTGAGGGTGGCTCCGTCCCTGCTCCCAAATGTGCTAGGGCCTAAGAGCCTAAGTTTTTCAGAATAAAACGAATTTTGAGCATTCAAGAATTAAACCTGGCGAACAAGAATAAGAAAAAACACAATTTCTTGTGGGGAATAGATTGACAAACTGCTGTCATGCTTCTCTTCTACTACTTTTTCTCTACTGCCTCTCACTCCGTATCACATTTTAAGTTGAATTTGAAAAAAAAAAAAAAAAAAAATCTCCGAATCAATGGTCGTGAAGGAGACTGAGAACTGTGAAAGGCAACTATGGTAACTGGTAAGGAAAAATACAGAGTGATGGAGAATGAGACTTTAAAAAGTGTTGGATTCCATGCTTTAATATTTCAAATCATCATTATTTAAGCAGGGACCATCTTTTGCTTTATAAAAGGAACTTTAGTCCTCCTTTTCTTGATCATCATTCAAATAGATAAAGGACAAGATTAAGTTATGGAAAAGATAAGAAATTAATAAAACATTGTTAAAGTGATCTAATGACTATATTTTGAGAATCAATTTTTATTAACCCATTATCAGTATGAACATTTCTGCTATTTGATGTTACGTTAGTGGTGAGACTAAGTGACTTCTTCAAACTAGAAAAATTGGTGTACACTAATAAATGGCGGACAAAACTATTCAACGTCTTTAATTTATTCTTACCTTATCTAGTGTTGAGTAACAACTATTAGAGCTAGCACAATTGGGTGAAGAAAATTAAACTCAGCTCCCATCTAAATAAAATAATAAGCTAAGCCATGGCAGCAGCTTTTGCTGCCTTGTTGTGTAGATTCTTGGATATCTCCCCAGCCTTTGCCTTTGCCTTTGTATTCCTTGTGTTTCCCTCTTTAGTTTGTTCCCTCTCATTTGATTTGCCTAGTATCGGTGAAGACGATAACGTGAGCCTCAAATTAGATGGAGATGCATCTATCACACCCCAGGGCATCCAACTCACGCCATATTATTACGATGCATATAAATTGCCGGTGAATAATTACAAAGCTGGTCGAGCCATGTATGTTGAATCGTTGCACCTATGGGACAATGATTCTGGAGATTTAGCCGATTTTACCACACGTTTCACTTTCAACATCGACTCAAATGGTACCACTCCCTATGCTGATGGAATCGCCTTTTTCTTGGCCAAAATTTCCAAACCATTGAGTTCATATCCCACTTACGGTAACAGCCTTGGCCTAACTCAATGGAAAACAGAAAAAGCTGTAGATCCTTTCGTTGCTGTGGTGTTCGATACATACTCGATCAACAAGCCTCTCACTAATGTAAGTATCAACATTAATTCTACATTAGAATCTGTTAATATAACAGCATGGTTGAACAACGTTACTCAGGGAAAGGATAACAATGCTTCCATTACTTATAATGCTTCTTCCAAGATCCTCCAAGTTGTATTTACAGGATTCTGGAACGGCCAGTACCTCACAGACAGCCTTAGCTGTAAGATTGATCTGAGGAAACACTTGCCTGAATTCATTACCATTGGCTTCTCAGCTGCAACGGGAATATACTCCGAGAGAAACACTGTCAAGTCATGGCAGTTCAATTCCACTTCACTGAGGTCGGGCAGTGAAGGAAAGAACAAGAAGAAAGGAGTAGTTATAGGATTGAGTATTGGTGTTCCAATTTTAGTTGCTTTGTTGGCTTTAGGCGTCTGTACTTATCTTAAGAAGAAGATGCATGCAGATGATGAGATTATTATTCTTGGTCAGGCCATGGATACTGAATTTCAAATGGCTAGCAGTGGTCCTAAAAAGTTCTCATACACTGAATTGGAGACTGCAACTAACAACTTTGCAGAGGAGCATAAGCTTGGAGAAGGGGGGTTTGGAGGGGTTTATAGAGGTTTCTTAAGGAGCCTAAACATGGATGTGGCTGTGAAGAGAGTCTCAAGTGGGTCTAAACAGGGGATTAAGGAATATGCCTCAGAAGTGAAGATCATCAGTCGATTGAGGCATAGAAATTTGGTACCACTCCACGGTTGGTGTCACGACAAAGGTGAGCTGCTTCTTGTTTATGAATGCATGCCAGAAGGCAGCTTAGATTCCCATCTCTTCAAGGGAAAGTCAGTCTTGAATTGGGGGCTCAGGTATAGAATTGCACAAGGCTTGGCCTCAGCTTTGTTCTATCTGCATGAAGAGTGGGAAAAATGTGTATTGCATAGGGATATTAAGTCCAGCAATGTCCTGTTGGATTCGAGCTTCAATGCTAAACTAGGTGATTTTGGGTTAGCCTGGCTTGTAGACCATGAAAAACCTTCCGAAAAAACTTTAGTTGGAGGAACACCAGGGTACGTAGCCCCAGAATGTCATTTCACATTCAAGACTAGCAAAGAATCTGATGTCTATAGTTTTGGAATTGTTGCATTAGAAATTGCTACTGGGCAAAGAGCAATAATTTTTGTTGACGAAACAGAAGGTTTCAAAAGGTTGGTGGAATGGGTTTGGGATTTGTATGGAATGGGAAAGCTAATGGAAGCTGCTGATCCTAAACTATGCGGAAACTTTGAGAGGCAAGAAATGGAGCAATTAATGATGATCGGGCTATGGTGTGCTCATCCTGATAGTAATTTTCGACCAAAAATAAGCCAAGCTTTACATGGTCTTCAACTCCAAGTACAGGTGCCCACCCTTCCACCAGAAATGCCAGTTTACTCAACTTGTTATAATGTGCCATCCTTTACAAATTTGCGTTCCCAGATATTTGAGGGCTACACCAGTCCTAGCAACAACAGTTATCCCTCGCATGTAACTTCATCTTCGGCCACGGATGCCTCACATTCGCATACACACTGATAGCACCCTCCTTAGCATCATGGATTCCCTATCTTAATTCCAACCAAAAACGTTATGTACTGTGCCTGTTAAAGATATATTTATGTGTTGTTGTCTCAACTCTTGTATTTATCTCTTCTTTATGTTTACAATAAAGTTGTATAAGAACAGTGGTGATTGAAAATGTATGCCTGTGAGATACTATTGTAGAAGGTTATGTTGACTTGTTGAGTCGTTATAGAATTAGTGTGTTTCTTCCACTGGTATTTTTGGCACTTAAATAGGTATTTTATTTGTTGTAACAACTAGAAACTCTTGGCCTTTGCTGTATCTACATGAAGGGTGGGAAAAATGTGTGTTGCATAGGGACATCAAGTCAGTAATGTGTTGTTGGTTTCAAGCTTCAATGCCAGGCTAGGCGATTTTGGGTTAGCCAAGCTTGTTGACCATGAAGTGGCACCTGAAAAAACCTTGTCCGGGAGAACACCGGGGTACATAGCTTCAGAGTGTCATTTCACGTTCAAGACTAGCAAAGAATCAGATGTGTATAGTTTCGGGATTGTTGCACTAAAAATTGCATGTGGACGGAGAGCTATTATCGCCAATGAATAAGGTGTGAAAAGGTTGGTGGAATGGGTTTGGGATCTGTATGGATCGGGAAGGCTACTGGAAGGTGCGGATCCTAAGCTATGCAGAAGTTTTGAGGGCCGGCCAAGAAATGAAGAAATTAATGATTATCGGATTATGGTGTGCTCACCTGATAATAACAATCGGTCAAAAATGAGCCAAGTTGTACATTGTCTAAAATCCCAAGTGCAATTGCCTATCCTTCTATCAAAGATGCCTATGCCAAATTACTCCACTCCTCCTCCAGATACACTCTTTCCTTTTGGAGTCGAAGATGATGAGAAACAACAATTTGTGTACCATAAGATTTTTGACGTCAACACTAGTCTATCACGTTTCATTTCATCTTCTGGCCTGTTGTTGAAAATTAAAAATTACTTTACATGTAGTAATTAATCCAACGTTTTTGTGATTGTCTCATGTAGCATTGTAAATATATTAATACTCTGCATTAATGTTGTTTTGTTTTCTGTTTTTTCATCTTTATTTGGTTGTAAATACATCAATACAGGAACATGAATAAAAAATGACTTACAAATTGTTAAGAAATGTGAACAATTTTTTATCGACGGGAAGAGCTTTAATAAAAAGTCTAATTTGCTCGCAACTGATTTGCATACACCAAAAGTGAATGATTCATCACTTGCTGATGTAATTACATTTGTGTATGTTTTTATTGTTATTTTGAATCATCTCAGTAATTAAGTTTTTTAATTTTGCTTATTTAATACATGTTTTCCTTGCTTTCTCATTAGGATATGGTTTTACACTTCTTTTGAATGTTTTACGGTGTTTGGTAGTTTTTTTTTAACCATTACAGGTCAAGTGCAAAAGCAAGGGGAGATTTTTAAGCACGAATGGAGCAAAAAGAGAAGGAAGTTGAGGCATCATAGCCTCGACGCGTCGAGCCCGTTGCTTGACACGTCGAGAATTTCCAATAACTAAAGACTGTGCCCAGATCAGAGGCTCGACGCGTTGAGAGCGCGTATTGCTGAAATATTTGGAAGTCTGAAACTTTCCTAAAATAATTCTATTGGGTTCCCACTATAAAAGGATCATCTTCCATTAACCCTAGACTCCTTCTTTTTCTCAGATTTTGGTTTTGGAAGGCAACAAAGAGCAAAAACCAAGAGGACCAACTTCAAGATTGACAATTAACTTTGGAGTAGAGAATTGACTAGGAAGATTAAGGAGAATTCTTTCCCTCTTTATCTTATTCTTATTGTTGTTTGTTTATCTTTCAAGATTGTATTGAATGCTATTATGGCCATGAGTGGCTAAAAACCCTTAGGGATTTTTGGGTGAATTTGTTTATGAACCTATGTGCCTAGTTCTTTAATTCTTTAATATATTTATGTTTGGGTTTATGATTTGTTTGCAATCTTGTTTTAATCTGTTGCTGATAGTAATTAAAGGCCTAAATTACTTACTTCATTAGCCATGTTCATGTCATAACGAGAACTAGGCATAAATTAGGATACACACGATTGCACTTAACTGTTGCACCTTGAGAAAGGGAAAATTGGTTGGGGAATTTATTCTAAATTGTTGCGTATCGAGAGGTGGTAGTAATTGGGAATAAATGAATGCTGTTCTTTGTTCTTATTGAGTGTTTAAGCGACGAGAGTGAAAATTCACTAGGGGTAGAGATTACGAAAATAATTCAATTCCACTTTGCATTCTCACACTAGTCTTAATTCAAACTAAATATTACAACTTTGATTAGCACTATGCGATTAAACATTGTGGATCCCAAGAATCCTGCTTTGCTCTATTGCTTACAACACCTTGTTAATTAGTTTATTCTGTCTTTTATTTTCTACAATTATCAAATCTTCAAGTTTCTTTCAGATTAGTTCCATATGAGTAACCAAGTAGTTAGTGCTTAGTACCCCACTTCCATGTGAATCGATAACCCGAATATTTCGAGTATTATTTGTTTGCCTAAATTACCGCAATAAGTTGCCAAAAGGTTCAAAAAGATAAGAGGGGACCAAGATTTCCTTGTATAGAGTGGACTGGCAAAGCAAGTCTTCCATGGACCATGGTTAGAGCAATCACTATATGGACTATTTCTTAAGAACCCAAAGCATGTTCACTATTGTTTGAACTAGCAATTGCGAATAAACATTATTGTATTTTCTCTAATCCATGGCGGCAGAAGCAGCAGCAGCCTTGTGCAGATTCTTGAGTATCTCAGCCTTTGTATTCCTTCTCCTTGCCTCGTTAGCGTGTTCGCTCTCATTTGATCTGCCTAGCATCAGTCCAGATGATGCCGTGCACATCAAACTAGAAGGGGATGCATATATCACACCCCAGGGCATCCAACTCACGCCATATGCACCGAACAAAGCTGGTCGAGCCAACTATGTTGAATTGTTGCACCTATGGGACAAGGATTCTGGAGATTTAGCTGATTTTACCACCCATTTCACTTTCACCATAGGCTCAGATGGCAGAAATGGATATGCTTCTGGACTGGCCTTCTTCTTGGCCAACTTTTCGGCTCCATTCAATACAACAATCACTGGTGGTGGCGGTCTTGGCCTTATGAATCAGAGTCTACAAACATCCCAAGATCCTTTTGTTGCCGTGGTGTTCGACACATTCTCACACCAGGAGAATCGACCTCAGACGAATGTAAGTATCAACATTAAATCTATGCTAGAGCCTGTTAGTATCACAGAATGGTTGAACAACATCACTGTGGGGATGCCTAATAATGCTTGCATTACTTATAGTGCTACTTCCAAGATTCTTCAAGTTGTTTTCACAGGATATTGGAATAGCCAGTACCTGACAGGCAGCCTTAGCTGTAAGGTTGATCTGAAGGAATACTTGCCCGAATTCGTTACCTTTGAATTGGAGGTTCAGGTATAAAATTGCACAAGGCTTGGCCTCAGCTTTATCCTATCTGCATGAAGAGTGGGAACAATGTGTATTGCACAGGGACATTAAGTCCAGCAATGTCCTGTTGGATTCAAGCTTCAATGCTAGACTTGGTGATTTTGGGTTGGCCTGGTTGGTTGACCATGAAAAAGCACCGGAAAAGACTTATTTGGGAGGGACACCAGGGTACGTAGCCCCGGAATGTCTACAGTTTTGGAGTTGTTGCATTAGAAATTGCATGTGGACGAAGAGCAATTCTTACTAAAGAACCCGAGGGTGGGAAAAGCTTGGTGGATTGGGTTTGGGATTTGTATGGAATGGGAAAGCTACTGGAAGTTGCAGATCCTAAGCTATGCGGAAATTTTGAAAAGCAAGAAATAGAACGATTAATGATTATCGGGTTATGGTGTGCTCACCCTGATAGTAACTCCCGTCCACCAATAAGCCAAGCTTTACTTTGGCTTAAATTCCAAGGGCAACTGCCCATCCTTCCATCAAAGATGCCTAAGCTAGTTTACTCAATTTCTTCTAATGTGCCCTTAATTTCGAGTTCGCATGCCCAAACATTTGAGTACCATTCGAGTTCTGGCCACAACAGTTGTCCCTCACGTTTCACTTCATCTTCGACCTCGGATGCAAGTTCTTCGGCATCTGCCCCACACTTCCGCACACACTGATAAAACCAACATTGTTGGTTTCTCCATCTTAGTTTCAGTCAAAAACATTTCTCTATCTATGAAAGGTTTCTGTGTGCTTGGTATATAGTCATTTCTAGTGGCTAAATTATGGATGTTTGCTACATGTATAATGATGTTAGATATATAGGATTGAGCACATAATATCATGCCATATTATCTTTTGTATATATTTATGTCTACTATACTCTAATGACATAATCAGCAATTGTTTCTTAAGTCTTTCCATCATTTTCTCCCAAAGTAGATGCAAGGTTAATCACCTTTAGCCCGAATTGACAAACAATCTTCCGGGACCATGTCATGCTTCAATTCATATTCAATTGTTATGTCATGGACCCGGGTCTACCTCGCAAGGTGGACTTGGGTCAAAATACCCAATTTATATAGTAAGGGTGTGTTTGGTTTGCACATAGGAATCGGAATCGGAATCGGAATTGGTATCAAATACTTGGTAATGGTAATGGGTGGAATGGAAATAGTTACTAATAGTAGTGCTTGAGAATGAATAAGGGTTTCATTCCCTTATTTTTGAATTGATAGGGTATTCAAAACTCAAAAGTAGTATTCTAAAAACCTATCAACCAAACAACAACAATCACTTTCATACCCACCAACCAAACACACCCTAAATGTTTATAATTCAAATTCTGAACATTTAGTATATAAAATTGTAAACATTCAGTATGTAAATGGTAAACATTCAGTATGTAAATGGTAAACATTCAGTATGTAAATTGTGAATATTTAATATATAAATTGTGAATTTTTGGACCCGAGTCCAAAAAAAAATTGGCATGCACAATGCTGTTGGCCATGGGCATGGCCACAACCATGGCTTGCGACAGTGGCTCTGATCAGCCTCCATCTCAAAACATTCATGACTCCAAAAATTCTTCACTTTAGTCATCAAATTGTAACCTCATGCTACGGTGATTTCAAAATTTGACCAAATAACATATTTTTTTTTTTTTTTTAAAATGACCAAATAACATATTAATTGACTCGAAACATCATTTTTCTTGTCAATAATTCATAGTTGACAAAATCAACTCAATAAGATTTTTTTGAAAATAACTCAATAAGATAACAAATAACAAACAAAAGAATACTAAAAAGTGTAGGAAAATAGTAATAATTTAATTTAAACACATCAGGGAAGGTCACTCACACAACCATTTGCTTATTAATTTTTTTTTTAATTTATCCAATCCTGCTTAGTTCTCGTCGCAAATAACTCGCAATATGCAATGATTTTCTGTGGGCTTGCAGCGGTCAAATTAATTTTTACCGTTGCAATGGTTGCTTTATTTATTCATTTATTTATTTTTAATGGACGATTAGAAATTAATTTAAATGCATTGTTATAAATGAAATTATGTCTTTTTTTAAAAAAATAAATGTTGTATTAGAAATATATTGCTATGCCTAACTATGTGATATTATAGTAAAGAGTTAATTCCATTTTTAGTCCTAGATTTTAAGATTTGTATGTGACAATCTACTTTTAGACCTTTTTTATTAGAACATCCTTATTTGGTCATAGTATTATTGTGGCATGACCGCATGATTATTTTTAGTCCTCCATCAATAAAAATGTTGAAATGTCGTTAAATGCAAAGACATTTCAATTTTTTTTTTTATACAAAGTAGATTAAATCGCAAATTGAAGACCAAAATGTCCTTGTATTTAATTATATTTAAACTGTTTTGTTGATAAAAATATAAAAAATAATAATGTCACAATAATACTATGACCAAAAGCGAATATTTTGATTAAAAAATTAAAAAAAAAAAAAAAAACTTAAATGGGTTGACACCTATAAATCTAGGACCAAAAATAAAATTAACTCTATAGTAAATTTCGACAAAAATGTTACTATTTACTAAAAAAAAATTAAAATTTTGAAACGACCATTGATCCACAAATACACACATAAGGGCAGAAATGAATACTTCAATCCACTCGAAATCCATTTCGAATTAGATTTTTTTTAGGTGATAGCAGGTGATGAGTCTTAAAAGAATTAAAATTGCAGTGAGTTAGGTTGTATATATGAGGGGTTTTTTTTTGAGGAATAAAACTGAATTCATTGAATCAACTGATAAACAATCAACAAGATAAGGGGGCGGGATGTCAACCCATTCCCCGCAACCTGACACAGAAACGGCTTCTCGGGCAATAAGATGGGCAGCACGATTCGCAGATTGCTTTACAAAGTGGAAAGCTACATTACTAAGTAAAGATGTAGTTTCTTTTATGTATATATGAGGGTTTTGTATACAAAATCTACATAGAACTCCACTCGACCCATCATTTATAATAATTTGTTTATTTATTTATTAATACATTAATACATATAATTAATAGTAAAAGAAGTCCTAATATATAGCTCAAAGAATCAATGCCCCTATCACTATGATTCGATATGATCCTATGATCACCCATTTGAAATGGTAACAAAAGTGTATCACATTACATATTAGCTCTGTTTGGTAGAGCTTATAACTTATTTTACCCTACAAATAATCTATAAACTCTGTATTGGTAAACCTGAGGAGCTTAAAATAATAACTTATTTTGAAACGCTACCTCAAGAAGCGTTTCAAAATAAGTTCCTAGTTTTTTAACTTTTTTTTTAAAAAATATTTATTAATTTACAAAATGACATCATATATACTTCATCAATCAAAATTCTAACATCCTAGTTTATTCTTTTATGTCTTTTTGCACTTATCAGCTAATTCAACAATTAATTTAATCAAACACTTTAATTTCAATTAGTTAGCTTATTAATCAGCTTTCAGTTAACTTTTTAACTGGTTGTGCCAAACAAAGCCATAGTAGTTGGCAGTCCTAAGATGTAGTTAATTATAAAAATTGGAGAAATTGCACTTTTCATCTCTAAGTTATAGGGTAATTGTAGAATTCGTTCATAAGTGTTGGTCATACTCACTTTTCGTCTCTAATTTATTATTGGCGTTGCACTTTTTGTCCTTTTACTAATAAAACATTAGGGACGAAATTTACAATTTTAGTATAATTCAGATTTCAGAGACGAAAAGTGAGTATGACCAACACTCAAGGACGAATTCTACAATTATTTTATAACTTAGGAACAAAAAGTGCAATTTTCTTAAAAGATTCTATAACTATTGGTAAACATGAGGGTGTTGGAGATAAATAAGATATTTGGTGTTGGCGTAGACTGAGTTACTTTGACTTTGTAAAAGGAACGTAACTTCAATTTCCATTGCTTATTTCCCATTCTCCAATGGCAGGAGGAAAGCTTCAGATATTTGAAGGGAAAACTTAGCGCAAAATGAAGACTTTGTCGCCTACAAATTAAAATTTGAGGACAAGAAAAATCCACGAGATTAGGTCACACTAATGGTGGGACGGGTGAGAGTAATATTCAATGTGGAACGTGGACTAGCAAAGTCTTAGGTAGCTAAATCTACTGCCGATGAGTTGTTGGTGAGAGCAAATTATTTTCTGAGGATCAGTTGGCGAAGAAAACTTAGGAGAGCTAAAGAATTTGTAAGCTAGCCATGGCAGTAGCTGCGTTGTGCAGATTCTTGGCCTTTCTATTCCTTTTGCTTCGCTCTTTAGTTTGTTCATCACTCTCGTTTGATCTGCCAAGCATTGGTCCTGAGGATAAAGATGTGCACATTAAAGTGGAAGGAAATGCAACCATCACAAACCAGGGCATCCAACTCTCATCGGAGTCGCAAAACGAAGCCAGTCGAGCCAAGTATGTTGAATTGTTGCACCTATGGGATGAGGCTTCTGGAGATTTAGCCGATTTTACCACCCATTTCACTTTCAACATCGACTCAAATGGTAGCACGAACTATGGTGATGGAATGACCTTTTTCTTGGCTAATTTTTCCACCCCAATCGATATAAAGCTCACTTATGGCGGCGGCCTTGGCCTAATGAATGGGTATAAAGCATCTGCAGAGCCTTTCGTTGCTGTGGTGTTCGATACATTCTCAAACAGTATGGATACGCAAATGACAAATGTAAGTATCATCGTTAATTCTGTACTATCACCCGAGGAGAGCACAGTATGGTGGAACAACATTACACAGGGGAAGAATAACAATGCTTCCATAACATATAATGCTACTTCCAAGATTCTTCAAGTTGTTTTTACAGGATTCTGGAAGGGCCAGTACTTGACAGGCAACCTAGCCATATTGTTGATCTGTCTAAATACTTGCCCGAATTCGTTAACTTTGGCTTCTCAGCTGCAACAGGAGTTTCCAGTGAGAGAACCACTGTCAGGTCATGGCAGTTCAATTCCACTTCACTGAGGTCAGACAGTGTTTCTGAAGAAAATAACAAGAAGAAAGGGCTAGTAATAGGATTGAGTATTGGTGTTCCATTTTTAGTTGCCTTCTTGGTTTTAGGCATCTGTACTTATCATAAGAAGATGTGTGCCGAAAAAATAAACAATCACGAGGTTATTATTCTTGGTCAGGCCATGGATACTGAATTTCAAATGGTTAGCACTGGTCCTAAAAAGTTCTCATACACTGAATTGGAGACTGCAACTAACAACTTTGCATATGAGTATAAGCTTGGAGAAGGGGGGTTTGGAGGGGTCTATAGAGGTTTCTTAAGCAGACTAAACTTGGATGTGGCTGTGAAGAGAGTCTCAAGTGGGTCTAAACAGGGGATTAAGGAATATGCAGCAGAAGTAAAGATCATCAGCCGATTGAGACATAGAAATTTGGTGCCACTTCACGGTTGGTGTCACGAGAAAGGCGAGCTGCTGCTTATTTATGAATACATGCCAGAAGGCAGCTTAGACTCCCATCTCTTCAAGAGAAACTCACCTTTGAATTGGGGTCTCAGGTATAAAATTGCACAAGGCTTGGCTTCAGCTTTGTCCTATCTGCACGAAGACTGGGAACAATGTGTACTGCACAGAGACATTAAGTCCAGCAATGTCCTGTTAGATTCGGACTTCAATGCTAGACTAGGTGATTTTGGGTTAGCTTGGCTTGTTGACCATGGAAATGCAGCCGAAAAAACCATATCTGGAGGAACACCAGGGTACGTAGCTCCAGAATGCGCTTTGACATACAAGACTAGCAAAGAATCAGACGTGTATAGTTTTGGAATTGTTGCATTAGAGATTGCTTGCGGAAAGAAAGCAATTCTTGGCAATGAACCAGAAGGTGGTGTGAAAATGTTGGTGGAATGGGTTTGGGATTTGTATGGAATGGGAAAGCTATTGGAAGCTGTAGATCCTAAGCTAGGCAGAAACTTTGTGGAACAAGAAATAGAGCAATTAATGATGATCGGGCTGTGGTGTGCTCACCCTGATAGTAATTGTCGACCAAAAATAAGCCAAGCTTTACATGGTCTTAAATTCCAAGTACAACTGCCCACCCTTCCACCAAAGATGCCTAAGCCAATTTACTCAACTTCATATTCAAGTCCGCATTGGCAGATACTTGAGGGCCATACGAGCTCCGGCAACAACAGCTGTCCCTCACGTTTCACTTCACCTTCGATCATGGATACTGGTTCTTCATCATCTACCTCACATCCACACACACACTGATGGCAACAACATTCTTGGCTTCCCTATCCTAATTTCAATTAATTAGGGGGTCAATTATGAATTGTGCATGTTTGCTGGATGAAAAATGATGTTGGACATAGGATTGAACACCCATTGCACGTTGTTATCTCTGCTTTGTTTTCGCGATTAAAGTAGTATAAGAACAGTGGTGATTGAAAATGTAAGAGTATGAGATACTATTGTTGTAGAAGGTTATGTTGAGTCTTAGGATTTGAACTATAGCTATGGAGTTGGTGTTTTCTTCCATTGTTATATTCCGCACTTAAATAGATCCTTTATTGTTGTGACCACTAGCTATTTCCTCTGCTACTTTTTTTTTTTTTTTTTTTTTTTTTTTTAAGTAACCAGAGAAATTCACAATTACTATTGGATGGTGTGCATATGATAAATCCAGCCTTGCAATCTTAGTTGGTAATGCCCAAATCACAAAAATGTAAACTTATATAGGTTTAATAATATGTGTTCTCTTTGTATCTTTCTCTACATAAAGGCAACTAATGATGCACATGAAGCTTTAATTGACAAATTATACTATGGATCATAGTCTACCTTGTATTGTGGATCCTAGTCCAAAATAACATTTAGATTTTATACCTACAATACTTGTAAATAAATTGAAGGCAGATAGCATGCTAATTAATTACACTTACACAATAACATGATAACTAAAAATGGTGCATATATGGTGGTCAACTGGTCATGGGATATTGGACATACAGCCACCCAAAATGGTACATATACAGTGTTGAACCCATGCCCTTTTGGACCAATACCTAAAACTAGCACCTTAAACCAACTCAGCCATCTTAACAAGTTTGTGTATTAAGATACATGAAATAATAATATCAATGCTTTCGGGGAGAATTAAAATCATGGTTTAATAGTATAAAGTATAATTTGCTCACAACTGATTTGCACACACCAAAAGTGAATATTTCATCAGTGGCCAAAAGGTACAAAAAGGTAAGAGGAGGCCAAGATGTCCTTAAATTAAAGTAGTGCGTGGACTGGCAAAGCAAGTCTTCCTTGGTTAACGCAATTGACAAATTATTGCATAGACCATGGTCCACACAATTGTGTGGACCATGACTATCAGATACATTTTTAATATATTATACTAAGGGTACATTATTTTTGTATTGAAGGTGTATTATATAAAATAATGTACCATTAGTATATTAAAAATGTACTTTATGTATATAAATAATGTACGCTTAGTATATTAAAAATGTACTTTTTATTTATGATTCACACAATTGTGTAGACCATGGTCAATGCAATAATGATTAAGCTCAATTACGGTAGGACAAAACGTCAAGAAATTAAAAGTGATAAACAATATTTATAACTCAAGAAGTTAAGAATATTGAGGTATTAATCAAACAGTGAGTCTTTTGTGAGATTATTTCACAGGATTTTTTTTTTCGTGAGATTAATCGAGTCAAAGTAAAAATGTATGGAATAATATTTTTAAATTAAAATATAATATTTTTGTGCTAAATAGTTACTTGAACATGGCATTGGTTTTTTTTTTTTTTTTTAAACATCAAGGCATTGGTTTTTTTTTTTTTTTGAATGCTACTGATTTTTTGATCCACTGGTACTAAGTTGCTCCCTATGTGCGAGGTGGGTTGTTAAGATGCAATTTTCTGCAAATAATACCAGAATTATTGATGTTAGTGACTCTTTAAAGTAGAAAGGTTGAGCAAAAAAAAAAAAAAAGTAGAAAGGTTGATGCACATACAAAAAAAGAACAACTTCTTGACCTATACTACATCATATACATACTTAATCATTTTTTTTTGAATGTTACTGACTCTATTACATTGTAGTATCTATTCATACATACTTAATCATTTATACCATCTCATTTTTTAGTAAATTAGAGTTAATACCATTTGAGGTCTTCCGAGTATAGTGGTTTTGCCACGTTTAGTCCTAAACTTTCAAATTGACCATCTGTGGTCCTTCGACTTTCAAATTTAACCATTTGTGGTCCAAGTTAACCACTCATGGTCCTTCGAGTTTCAAAACTTTACCAGTTGTGATCCTCTTGAAAGGACCATGGTTGGTTAAAATTTAATAATTGAAGGACCATGAGTGGTTAACTTGAACCACAAATGGTTAAATTTGAAAGTCGAAGGACCATATATGGTCAATTTGAAAGTTTAGGACTAAATATGGCAAAACAACTATACTCGGAGGACCTCGAATGGTATTAACTCAAATTTTTTTATATTACTCTTAGTTATATCTAAACATTTACTCTATATACAGGGGCGGAGCCACCTTGTGGTTGCAGGGGCCTTGGCCCCCCCCCCTCCCCAGAAAAAATTTGTTTTATTATTATTATAATTTTTTTTGGCCCCTCTCTATTCCATCCAAACACAAAAATTGTTTTATTAATATTAGATTTTTTAGCCCCCATCTGCTCCATTCAAAAACTTCCAGAGTACAGAGTTCCAAAGTAGCTTCCAAGGTAATTTTTTATTTCTTTTTTATTCTTTAAAGTTTTGGATTTATTTATTAATTTATTTATTTTTATAAATTACTCTTTATTGAATTATTGGAAATGAATTTATCTGTCCTTACCACAACAAAAAGTCTAGATATTGTAGTTAAATGGTAGCTAAATCGTCTCTTAGAACACTGCATATTTACTGCTAAGAAAAATGAAATACATTGTAATAGTTGGCCTCCCTACACTAACAATCCTGGCTCCGCCCCTGTCTATATATATCTATCTATATATATATACACACACACAAAGGACACCTATATATATAAGAAGTGAAGTGAAGGAGAGGGACAATTCCCTCACCTTAAATCGGCCCTGCTTGAGATGAGTCAAGGACATATATAGCACCATGCCATAGTCAATACGAGATAGTACCAACCACTTTCATAGTGTGCAAATGTTATATTAATTAATAAATGAATATGGAATATATCTAGCTGTTAATAAATGGTTAATAGTCTTTCTTTGGGTTATAGCACCAACCACTTATATATTATTTGTATCAAAAAAGTTAGAGCATTCTCAATCGTCAGAGTTTTTTTCACAATTTTTTTGTGAGCCTCCAGCATTCACCTCATCATCCACTATCGCACTCAATCACCAAAAAAAACATAAAGATTGATTTAGAGGCGGCTGCCTTGAATCGCTCGATTACACGCGCTCTGGCCCGTGATTGCAAACCGTGCTCTCTCTTTAATTTGTTTTGTTTTGTTTTTTTTTTCTCATTTAAAAAACTAAACTTTGTAGGAGAAAAAATCAATAAAAAATTAACTCTCTCGTTAGATAAAAATCACTTATTTAACTTTTTATTATTCTAAAAATTAACAAAAAATTTCTATTGGAGATGTTCTTAAACTCGTATGTGGTCAATATTAATTCAGTGGAAAATTTGTGCAAGAAAAAGGCCAATCCACCAACATAGCTAAATGTTACCATTTGAAATTTGAGTTAACTTTGAAAGTTAAATGGGTGATAAAATCAACTAAATCTCCGGAAGGCTCAGCACAAGTGGCTTGATCCAATTCGTGGGCAATGGAATCTCTTCAAGATAGAAAGATGGGTCCGGAGACCACTAATTACCATTGTTATACGGAAAATATTAAATATATTTCTGAGGACTATTACTTCTGTGCTTTCCAAAAAAAAAAAAATGGAGTATTACTTCAGTATGCACTATGCAGCATATTTTATTAGATAAAAAAATTAATGAATAAAAAATGACGGCGCCCTAATTTTTTAAGCAGTAATTATAGGACACCTTATTGAGAATAGAAAATGGAATATAAAATAAGAATTGATGTACTAGTGCTCTTATTATATTATGAACTCTCGTGGACCAACAAAGTCTTCACGTCTAAAACTCATAAAAAATAATTTATACTTTTATTTTATACTCTATATAATTTGATATGCTTTGATTGTTCAATTTAGTAGGGAGACATAATGTTTATTCATTTATTTTTTTATTCTTCCCATCAAAGTTGAACACAAATAACCGTAAAAATTGAGAATAATATTTTGAAAATATTTTTCGTAAAAAAATTAGACAAAAAAATGCCAGTCCAATCACCATTTGAGTTGACGTTGAAAGTGAAATGAGTGATAAAATATAATCAACTAAATCTCCAGATGTTATCCAAAAAAAAAAAAAAAAAAAAAAAAAAAACTAAATCTCCAGAAGGGTCAGCACAAGTGGCTTAATTCAGTTCGTGGGCAATGGAATCTCTTCAAGCTTGAAAGATTGGGGCGGGGACCACTGATTACAATTGTTGTACCATTGACCACATAAATAATTTATTATAAGTATACAATATGAAGATTGTTTTGTTCTTAAAAAAAAAAAAAAGAGATTATTTTAGATTAAGGTATGATTGCAAAGATAAATCCTAGGTTTATTATATAATTTGTCTACTAATTATGAATAAGAATAACAGACATTATTGTGTGGATCACAATCTAAGTCGTTTTAATGTTAAAAAATTCATTACTTTGTGTGCATATTTGAGTAAGATAACTTATTTTATAAGTTAGCATAGTGTAAAAAATTGTGTTAAAATAATGTCTTTAAGAGTCAGAATAATATATTTTATGTGTTTTTGAACCGTAATTCAGATTAAATGTTAGAACATGGGCTAGCATTCTAGCAAAGTCTTCGTTCCTAGATGCCCGCCCAATAAGTCTACTGCTGATGAGTTGTTGGTGAGAGTAGTTATTTTCTTATAAGAAAACATAAGCCTCATCAATACGAGCTCTGTAAGCTAGCCATGGCCGCAGATATCTTGGCGTTTCTATTCCTTTTGGTTCCCTCTTTAGTGGGTTCAGTCTCGTTTGATTTGCCAATCATTGGTCCTAAGGATAAAGATGTGCGCATCATAGTGGAAGGAAATGCAACTATCACAAACGCCGGCATTCAACTCACATCGGATGAGTCGGAAAACGAATCCAGTCGAGCCAGGTACGTTGAATTCTTGCACCTATGGGATAAGGCTTCTGGGAATTTAGCCGATTTTACCACCCATTTCACTTTCAAAATCAACTCAAACGGCACCTCTAAATATGGCGATGGAATGGCCTTTTTCTTGGCTAATTTCTCCACCCCAACCGATATAAGTCCGGCTTTTGGCGGCGGCCTTGGCCTGATGGATGATTTTAAGCCATCCCCAGTTCCTTTCGTTGCTGTGGTGTTCGATACATTCGCAAACGGTTTGGGTAAATCAATGACCAATGTTAGTATCAACGTTAATGTTGTACTAGAAACCAACAAGAGCACAGCATGGTTGAACAATATTACACAGGGGAAGGAAAACAATGCTTCCATAACTTATAATGCAAGTTCCAAGATTCTTCAAGTTGTTTTTACAGGATTCTGGGGCGGCCAGTACTTGACACACAACCTCAGCTATATGGTTGATCTGAGGGAACATTTACCTGAATTCGTTAACATTGGCTTCTCAGCTGCAACAGGAACATTGACTGAGGAACACAGTGTAAGCTCCTGGCGGTTCAATTCCACTCCACCGAGGTTTGTCGGTAGTTTATCTCGTTCCCCAGCTCCAACTCCAATTCCAAGTCCAATTCAAGAAAACAAGAACAAGAAAGGCCTACTAGTGAAAGGATTGAGTATTGGGGTTCCAATTTTAGTTGCTCTCTTGGCTTTGCCCATTATCTATACTTGTGTTAAGAAGAAACGGGCAGAAAAGGGAAAAAACCGTGAGATTTTTCCTGCTAAGGACATGGATACTGAATTTCAAATGGTTAGCAGTGGTCCTAAGAAGTTCTCATACACTGAATTGCAGACTGCAACTAACAACTTCTCAGAGGAGCATAAGCTTGGAGAAGGGGGGTTTGGAGCGGTTTATAGAGGTTTCTTAAGGAGCCTAAACTTGGATGTGGCTGTGAAGAGAGTCTCGAGTGGGTCTACACAGGGGGTTAACGAATATGCATCAGAAGTAAAGATCATCAGCCGACTGAGACACAGAAATTTGGTGCCACTTCACGGTTGGTGTCACGACAAAGGTGAGTTGTTGCTTGTTTATGAATACATGCCTCAAGGCAGTTTATACTCCCATCTCTTCAAGAGAAACTCACCTTTGAATTGGGAGATCAGGTATAGAATTGCACAAGGCTTGGCCTCAGCTTTGTTCTATCTTCATGAAGAGTGGGAACAATGTGTATTGCACAGGGACATCAAGTCCTGCAATGTCCTGTTGGATTCGTGCTTCAATGCTAAACTAGGTGATTTTGGGTTAGCCCGGCTTGTCGACCATGAAAAATCACCCGAAAAAACCTTAGTTGGAGGAACAATAGGGTACGTCGCCCCAGAATGTTATTTCACATTAAAGACTACCAAAGAATCAGATGTGTATAGTTTTGGAATTGTCGCATTAGAAATTGCATGTGGACAAAGAGCAATAGTTTCTGTTGAAGAAACAGAAGATTTCAAAAGGTTGGTGGAATGGGTTTGGGATTTGTATGGAATGGGAAAGCTAATGGAAGCTGCAGATCCTAAGCTATGCGGAAACTTTGAGAGGCAAGAAATGGAACAATTAATGATGATCGGGCTATGGTGTGCTCATCCTGATAGTAAATTTCGACCAAAAATAAGCCAAGCTTTACATGGTCTTCAACTCCAAGTACAGGTGCCCACCCTTCCACCAGAAATGCCAGTTTACTCAACTTCTTATAATGTTCCATCCTTTTCAAATTTGCGTTCACAGGTATTTGAGGGCTATACGAGTCCCAGCAACAACAGTTATCCCTCGCAAGAAACTTCATCTTCGGTCATGGATGCCTTACATTCGCACACACACTGATTTCACCATCACCAACCTTCTTGGCTTCCCTATCTGAATTTCAAACAAAAACACTACTTGCTGTGTCTGTTAAAGATACATATTTCTGTGTGCTAGCTATGAAGTAATTAGCCGTGTCATTCATTATCTCTTGTATTTATGCTTTATCTTTTCTCTGTGTTTACAATATAGTATAAGAACAGTGGTGATTGAAAATTAAATGTAAGAGTGTGAGATACTATTGTAGCAGAAGAAGGTTAATTATGTTGAGTCTTAAGGTTTTAAGTATAGCTATAGAATTAGTGTGTTCTTCCATTATTGTTATTTTTGGCTCTTAAATAGGTCTTTTGTTTGTTGTAACAACAATAAAGACTTGGTCAATAATGCATTATTAACATGTAGTTTTCTGCAAATTGATGCATGTTAGTGACTCTTCAAAGTATGGTAGAATTGTAGAAGAAGGGTTTATATATGCACGTAAACTAAATGGCAGGGCATAGCCTATTGAAAGTAGAGCTTTGACTAGCAAAGTAATAACCTGACTAATCTCACAAACAAGAATTTATGAGACGATCTCATACAAGATCACAATCATAATTCATAATCAAATACAAAAAGATACAATACTAATCCACCTAAGAATTCCCCCTCATACTAACTTATTAAAGAGTTTCCCAATTTGTAAGGACACTGGGCTAGCATTAATTTGCCACAATGCAACTTGTAATAATCTGCAAGTATGTGAATTGATGTTTCAGGAGAAGAAAAATCAATGACACTATTGTCCTTCCACAATGTTACGACTATCAATGGAGTGAACGGCCTATTGATTTTCTTGGTTTGAATCGCTCAGTTATAAGCAACATAAACTAGTTTATTTCATTGTGATATTTTGTCCGCTAGAACCACAAAGTGAAATTTACTTAATACACACCATCGAATTAATGGCGGAAGGTTCCGTCATCATAAATTTAAAATAAAAAATAAAAAATAAAAATCAACGAGAGTAGCAGGTAGTTGGCTTCTTCAAACTAGAAATTAATGAAATTGCGCGTAGTGTGAGATGGAATGTGTCAATGTAGAGAGTGGACTAGCAAGTTGCATGTTAGGTTGAGTCCAAGGCGAGAGCAACTATATATTTATTGGATTCCACTTCAATTCAATTCTTCACCCCGGTCGACGGGCAGTACTTACTGTATCTCTGTCGCCATATCCCTTCAAAAAGCAAAGAACAATTAAGTTGAAAAGATAAATGATGATAGGAATATCTATTGGTATTCCCGTTGCAGTAGTTGTTCTTCTTTTAATCGTTATTTGTTGTTTGAGTGGTAACAAGACACGGCCAAAGAACCAGGCTAGGGTTGCTGCTGCTAAGGTCACCGCGAAAACTGTTGATGTTGAGGTTGGAAAAGTGGCGGTAGAACCAACCTCGGAATGTTGTGATAAGGTTGCAGAAGAAGAACCAACCTCAGAGTCTTCTGCTGAAGATGAAGAAGAAGCCTGCTTCGAGGGATGTTTTTGTTGAGGTTTTCAGCAGATGTAGTTGAGTCCGTTTAATCAGTTTTTAGTTAAAACACTTTTACTCTTTCTAAGTTTTATTTTTGGCACGTCATTGTCTCCTTAGCTTGGTGGCAAATTATGCTGTGGGTTCCACAATGACGTCGTTTTGGTGGAAAATGACACCATATCAATTAAAAAAAATTGCTTTCTTTCGTTAATTTAAAAAATTTTGGTTGAAAATGACATTTAAAAAAAAAAAAATCTTCTTAAATTTTACAATATTACAAAACTGATTACTTAAGATGAAAGGGTAAAATACATTTTTACTGATGGTGAGATGGAAAAAGACAATATTATCCACATTAAAAAGGTGAAAAAAAATTTCGGCTAAAATTGAACGGAGATTGCACCGGAAGGACCAAATTCGCTAAAAAACTAATAGTCGTGGACCAATTCTACAAGTTTTGAAAGTCGTGGATCAAAGTTATTATTGACACCGTAGTCATGGAACCAAAAGTGCGAATAACTCATGTATCAAATTTGGTCTTTGACTATTAATATTTTCAATTAGAGAGTCACATTTGTTCAAATTAAAAATCATGGACTACATTATATTAACAGTACAGTTGCAAAACAATTGAGAGACCAACAAAATGATTTTCCCTCTATATACCTCTTGTATTAGTTGCTTTAGATTAGAGAATTCAAAATGATTCAGTTGCGATTGAATTGAGATTACAAAGTATATCTGTTATCAATCTAAAACTACTCCTGACAACTAAGCTATACTAAGTCAAATATAACTAACACCATATAATTACAATCATATTATAAAATAATAATACTAACACACCCCCTCAAGCTCAAGGTTGGTGAAGCACAATGTTGAGCTTGTCCCGTAGAGTAGCAAAGCGTGGAGCAGGAAGAGGCTTGGTGAATATGTCAGCTAGTTGATCAGTAGTTGAGATGTAGTTAACCACGAATTCCCCGGACGCCACCTTGTCTCGAACAAAATGATAGTCAATTTCGACGTGCTTGGTGCGTGCATGAAAGACCGGGTTGGCACAAAGATACGTTGCATCTAGATTGTCGCACCATAAAGAAGCAGGTTCGCCGGAGTGTAGCCCTAATTCTCGGAGTAAGGAAACAACCCAAGTAACTTCAGCGGATACATCAGCTAGGGCTTTATATTCAGCCTCTATGGAGGACCGGGCCACGGTGTGTTGTTTCTTGGATAACCAGGAGATGAGATTAGAGCCTAGATAGACTGCGAAACCACTTGTACTCTTGCGATCAATAGGACACCCCGCCCAATCGGAGTCCGAGTAGGCCTGTATGTGAGTAGTAGATGAGGGCGAAAACCGTAACCCTAGCGAGATAGTCCCCTTTATGTAACGCAGGACACGTTTGACGAGCCCCCAGTGTTCAGTTGTAGGTGAGTGCATGAACTGACACAACCGGTTGACCGAGTATGCAAGGTCGGGCCGTGTGATGGTTAGGTATTGTAGAGCGCCAACCACACGCCGATATTGAGTCGGATTGTCAAATGGTTCTTCGGATGGTGTGACTGACTTTGTAACGGCTGCTGGTGTGGCAAGAGGCTTGCAGTCTACCATTCCAACTCGGCTTAGGAGATCAGTCATGTATCGACGCTGAGAGAGGATAATACAATCACCATCGGAAATAGTTTCTATGCCCAAGAAGAAGTGAGGAGTACCAAGGTCCCGAATTTTGAAAGCAGAAGCCAGCCGTTGGAGTAAGAAGGCAACCAGGACAGCATCGTTTCCCATCATGATTATGTCGTCGACACAGACAAGTAAGAACACCCGGGAATCACCAGCCGTGTAGTAGAACAAGGAGACATCGGTTTTGGAGGATTTAAAACCTGCAGATAATAGAAACTCATGAAGGCGCTTGAACCAGGCGCGTGGGGCCTGTTTCAAGCCATAAAGCGAACGTTGTAAGAGGCACACATGCCCGGGATTGGTGGGATCCTTATATCCCGGAGGTTGCTTCATGTATACGGTCTCTGCTAGATGACCGTTCAAGAAAGCATTGTGAACGTCAAGTTGACGTACCGTCCACTGATTTGACACCGCAAGAGAGAACAGCATCCGGACAGTGGTGGGTTTAACCACTGGGCTGAAGGTGTCGAAGAAATCCTCTCCGGCCACTTGATTAAACCCTTTAGCCACGAGGCGCGCTTTGTAACGCTCCACCGTGCCATCGGACTTGCGTTTGGTGCGGAACACCCACTTGCACCTAATGATATTCATATGGGACTCGGGAGCAACAAGTCGCCAGGTATGATTATGGAGTAGAGCATTAAACTCTTGATCCATTGCCTCCCGCCAATGTGAGTGACCTACGGCTTGAGAATAACACGTTGGGTCGGTAGTGACAGTTAAGGCCTGGAACGTCTCATCTGTGCCCTTAGTCATATGAGCTCGGGTGTGTTATGTCGTCCTCAGGGGATTGGGGGATATGGCACGCAATATGCAATCACAATAAACTAGACACTAGCATAGGGAAATCAACAAGAAGCTAAGCAAAATACAAGTTTAAGAAAATGATAAGACTAACACATATACACAAAGATAAACACAAAATAAAGAGATAGGACTCAAGCTAGGGAGCATTATCATCTAGATGCTTTAACAACCTAAGGGATTAGGGAGAACAAGTAAGCAAGGAATCAAGCGGGAATGCACGTAGGTATCCTACCCTATGAACCATTTTCGTGATTAATAAACAAGGATTAGAACAAGGAATTGCCCCACTTTCGTGGTGAATCAATTCCAAGTCCATCAAGCACACAAAGCATCTAAAGCCCCCAATTTCCCCTATTTTCGTAGGAAGAAATCGGGTCTATGCAAGGGGTGGCTTGGATTCATCACCCAACTCTCGTTGAGGCAAGGAATCCTCCAAAAACAAGCTAACGAATGTGTACATCAAACATTAACAAGATATAAACACAAATCCTTCATAAACTCAAGAACCCTATGTTAGAGTTCTTCCCCTTTTTTTTTTTACAATAATCACAAATCAAGCATCAAGATAGATAATACAACCCTAACTCAAGTCCATAAACTAACTACTCATTATTAAATAGCATAAAGAACACAAAAGCATAAGTAACAAACATAAATCTTGCAAAAGAAAGAGATAAAAGGAAGGAAAACTTCTCTATTGAAAATGGATGGTGGAATCTTGAAATGTTGGAATCCAAGCTTCAAATCCAAGATTACAAGCTTCAAAAGTGTTAAGAAACATAAATCTAAGCCTAATCTAACCTAAAAATATGAAGGGAAGTAAATGAGAGTGTCTAGGGTTCTAACAAGAGTCAAAACCGAGTTGAAATGATACAAAAACGCGCCTAAATAGAGCAGAGCAGATTGGGACGCCCTCAGGGATGGGCGTACGCCAGGGGGTACGATTTTTGGTGCATTTCCAGTGAAAAATGGATCAGGGAGAAGAGATGCGTACTGGCATGCGTATGGGCGTACGGCAGGGCGTATGAGGCTGCTGAAAACAGAATTCTGTGCACTTGTCTTGACTTCTAGGCTATTTTTCTCATCTAAAAACATTTTATTGGCACTTATGGTCTTCAACAAATCTGTAGCCCTTTAATTTAGGTTTCCAATGGTGCAAGAATCACTTCATTTGGACATTCCTAGGTTGAGATATGGTCCAAAAACCAAATAGAGGTCAGTTTTGAATTGTAAGTTTGGGACTTCAACTTCAAGGATAATTTCGACTACCGTGGATTCCTTTTTAGGCTTTGATGTCTGAATATGAGTTGTATCTCTTTGAATATTCTATCCAATGGGACAAGAATCACAAAAATTGGATATTTCTAGACCGAGATATGTCCCGAAAACAGAACAGTGACCAATCAATGCGAGAATTTCAGCTTGTTGACACTTGTTCCACTTTTGCCTTGGTTTAATTTGTCCATATGATCAACACCATTGAAAACATCACTCTTTGGCTCCTTTGGAAGTGTTGCATCTATCTCCTTAGCTTCACCTTGGCTCCCCTTGACTCCAAATGCATCCAACATGATCTAAAATCTTTCATTTCTACTCAAAGATAATGAATTGTGCATAATGGATCAAATGAGCAAAATAAAGATCATTTTGAACAACATTGTGACACTTCATAAACAAAACAAGGTTAAATATGGGGTAAACATGGGGTATAAATATGAACAATTATGCACTTATCACAGGCGCATGACATGATCCCTACTCTGTAGAGCAACCCTTTTCCTGCGGGTTTTAGCCGGTGCTGTGTGGGTGATAGCCAGTGCAGGTGGCTCCCGAGCTAGTGGTACGGGCTCCGGCTCGGCATAACACGGTGTGTTATTGGGTGCCACTGGTTTTGGAACAAGAGATGAGACTATTGGTGCAGCAGCCCATGGTAAAGCGGCCATTGATGTCTCAGCAGTTGTATGCCCTGTAGAAAAAGGAAAAACAGTCTCGTCGAATCGGACGTGACGGCAGATGTAGGTTTTCCCACTTGTTAGATCAATGCATCTGTATCCCCTATAGGTTGGTGGGTAACCTAGGAAGACACACGGAGTGGACCGGTATTCTATCTTATGCCTGTTATAGGGGCGTAGATAAGGAAAACACCGACATCCAAAAACTCTAAGAAAGGTATATGGTGGCGATGTTTTAAAGAGACGGGTGTAGGGAATTTCAAAGTTTATAGCTGCTGAGGGTAAGTAGTTAATTAAACAGGTTGCTGTTTCGAAAGCGTAGTCCCAGTAATGTTGGGGAACTTTGCCTTCAGCTAACAGTGCAAGACCTATTTCAACAACATGTCTGTTTTTGCGTTCTACCCTCCCGTTTTGTTCATGTGTATAGGCACAAGACTGACGGTGATTTATTCCCAGATTTTGGAACGTAGTGTGTAATTTTCGGTACTCACCCCCTAAATCGGACTGAATGGACTTGATAGAGCGCGAGAACTGTCGCTCTACCAACACACGAAACAACTCAAAAATTTTATATATGTCAGATTTCATCCTTAAAGGATAAAACCAACAGAAACGCGAAAAATCGTCTACAAACAGTACAAAGTAGCGAAAACCATTTGTAGACATTACAGGTGACGGTCCCCAAATATCTGTATAGACCAAATCTAGTACATTTTCACTAATATTGGGAACTTTATCTAATTTAAAACGTGTGGACTTGCCAAGGTGACACGCTACACATGACTCCACGGATTCACTTTTATTTGGAATGACCGGGCAATTTGACAACACTTTATTGAGCAGCTGTTCATGTGGGTGACCAAGGCGACGATGCCACACCGTGGGAGTAGCCCGGGAACTGACGAACGCTAGATGACACCGGGACATCGGGAGTTTATATAATCCGCCAGTGGTGGGGCCCCTAAGAAGAATTGCCTTGGTGGTTGAATCCTTCACAAAAAAACAATTAGCATGAAATTCAACAAAGACATTATTTTCAGATGTGAATTTCTGCACAGACAATAACGGAACTGACAAAGATGATACGTGTAATATATTAGATAAAGACAACGGTTTAGAATTAGATGGGAGAGATGCATGTCCAACGCGTGAGAACGCCAGACCTGCTCCATTACCGACACGCAAGACATCGGCGCCGGTATACTCATCCGAATGGCTCATCATGCCCGCATCCGGAGTCGCATGGGCAGTCGCTCCCGTATCCGGATACCAGGCCTCGGATGGTGCAGCTGTTGACGGCATGGACGGTGCATCATTCGAGATTGCAACGTTGGCTTGCGGTGGTTGTGTATTGTACCGTTTGTAGCAGTACACCGCCGTGTGACCGTGGGACCTGCAAATCTGACACCTCGGAGTTCCACGGCCACCTCGTCCACCCCGATTCTGTCCGCCACTACGGCTGTTCCAGCCACCACGCCCTTGCGGATTACCTGACTGCCTGTCGCCACCTTGCTGCGTACTGCCACGGCCCGAGCTAGCATACATGGCCGTGAGGTTGCCAGGTGCGTCGCCGGCTACCAGATAATCGTCCACGAGTATAAACTCGTGGGCCTGGAGATGATCGGAGAGATGCGCTAAGGTGACTGGAGATCCCGTCGCCGTCAAGGAAGTCGCCATGGCCTTCAGTTTCGGACGTAATCCCCGAAAGACATAGAGATTCTACTCCATGAGGGATAACGACCGGCCGGCCTGAGCTAAGGCTTCCACGAGCAATTGCGCACGCCCGAGGTACTCGGCGTTGGTGGAGTGGCCTTGCTGGAGAACCTGGAACTGCCCCAATAGACTGAGGCATCTGGCTTGGCTCGACGATCCGAGAGCGGATGTAATAGACGACCACACGGCAGCAGAGGTTTCTTTTCCGACGGCGAGATGGAGAACTTCATCCGCCATGGAGGACACCAATAACGAAAATATGGACTGATCCTGTTTCTCCCAGGCCTTGAACGCCGGATTGGGGATGATGGAGGCAGTCGCGTCGTCGGAGGTCCCGGTCGAGGGAGCGGCAATCGTGGCCGGAGGACATGGATAACTCCCGTCCACATATCCAAACAGTTCTTGGCCGCGAAGGAATGAGATTATTTGGGTGCGCCATAACAGAAAATTTCTGTGCGTCAGTTTCATGCTCACGAAGTGGTGAGCGCCGGAAAGACCGTTCGCACCTGCCGGAGTTGGATTGCCGGAGGCGGAAGCGGTTCGATCGGAGGAACTTGACGACATGGCTAGCGGTGAGAGGGGGAGAGAATTTTGGCCGGTGAGGTTTTACGGGAAGGAGGGGAAAAAATTGCGTTTGCGGAGGAGAGAGAATCGTATCCTGACTGATACCAGATTAGAGAATTCAAAATGATTCAGTTGCGATTGAATTGAGATTACAAAGTATATCTGTTATCAATCTAAAACTACTCCTGACAACTAGGCTATACTAAGTCAAATATAACTAACATCATATAATTACAATCATATTATAAAATAATAATACTAACACTTTACACTTAGAATGTTGTGTTTTCGAACAAGTTATTATATTATTTTCTGTTTACGCGCGTGAATGTTAAAGTTAAAAGTACAACATAATAAAAGAAGTTTGGATTGCGTTCAGGTGCAAATTGTCTGTCCAGGAGAGAACTAAGAACTATCCAGATATAGGTGTACCTATAGTTATAACTAGGTGCACCTAGGTGAAAGTAGGTACACCAGATCAATGAATGTTAACAAGACAAAATTACATACACTTGTAGGTGAAAATAGGTACACTTGGTAGTGATTTTACTTGCATAGAAAATGCACTAACTACTTGTACATATAACACATGACAAGTACAGAATGATTCTTAATTCTCTCCTAAGCGGCCGTTGGCATGAGATTGCGCGAAGCTTAACTTCTTATTTAAGAGTTAAACATAGTGTCGTATGACATTTTACAAATTTTCCGAAAACCACTAGCTAGCAAAAGAAAGACTTGGTGAATAATTATTAACATGTAGTTTTCTGCCTTCAAAGTATGGTGGAATTGTAGCGTATTGAAAGCAGAGCGTTGACTAGCAAAGTCTTGGTACCTAGTCCCAAGCTCCCAGAGTCCAAGGGTGTCTGGTGCCAACTAGCAATCATTATGGTTCAAACAACTCTATGGATCATACTTAATATATATATATATATATATATATATATATATATATATATATATATATATATATATATATATATATAAAATATTATTTGAGTATTAAAAGTGCATTATTTTGTATAATATACATCCAGTATATAAATAATGTATTTTTTGTTATGGTCCATACAATAATTTGTCGCCAACTAGGAGCTCATTGTAGTTAGGGTGAGGTGGTACATATAAGCAGTAATTTGCCACCAACTGGGAGCTCATGGTAGTGATCCTCATCACTTCACTTTCAATTTATATTAAATAATATCAACTGGCTCGTACAGATTACTATTAATACCCATGTTGATACCACCTAAGTGTTGAATGTTAATTGATTACTTTGTTGGTTAAAACTTCAATTCAAATCTCATTCACCGCATTAGAGCGTGGACTGTCAAATTAAATCTTCCCATGAATCCCATCCACTTGCATGTTACATTCATCAGAGCTAGCAACTATATATATATATATATATATAGTTATATATTTGTAGAACTCCATCATATCATATCGCCGCCATGGGAGCAGCTGGCTTGTGCACATTATTATTCTTGAATATCTCCGCCTTTGTATTCCTTGTGCTTTCCTCTTTAGTTTATTCATCATCACTATCATTTAACCTGCCCAATTTTGGTCATGGTTATTCTAAGAGCATCGTTCTGTACGGAGATGCAGAATTCTCAAACCAAGCCATCCAACTCACACCATTTGAAGGTGAAAGGGCCTTCAAAGCTGGCCGAGCCATGTACGTCTATAGATTGCACCTATGGGACAAGGCATCTGGAGTTTTAGCTGATTTTTCCACCAGTTTCACCTTCAACATCAACTCAGATGGTAACAGTAGCTATGGCAATGGCCTGGCCTTTTTCTTAGCCGATTTTTCGAACCCATCTGATACTTCTATGACTTATGGTGGCGGCCTTGGCCTAATGAATGAGGCTCTCCCAGTTGTATCAGCAGACCGTTTCGTCGCTGTGGTGTTCCGTACATTCTCATTCCAGCCTCTCACAAATGTAAGTATCAACGTTGGATCTACCTTAAAATATGTGAATAGTATGGGATGGCTTAACGACATTACAAGCGGGGTAGATAATAAGGCTTGGATTACTTATAGTGCTAGTACCCAGATTCTCCAAGTTAACGTTACAGGAACCTTGGGTGGCAAGAATTGGACACACAGTCTTTGGTATAAGATTGATCTGAGGGGTTACTTGTCGGAACAAGTTTGCTTTGGCTTCTCAGCAGCAACAGGAAGTTTCTTTGAGAAACACACCGTCAGATCGTGGCAGTTCGATTCCACCTCACCTCCAAATACTGCGCCTCCTCGAGAAGCAAAGAAGAAGTGGAATATTGGAAAAGTGATAGGGTTGTGTAGTGGTGTCCTTGTAATATTTGGGAAATGTGCAGTGATTTATGTCGTGTGTGAGAAGAGACGACGGTCCAAGAAGAATGATAATAATGTCATCACTCTTGGTGGTAAGGTAAAATTGACGACACCACAAGAATCAACCTTAGAAGAATCTTAGTTTTGCATATATATAACGTTGCACAAGCTAAGTGCCCGTAGAAGCAGCCCCAGAATATGATGTTGCGTTTATGTTGCAGGAGAAGGGGAGGAAGATGCATGGTGTATGTTTTGGAAACTCTCATATCAATTCTTGAGATTTTTAAAACATGCATGTGGTTGGGTAATTGGATGGGTTGATTTTTATTATAAAAATACTTGGTGTACTCCTATTTTATACTCTCAACTTGTACTTCCTCTCACATGTTCTTGATGTAGACACTTTTCTGTGGACCCACATGATGAAAATAACCAATTCTGATTTGCCAACTCTTTTATTATTATTACATTTTTAGATATAGTTTTTATTTAGAGTAAATTTCATTTTTAGTCCTTGACTATTGTGATATTGCCACATTTAGTCTTACTTTTTTGAATTTGTCATATTACATCCTCGACTTTAATTTGTTTGCCACTATTGGTCCTCCGTTAAAATTTTCATTAATCTACCGTTAACATTAAGGTCAATAATGTAATTTAATAATTTGTCTCAAATAGATATTAAAATCCAAAATCTTTAGCTAATTCTTCAACCAACGAGGGGTGGACTCTCCCAGCCTTGCATGGAAAAGGAGGTGGTGTTGGAAGCTCACCAGCAAGATCCTCGTTGTTAGAAGCTCACAGGCAAGATCCCTTGCTGGTGGCCTCTAATCTACCCCAAATATACAGTCTCTTTGGTCATACAACTGAGAAAATCGAAAAGTAGATTAAAAAATGAGGAAAAATGGGATAGAGTATTAGGGAATTTAGTGCCAATGGCATGCCTCCTATCCCGTGGAGGACAGTTTAGAATACTGGATTGACTGTACTCAATGTATCTTTTATTTTGTTTGTAAGAGAGATTTACACTTTAAATAGAGTTATACGACAAAAAAAAAAAATGGAGAATATATAGTAATTTCAGTGTTTTGTGTAAAGATGAGTGATTTGAAAGAAAGAAAAGATTTTGGATTTTAATATGTATTTGAGACAAATTAATAAATTATATTATTGACCTTATTGTTAATGGTAGATTAACGAAAATTTTAACGGAGGACCAATAGTGGCAATCAAATTAAAGTCGAGGATGTAATTTGTCAAAATTAAAAGAGTAGGACTAAATGTGGCAATGTCACAATAGTTCAGGACTAAAAATAGAATTTACTCTTTTATTTAAATAAATTATGTTTATAGACAAATTATACCATGGACTAGGGTCTACCTTGCATGGTAGAACTGGTAAAAAATAACAATCAAATTCTGTATCTATAGTTGATTCATTATGTATATGCAGTTGATAGTTTCTGTACCTGTAGCTATTATATTATGTGTCAGCAATTATTAAGTTATTTGTTTACATGTACAAAAACTGTTAACCGTAGGTACAGAATATGTTAATGAAAGCTGCATAATTTTTGTATTAGAATTTATAATGCAATATGAACCGCATGGTATAACAATTGATGTTTATAAATATAGGCTTTTATTCTACTCTTCTACTGTACGTACTACTACAACAAATTAAAGAAATCCGGCCTTCTTAGTAATGCTATAATTCTTTCCTAAATTTCTCTTCCTAACATGACACTATGTCTATATATATGGCCCAGATAAAAGTGACCTCCCCAGAGGAATGCAGGTAGAGAAAATAATTGTAGACTAGGCCAAAACAACACACTAAAATGTATCCTTAATAGAGCGCAGGTTGCAATCCCTACATGAGAATATGAGATAATGACAACTGTGGGTCTAGTGCGAAGACCAAACAATTAATTGCGTCGACTTGTAAGCAATCGTTATGCGTTGGACCCGTGTCCAGCATGCTTGCTGGACACGGGTAACAGTGCCGTTAGGCACTGTTATCTCCTTTTTTTTTTTTTTTTTTTTTTTAAATTTCAGACCGCTTCATTGTAAGAGTATATGTTCATAATTTTATTACTATATGTTAATAACTATACATTCATAACTCCATAACTGTACGTTCATAACTCTATAACTGTACATTCATAACTCCATAACTGTACATTCATAACTCCATAACTGTACATTTATAACTCCATAATTGTACATTCATAATTTTCGAAGCTCTATGTTCACAATTTTAGAGCTCTATGTTCATAATTTTATCACTATATGTTCATAATTGTAAGTTCATAATGTTAGAGCTCTTTGTTCATAATTTGATCAATAACTGTACATTCATAATTCCATACCGTAGATTCATAATCTCATAACTGTAGATTCATAACTCCATAACTGTAGATTCATAACTCTATAACTGTACATTCATAACTCCATAACTGTACATTCATAATCTTCGAAGCTCTATATTCACAATTTTAAAGCTCCATGGTCATAATTTTATCACTATATATGTTCATAATTGTAAGTTCATAATGTTAGAGCTCTGTGTTCATAATTTCATAATTGCATAACTGTATATGTTCATAATGTTAGAGCTCTGTGTTCATAATTTCATAATTGCATAACTGTATATTCATAACGGCATAACTGTACATTCATAACGGCATAACTGTATATTCATAATCCAAAAAAAAAAAAATAATGCCGTTAACGGCAAAACACGCGCGATTTTTTTTTTTTTAAACTAAATGACGCGTTTTTTTTTAAAAACGACGTCGTTTTGGGCCCGTGTCCACAATTCAATGTGGACACGGGTCCAGGGCATAATTTGCCACTTGTAAGTGGGAAGTCTTTGTTGTCCATTGTAAAAAACAAGTATAGGTTAAAATTCCTCTGGTAAGCATTGCTATTATTTATAGGTTAATTTAATTTGTTCGCGATATATGTATATATATATATATATATATATATATATATATATATATATATATATAAGTCCCCCAGAAGTAATTGAGTAGGTAGAACATGATTCTCGTATTGTCTTTTTAGTGTAGTTTATCTCTCTTATATGATTTGCGAGTTATTAAATAAGAGTGAGGTTATTGTGACATAGGTGAACCACTAGGGAAAATTTTAAGGACATTGCCATGACAACAATTTGCAACTTTTTTGGGGTGATGAAAAGAAACATTCAGTTACTGTATATAAGGATGTGCATTGACCCGCTCCTGTGTATTTGCAAGAATTAATAACTTTTGAGTACAAGAATCATGATCCACTCACCCTGGTCGTTAACTTTCTTTTAATCTTACTGCATATTGGTGATGGAATTGATTTACGAGACAAGTTGGCTTCTTCAAAGTACTAAAGTAGATAGAAGGAATTAGGCAAATTATGTTGTGCATCCGTATGCACCATGCATGGTGCATACGGATGCAAAAACGACGTCGTTTTAATAAAACGCGCGTCTCCCCTTAAAAAAAAAATCAGGTTCGATTCCCAGCAACAACATATGAACTAAAATTTCATAATCGATGAACTATAATTCCATAATCTAATCTATGAACTAAAAATTCCAGAATGAATAAACTAAAATTCCATAATCTATAAATTAAAATTTCAGAATCGATGAACTACAATTCCATAATCGATGAACTATAATTCCATAATCAATGAACTATAATTCCATAATCTATGAACTAAAATTCCAAAATGAATGAACAATATAATGTTATTGCTGGGAATCGAACCTGAATTTTTTTTTAAAGAAGAAATGCGCGTTTTTTAATAAAACGGCGCCGTTTTGGCATCCGTAGGTGCATATGGATGCACAGCATAACGATTGAAGGAATTAAGTTGGATGTGGCAGATGGAATGCAGTTAATGTAGGGCGTGGACTTGCAAGTCTTCGGACTAGCTTGGTGGCAATTTATTGTGTGGACCATGTTGATACCGCCTAAGTGTAAAGTGTTGATTACTTTGTTGGTAATTAAAACTTCAAATAATCTCATTCACCGCATTTAATTAAGGATTTATTTGGATAAGTAAATAAATTTTAGCAAGTCTGATCTCATTCACCGCATTAGAGCGGGGACTGGCAAGTCTTCCCATCCACTTGCACGTTACGTTCATGGTTAGAGCGGATGAACGCCTCATGTGCAATTGTGTGGTTTAATATGAGCTATTTATCTCACTTAAATCAACGTCTAAGATTATCAAAATTAAAAAAAAATGCGGTGGTAATTTTGTAATTTTTGCATCTATGTCAAAATTAAGGTGAGTGATTTTGTGATTAACGTGCGTGAGTTTTGTATATAAAGTGCGTGAGCCTTGTGCGTAAGGTGCGTGAGTTTTGTGATTAAGGTGCGTGGGTTTGTGTTTAATATGAGTAATTGTTAAAACTTAAAGTGTGAGCTTTTGTGTTTAAGGTGCGTGAGATTTGTTCTTAATATGCGTGGGGTTTGTGTTTAAGGTGCGTGGGGTTAGTGATTAATGTCAGTAGCTGTTAAAACTTAAAGTGTGGGCTTTTGTGCTTAAGTTGCGTGGAATTTGTTCTTAATATGCGTTGAGTTTGTGCTTAATGTGCGTGGGGTTTGTGCTTAAGGTGCGGGCGTGGGGTTAGTGATTAAGGTCTGTGAGTTAATACTTAAAGTGCGTCAGTTTAATGCTTAATATGCGTGAGGTTTGTGCTTAATGTGCGTGAGTTTTGTACTTAATGTGCGTGAGTTTGTGCTTAATATAATGTGGGACATTTTAAAATCTTAAGTGTACTGTGTGAGTTTTATGCTCAATGTGCTTTGTTTCTGTACTTAATGTGCATAATTTTTGTACTTGTGAGTGATTTGTGTTCTTAAGGTGCTTTGTTTGTGGACTTAAGGTGCGTGGTGACTTGTGTATTTAAAGTGCGCAATATTAATGCTTAAGGTGCGTCCAACCGCACAACCGCACATGATTCCTTCTGGTGCTTCCCGTGCGGTTGTGCGGGTGGACTACATTAAGTATTACACTGATGCACTTTAAGTACACAACAGACGTACATTAAACACACAAACAAAATACCTTCAGAACACAAACCCACGCACCTTAAGTACACACTGCCCCAATCCAGACCTTCTAGCATCTTGGGCATTTTTCATATATAAGTTTCCAATGGAATTCGAACTCTACACTGCCTCTCCAGTCATGACTTTTAAATCAAACGACGAACTAACTACACCATAGTAGATAAAAGAATAGGGAGTTGTAATTTTTGCTCAATATATATGATAATTACTTATTATTTTGATCATATCTCACCATAGATAGAAATAATCAAATTGTTTGATTTCTCTCCGTTAAAAAGCTTAACTTGAAGGGTTACAACTTTTGTGAAGACTATTAAGTCTAATTTTGATATTATGAAGGTCAAAAATACAAGAAAAAAGTTCTATTCACGATGACCCGGTGTTCCTTGGGGCATTCATTACTCGCCTGGATCTTCAACTTCCAGAGCACATTGGACAAGGATGAAAGAATGGTCATCCCATTGCCTGTTCTTGAATACTTTAATTGTCCTTTTTTTTTAGGTGTAAAATTTAATTGTCCTTTATTTAACCATGATTTGAGAGTTTTTTTTTTTTTAATGGTTTGAACTCTTCAACGAACCTTATCTATTTCTCACATTTGCATTTATATTTTTAGCTAAGGCTTAGATTTAGCTAACAGAGGAATGCTAAATATAGTGCTAACCGTGTTATTCATTATCTCTTGTGTTTATGATTGATGAGGACGATTTTTACGCATCCATCAAGTATCAAATTACAGTATAGAGTTTAGATATCGTTCTACTGGAGATGGCTCTTGTAATGTTAGGAATTGATGTAAAGTGGAGTTAAGCACAAGCTAAAACTGCCATTTTAGAAGCTAGACCTATCGATAAGGAGTTGGTTTGATATGATTAAGCTAATAACAAATAAGACAAGTAAAACAAAGGACCGGGACTTGGTTGATTCAAGCTAAGATGCCAAATATTGTACTCAAGATTAGGGAATTAAACAAGGCATAGGGTAAGTGAGATGCACAAAAGTGTCCAAATACCACTCTCGTAGCTATTTGGACTTGCAACCTAACCTTAAACTCCACTCTCGTGGCAATTCAACCCAAGGTTGCCCAAGCAAGAACACAAGGCATAAATTCTACTTAATACCCGAAATACTCTCGTATTGGACATTAAGTGTGTGAATGTGTGGCTAGTATACAAGTTCTACTCTCGTAGCAACAAACACACTCCAAATCAAGCATATAATTGGGATCCAACAATCATACACAAATTTCTCAACAAACCCATTTCACACAACAACCCTAGATCACCCAAATAATCCCCTTTATGCAATACAACTCAAATAGGCATCAATAACAAGAAATCAAACCAAATCCTAGTCCCAAAACACTTAGCTACTCATAATATAACAAAAGATACACAATATTGAAAGAGTAATTGAAAGCATAGATGAAAAGTAAAGAGAAGAGATAAAAAGAACACTTCTCTATTGAAGCCTTAAAATCCAAGATTTGCAATGTTCTTGAGCTTGGAAATGGAAAGAAACAATCAATCTACACCTATATAAGCTATTCTAAAGTTAACCCTAGCTATGGAGTGAAAAAGAAATGAAAAGTGTGTTTTTGGTGTGAAAAAATCCTCTTTTAAAGGGTAAAATCGGAGCTGTCAAGTGTTGCAGACGCTGGCCACGGGTGTGGCTTCACTGGTGGCCAGAAATGCAAGGCACACTGCCCAGTGGCCACGGCCGTGGCCACACCCGTGGCCACAAGCAGTGTGCACTGCTTGTGCACTGAGTTCGTCTTCTAGGCTATTTTTCACCCCCAAAAACTTTGAATTAGAATTTCTTGTCTTCATCAAAGTTGTAGCCCTTGAAGTTAGCTTTCCAATGATTTAAAATTCACTTGATTTGGACACTCCTAGACCGAGATATGATCAAAATACGGAGACAGCGTCAATCTGGGCGAGAAATGTCACCTTACTATCTTTTGCTTTGCCTTTGCATTGAATTGCCTATATCATCAAGACCACTAAGTCACAAATATTTGGCACATGGAAGAGTGTTGTTCAATCTTCTTTTCTTCATTTTTCCTCACAAAAATATCTTCATGCTATGATGACTTGAAATCTTGATCAAATAACTCAATGTTTGGCTCAAAACATCATTTTCTTATCAAATCACCTAAGCACAAACAATCATTCCATAAGTTATCAAATTGGCTCCATAATATAATGATTAACCAGTAAAAATACCAAAATGTGCAAGGAAAAAGCATTAATTTTAGACATTCATCAATGATTTATCTCTTCTCTGTGTTTACAATATAGTATAAGAATAGCGGTGATTGAAAATTAAATGTAAAAGTGTAAAATACTATTGTAGAAGAAGGTTATGTTGAGTCCTAAGGTTTGAATTATAGTTATAGATCAGAATTAGTGCGTTCTTCCATTATTGTTATTTTTGGCACTTAAATACGTCTTTTGTTTGTTGTAACAACTAGAAACTCTTCTGCTCTGTCCCTTAATTGTTTTACAACATGCATCCACTGAGACGTGAAACTCAAAACTTTCCAAATGGAAGTTCAATCCAGGTACCATTAGACCACAAAGTCTTGGTGTTGCAAGAATAAGTTCCATTAATTAGCTATTTATTTAAATTTGATGGTGTGAAAGTGTGATTTATTTTTCAAAGTGAGAGAGTATTGCAAGATTAAGGTTAACTGTTCCTTAATTGTTTTACAACATGCTTCTCCTTCTCCTTCTTCTCCTCCTTCTTCTTCTTCTCCTTCTTTTTCTTCTTCTTATGTGTTGGAATATCCTCGTCATCAAAATATTGTGATGTGGCATTCCAATCACTTTACCATGTTAAAGTTACGTCATAAAATGTGTTTTCGAAAATGTTACGGAGTGCGTATAATTTTTCTACTTACCTGAATGTTAAAGTTAAAAGTACAACATAATCAAAGAAACTTAACTTGTTATTTAAGAGTTGAACATAGTGTTGTATGACATTTTAGTAATTTTCCAAAAACCAGTAGATAGCAAAATAAAGACTCGGTCAATAATGCATTAATTACGGAAAATACTACGTGTACACACACTGTATAGTGTATACTCCCTAATTGATGCATGTTAGTGACTCTTCAGAGAATGGTAGAATTTTCTGCACGTAAACTAAACGGCAGTGCGTAGCGTATTGAAAGTGGAGCGTGGACTAGGACTAACTAGGAAACTGCAAAGTCTTCGTCCTCGTCCCTATTTTCTCACAATTTCGCAAAGAAAGCTTACCCCAGTAACCATCAGATCATATTCAGTCCATTAGATCTAAAGAATATAATTTGTAAGCCATATATGGCAGCTTCCTTCTTGGCCTTCCTATTCCTTTTGTTACCCTCTTTAGTCTGTTCACTATCGTTTGATCTGCCAAGAATTGGTCCTGAGGATAAAGATGTGCACATTAAAGTGGAAGGAAACGCAACCATCACAAACCGTGGCATCCAACTCACACCAGATTCGAATAACAAAGTCGGTCGAGCCAAGTATGTTGAATTGTTCCACCTATGGGATAAGGCTTCTGGAGGTTTAGCCGATTTCACCACCCATTTCACTTTCAACATCGACTCAAATGGCAGCTCTCACTATGCTGATGGGATGGCCTTTTTCATGGCTAATTTTACCACCCCATTCGATTTATATCTGACAAATGGCGGCGGCCTTGGCCTAATGGATCCCTATAAACCATCTCCGGATCATTTCCTTGCTGTGGTGTTCGATACGTTCTCAAACGAGGAGACTATGTCAATGACAAATGTAAGTATCATCATTGATTCTGTACAAGAACCCCAGGAGAGCACAGTGTGGTGGAACAACGTAACACTTGGGAAGAATAACAATGCTTCCATAACTTATAATGCTGCTTCCCAGATTCTTCAAGTTGTTTTTACAGGATTCTGGGATGGCCAGTACTTGACAGGCAACCTTAGCCATAAGGTTGATCTCAGGTACTTGCCCGAATTCGTTAATGTTGGCTTCTCAGGTTCAACAGGAATTTTGTCTGAGGAAAACACTGTAAGCTCTTGGCGTTTCAATTCCACTCCACCCAGGTCGTTCGGTAGTTTATCTCGTTCCCCAGCTCCGAGTCCAAGTCCAATTCCTGAAGAAGAGAAGAACAAGAAAGGCCTACTAGTGATAGGATTGAGTATTGGTGTTCCAACTTTAGTTGCTCTCTTGGCTTTACCCATCATCTATACTTGTCTTAAGAAGAGACGGGCAGTGAAAGGGAACAATCATGAGTCTTTTCCAGCTCAGGACATGGATACTGAATTCCAAATGGTTAGCACTGGTCCTAAAAAGTTCTCATACACTGAATTGGAGACTGCAACTAACAACTTTGCATATGAGTATAAGCTTGGAGAAGGGGGGTTTGGAGGGGTTTATAGAGGTTTCTTAAGGAGCCTAAACTTGGAGGTGGCTGTCAAGAGGGTCTCAAGTGGGTCTAAACAGGGGATTATGGAATATGCATCAGAAGTAAAGATCATCAGTCGATTGAGACATAGAAATTTGGTACCACTCCACGGTTGGTGTCACGAGAAAGGTGAGTTGTTGCTTGTTTATGAATACATGCCTCAAGGCAGTTTATACTCCCATCTCTTCAATACAAACTCACCTTTGAATTGGGAGATCAGGTATAGAATTGCACAAGGCTTGGCCTCAGCTTTGTTCTATCTTCACGAAGAGTGGGAACAATGTGTGTTGCACAGGGACATTAAGTCCAGCAATGTCCTGTTGGATTCGTGCTTCAATGCTAAACTAGGCGATTTTGGGTTAGCCTGGCTTGTTGACCATGAAAAACCACCCGAAAAAACCTTAGTTGGAGGGACACTAGGGTATGTCGCCCCAGAATGTTATTTCACATTAAAGACTACCAAAGAGTCAGATGTGTATAGTTTTGGAATTGTCGCATTAGAAATTGCATGTGGACAAAGAGCAATAATTTCGTTAGATGAACCAGGAGGTTTCAAAAGGTTGGTGGAATGGGTTTGGGATTTGTATGGAATGGGAAAGGTAATGGAAGCTGCAGATCCTAAGCTATGCGGAAACTTTGAGAGGCAAGAAATGGAACAATTAATGATGATCGGGCTATGGTGTGCTCATCCTGATAGTAAATTTCGACCAAAAATAAGTCAAGCTTTACATGGTCTTCAATTCCAAGTACAGGTGCCCACCCTTCCATCAGAAATGCCAGTTTACTCAACTTCTTATAATGTGCCATCCTTTTCATGCTTGAGTTCACAGATATTTGAGGGCTATACGAGTCCCAGCAGCAATAACAGTTATCCCTCGCATGTAACTTCATATTCAACCCCGGATGCGTCACATAATCCTACACACTGATAGCACCAACCTTCTTGGCTTCCCTATCTTAATTCCAAACAAAAACATCATGTACTGTATGTGTCTGATAAAGATATATTTATGTGTGCTTGCTAAAAAGTCATTGTCCATGTTGTTGTCTCTCTTGTATATATCTCTTCTTTGTGATTACAATAAAGTTGTACTCCGTATAAGAAAAGAGGTGATTGAAAATGTATGAGTGTGAGATACTATTGTAGAAGGTTATGTTGACATGTTATAACAATTGGTGTGTTTCTTCCATTGGTATTTTTTGGCGCTTAAATATATATTTTATTTGTTGTAACAACTAAAAACTCTTGTGTCAAACAGCGGAATAGTCGACTCCAAATTCATTGCGCACAAGGAGTCCCTTATTGGTGAGACTCAATTATTAATTAATCTTTTGTGACAAATTTCACATCTGCAACTAGTTGAGCTACTCTTGCAGATCAGACAACAACTAAAAATTCTTGCTATTTATGTATTTATATCTTGTATTAGTTGCTTTACATTGTTAACCTGCTGTTTTCGAACAAATTATAATTTTTTCACTTACCAGTTAAAAGTACAATGTATAAAAGAAGCATAATTTATTTAAATGACCGACATAGTGTATGACATTTTAAGAATTTTCCAAAAAGCACTAGCTAGCAAAATAAAGACTTGGTCAATGCATTATGAACATGTTTTCTGCAACTTGAGATAATGATGTTAGTGACTCTTCAATGTAGAAAGGTTTATGCACGTAAACTAAACGGCAGAGCGTGGACTAGGAAAGTCTTCCCACCTAACTAAATGTTGAATTGTTGGTGGGGGAAATTATTTCTTGACAAAAACTACTACCAAATTCTCTCATAGATTATTTCTTTATCCGACCAATTATGTTAGCGTCAATGACGACCGGCCAAAAGTCGTAAGAGCAACAATTATATTTTAATTTAAAAGTATTATATTTTTCATTAAAAATTTTACATTTTTCTACATAAATAATAATTAATTTATTAATGATTAGTATTACACTTTTCATAATAAGTATCACACTTGTTCTCATAAATAACAATCAATCAATTTATTCATAATTAGTATTACAATTTTTCTCATAAATAACTAAAATAGCACTCGTTAGAAGTGTCACTCAAAATTTAAAAATTACAAGAGCATGCCCTGCAAATATTTTCCTTCCCCATTTCAATATTGCTACTCAAGATGAAAATTAAATTGCACGCCTAAAGTAGTTAGTAGAGCAATTATCAAATCAGATTCTTTATTGACACATCTTGTAGATAACTTCTGTACCTGTAGTTATCATAATATGTGTCAGCAATTATCAAGTTATTTGTTTACATATAGAGAAACTGTTAACTGTACATAATGCATTAAGTATTAACTGAAGATACAAAATTTTTGAATCAGAATTATATTCACAATACAATATGAACCCTCGTCCATGGTATAACAATTGTTGTTTATAAATATAGGCTTTTAAGTTTTATTCTACTCTTCTACTCAACCTACTAAAACACAAAGAATCAATACCGTAAGAATTACCCACAACCTCTCAAAGCACTTAGCGCCACTACACCACAAGTTTTTAGCGGTCCGTCTTCTTTAATTTGTTTCCAAATGAGGATTGGTTCAGCGTCCCTTGTGTAATCTTAGCTTTGTCAATTACGTCCTTAAAGCTTGGGATTCACAACAGATTTAAAGAGTAAAGGTAGCGCAAGTTCACACGTAGTAGTGGTTCTTTATTGCATATATATATATATATATATATATATATATAGGGAAGGGATCAGGTACATTTGTTACTTTCCGTGCGGTGGATTAATGTGCGTGAGGTTTATACCTAGTATGCGTGAGTGTTATGCTCAATATGCTTGAGATTTGTACTTAATGTGCGTCATGTTAATATGCGTGAGTTTTGTACTTAATGTGTCAGAGTATTGTACTTAATATGCGTGAGATTTGTGCTTAATGTGCGTGAGTAATAAGAGAATTTTCAACAATTTGGAATTGAAGCAAACAACAGAAGTTCCAGATTCTCGCACCAAGATCGGTCTACATAGACCATTGATAAGGATAGAATTTGTGTATTCACTTTGGGAAGCTTTTATTTCATTGTAAACATCAGTAAAGCAGAGCAACACACTATTATATGTCGTTATTGAAACTTGAAGATTCAAATCTTTCATCTTGGATAGAACGAAAAGAACATCAGCAACCATCTCAGATGTCGAATAAGCACAGGCCAGCATATTCCATACCACATTATGAGCAACCCAATAATCGAAATTATTCTGAAGCAACTCACAGAGTGCAGGTACTGGGGATGGGGAAGAAGCTGATATCCATATTTTCTGCTGCATTTTACACATTCATGCACATTAAGTACAAATCTCAGGCACATTAGACACAACACTCACGCACATTGAGTACAAATCTCACGCACATTAATAACCGCACAATCGCACGGGAAGCATCCAACCGCACGGGAACCTTTCACTATATATATATATATATATATATATATATATATATATATATATATATATATACATAATAATTAGCAAGTTGCAATACGGTGCCATAACAGATTAACAGTACACTTGGTGAGGCAATGAATCCAATATTTACCGTAGTAGGGTAGCAGTTGTTGTAACATGTCTTGGTTTCATAACTTATACATACTAACTTATTAAAGAGTTACCCAATTTGTAAGGACACTGGGCTGGCGTTAATTTGCCACAATGCAACTTGTAATGTTCTGATGTAACCACAAGATTACAAGTTCAACTATCAATAAAGTGATCGAATTGTTAACTTTTTTGGTTTAAATTGCTCAGGTATAAGCATCATAAACTAGTTTATTTCATTGTGATCTTTCATCCGCTAGAATCATAAAGTAGAATTTACGTAATACACACCATCGAATAATAGCCGTAGCTTTCGTCATCAAAAATTTAAAAAATAAAAAATAAAAATCAACGAGACTAGGTATTGGGCTTCTTCAAAGTAGAATTGAATTGAATGTAGAGCGTGGAGTAGCAAGTTGCATATATGTTACGACGTACATACGTTGAGTCCAAGGCGAGAGCAACTATTTATTAGGATACATCTATCTATCTATCTATCTATCTATCTCAGCTCGATCGTGGCAATTGGATTCCACTTCAATTCTTCACCCAGGTCGATCGACGGGCAGTACTTACTGTTTCTTTCTCCAAATCCTCTTCAAAAAGTAAAGAACAATTAAGTTGAAAAGAGAAATGATGATAGGAATATATATTGGTATCCCCGTTGTAGCTGCATGTTAAAGTTAAAATTACAATAATGTATAAAAGAAGCATAATTTATTTAAATGTCCGACATCGTGTATGACATTTTAAGAATTTTCCAAAAAGCACTAGCTAGCAAAATAAATACTTGGTCAATGCATTATGAACATGTTTTCTGCAACTTGAGATAATGATGTTAGTGACTCTTCAATGTAGAAAGGTTTATGCACGTAAACTAAACGGCAGAGCGTGGACTAGGAAAGTCTTCCCACCTAACTAAATGTTGAATTGTTGGTGGGGGAAATTATTTCTTGACAAAAACTACTATCAAATTCTCTCATAGATTCTATTCCTTTATCTGATCGACCAATTATGTTAGCGTCAATGACCAGCCAAAAGTCGTAAGACCAACAATTATATTTTAATTTAAAAGTATTATATTTTTCATTAAAAATTTCACATTTTCCCTCATAAATAACAATCAATTTATTAATGATTAGTATTACACTTTTTATAATAAGTATCACACTTTTTCTCATAAATAACAATCAATCAATTTATTCATTTAGTATTATAATTTTTCACATAAATAACTAAAACAGCACTCGTCAGAAGCGTCACTCAAAATTTAAAAATTATTACAAGAGTATGTCCTGCAAATATTTTCCTTCCCCGTTTCAATATTGCTACTCAAGATGAAAATTAAATTGCACGCCTAAAGTAGTTACTAGAGCAATTATCAAATCAGATTCTGTATTGACACATTCTGTAGATAGCTTTTGTATCTGTAGTGTTATGTACGCAAGAATACATGAAGAAGGAGAAAAATATATTAATGGTGTATATTAACTTGCAGTGTAGTAAGGATTACATGGCATATATACAACTACATTCTAACGGTAAAAAATAATAGAAAAGGTAGAAATGCATGTAATTAGGCTATTTACCTAAAAAGCTACATTAATAATATGGAAATAATATAACTAAATATATACATAATTAATATAGCAAATATTCTTCTACACTCCCCCTCAAGCTCAAGGGTGGTACATGAGCTTGGAAGTGATGGCGTCGAACGGTTGAGGAAGGAGGCTCTTCGTAAATATGTCGGCTAGTTGTTGATTAGATGGAACGAAAGTAGTGCGTAGTGTGCCGTCATTAATTTTCTCTCGTACGAAATGACAGTCGATTTCCACTTGATTGTCACAATGCAATTGTGCAGGATGAACTGGTATATCTAATTCTGATAGGAGTAATTGAAGCCAAGTGATTTCACTAGCTGCATAGGCCATGGCACGATATTCAGCTTCAGCAGAGGATCGTGATACTGTTGTTTGCTTCTTTGTTCGCCAGGATAGGGGACTTGTTCCTAGAAAAGTGCAGTATCCCGTAGTTGAGCGTCGTGTGGTTGGACATGAAGCCCAATCAGCATCACAATAGGCATGTAACTTTAAAGAACTATGTGTAGATAAAAGAATGCCAAGATCTGGTGAATTTTTGAGATAACGCACGACCCTAAGCGCGGCTTGCCAATGCATGTCACGTGGTGCTGACATGAATTGCGAAAGGAGATTAACTGCATAAGTGATGTCTGGCCGAGTGACTGTGAGGTAGAGCAAGCGACCGACGAGTCGTCTATATGTGGAAGGGTCTGCAAGAAGTTCACCTGTGTTATGAGTGAGTTGGTGACTAACCTCTATAGGAGTTGAGGCGGGTTTACAAGCCAACATTCCTGTATCTGAGAGAATTTCAAGGGCATATTTCCTTTGATTTAAAAAAAATTCCAGCAGAGGAACGTGCAACTTCTATCCCAAGGAAATACTTCAATGATCCCAAGTCCTTTAGTTGAAATTGATGCGCTAGGTACTACTTGAGGATAGTAATGATGGTTGGGTCATTACCTGTGATAACAATATCATCAACATAAACAAGCAAAATAGTTAAAAATTTTTCACGTTTGTAAGTGAACATGGAATAATCTGCTTTAGATTGTACAAAACCAGCGTTGGTGAGGGATGTGGAAAAAGTCGTGAACCATGACCGTGATGCTTGTTTGAGCCCATAAAGAGATTTGTGGAGACGACAAACACGATTCTCCCCCTTTCGCCTAAAACCTGGAGGGACTTGCATATAGACTTCTTCATGAAGTGTTCCGTGAAGGAAAGCATTAGAGACGTCAAGTTGATGAGTAGCCCATCCTCGTACGGCTGCGATGCTAAGAACTGTACGGACTGTGACAAGCTTTGTGACAGGAGCAAAGACATCGGTGAAATCAAATCCTTCTAGTTGAGAGTATCCTTTTGCTACCAATCGGGCTTTGTATCGTTCAACAGAACCATCAGGTTTGTATTTGATACGGTAAACCCATCGACATCCAATAGCGGACTTACCAGGCGGTAGAGTTGTTAATGACCAAGTATTGTTAGCTTCTAGAGCATGTATTTCTTCTTGCATAGCTTTTTTCCACTTAGGGTCAGTTTGTGCAGCAGAGAAAGAGGATGGCTCAGATTCTTTGGTGATATTGTTGATAAAGCAAATGTGATTGGGATTGTATGCTTTAGAGTCAAGAAAATGAGAAATGGGATATTGTGGCGTTGTAGACACATTGCATATGTAGCTAGAAAGGTAACTGGGAGGTTTATGTTGCCTTTGAGATCGTCGAAGGGAGTTTGGTGGTGGTGGTGGTGGAGAATTGGAGCACGGTTGTGCATGTATGGGTGAGTTAGTTATGGAATGATTGCTTTCAGGAAAAGGTGTTTCTAGAACAACAGGCATATTTGTGGTTTGTGCTTCAATGGGTGGTATAGGTAGTGTCAATATAGGGTTGAGAGTTGCTTGCGTAGCTAAAGTAGGTTCATATTTAAAAGGAAAAATATTCTCATAAAAAACAACGTCTCGACTCACAAAAACTTTATTAGAGTTAAGGTCATATAGCCTATAGGCCTTTTGACCTTGAGGATAACCAATGAAAATGCAACGTTTTGCTCTAGGATCAAACTTATTAGGGTGATTTTGTATGGTAGATGCATAACATAGGAAACCAAAAGCACGTAAGGTAGTAAAATCAGGGGAATGTCCAAAAAGGACTTCAAAAGGAGTTTTATTTTGCAAAACTGGGGTAGGGGTACGATTGATAAGATAAGTAGCAGTTAAAACACAATCGCCCCAAAATTTAAGGGGCAGTCCTGCTTGAAAGCGCAGAGCACGTGCCACATTGAGAAGATGGCGGTGCTTGCGTTCAACAACCCCATTTTGTTGGGGTGTGCTAGGACAACTGAATTGTTGCAAAATTCCATATTGAAGTAAGATATTTTGAAAATCAATTTTTGTGAACTCAGAACCATTATCAGAACGGAAAGTTTTAACGCATGTATTAAAATGATTCTTAACATATGCTAAGAAACGAATAAGCAACAAAAAAACATCAGATTTGTATTTCATCATAAAAATCCAAGTAGCTCTAGAATAATCATCAACAATAGTTAAAAAATAATGATGTCCAGTCCGAGTAGGAATAGAATACTTACCCCAAATGTCAACATGAATTAAATCAAAACAAGCAGTAGTTGAAGTATGACTGATTGGAAAAGATAAGCGTGTTTGTTTGGACAAATGACAAATATCACAAGGATCTTTAAAATCAGAACAACCTAGTGTAGAAATTAAATGTTTAAAAACTGAATGAGATGGGTGACCAAAACGAGAATGCCATGTATTAGGAGTGATGGTGGTTAATGCAGTGGATTGCGGTGCATCACTAAAGAAATATAAGCCATTGCGTTCATGGCCCCGACCAATCTCCATCTTCGTTGAAAGGTCCTGAAACACGCAATAATTAGGGAAGAAAATGACAGTGCAATTTGAATCTTTTGCCAATTTTTGCACAGATAGCAAGTTAAATTTAAATGTAGGGACATATAAAACATCAGTCAAATTAATATTCGGGGATATACGAGCATGTCCAATACCACATACAGGAATTGCATTACCAGTAGGAACAGATATATTTTTCACAATATTATTATATTTAGGCAACTCAGTAAAAATAGAGAGATTGAAACAAACATGATCAGTAGCACCTGTGTCAATAACCCATTCATTTGAAATATTGAAAATAGAAGTTAAGGCTAGAGACTTACTAACGAGGTTTGCTTTAGGCTCCTTTACCTCCTGTAGCAATCGGATTAATTGTTGAAGTGATTCGGTAGGAATAGGCGAGGTTGACTGGGTCGTCATAGGTTGACTATTAGTATTTCCTTTTTTGTAGAATTTGTGCCCGGGAGGATACCCGTGAAGTTTGTAGCAAACTTGTTGCGTATGACCAAGTGTCCCACAATGAGCACACCGTGGTCGTGCTCGATTGTTACCCGGACGAGATGGGGAGGATGATGCATGCACCCTGTTTGTAGAAGATTGGTTGGCAGCGGCAGTAAATTGAGGCATGGAGGATATATGAGATTGCAACGGGGCTGGTGCATCAATATCAATCCGGGCTGCTTGAAGAGCCGAATGATCCACTTGATGTCCGTAACTTTCGCTCTGTACACGTTGTGATTCATCTTGAAGCAATAATGAGTAAGCATTTTTAACTGTAGGAAGCTTACCATTAAGCAACAGTTGGCTCCGTGGTTGAGCGAAAGTGTCTCGAAGGCCCATGAGAAATTGCATCAGTCGGCGACGCTCCGTTTGTGCAATGTATTCCTTGCGAGCAGAGCATGAACATTTAGGTGGAGGATCCAACAGGTTTAATTCGTCCCAAAGCGCACTCAAATGATTATGATAATCTGCTATGGATGCATCACGTTGGGAAAAGGTTGCTATACGATTTTCAAGTTCATAGATGCGAGGTCCATTCGCGGTAGAAAATCGTTCTTGTAAATCTATCCAAGCGGAGGCAGCGTCGGTGGCATATAGGACAGTGTTAGCCAGTGATGAGTGTATTGAATTGAGGATCCATGACATCACCATGTTGTTCACCCGATGCCAACGAGCGTGATCGGGATGGACAGCATCTGGCATGGGAAGGGATCCGTCAACAAAACAAAATTTGTTGCGCCCTTTAAGGGCCATTGTCATCGCCCGTGCCCACAGATTGTAGTTATCAATGCCGGTGAGAACATTGCTAACGAGCGTGGTGCCCGTGCCATCAGAAGAGTGGAGATAATATGGATTTTCAGCGTCAAAAGGGACGATTACGGGTTGCTGCTGAATGGCAGAACCACTAGCGTTGATGGTAGTTTCATCTGTAGGTGTTGTTGTAGCCATCTTTAGAGACTAGAATGAAGTGCCAAAAGAAATCAACAAAGATGAATAAGCTTTGAAAAATAAAAACCTTCTGATACCATGTTATGTACGCAAGAATACATGAAGAAGGAGAAAAATATATTAATGGTGTATATTAACTTGCAGTGTAGTAAGGATTACATGGCATATATACAACTACATTCTAACGGTAAAAAATAATAGAAAAGGTAGAAATGCATGTAATTAGGCTATTTACCTAAAAAGCTACATTAATAATATGAAAATAATATAACTAAATATATACATAATTAATATAGCAAATATTCTTCTACATGTAGTTATCATAATATGTGTCAACAATTATCAAATTATTTGTTTACATGTAGAGAAACTATTAACTGAAGGTACAAAATTTTTGAATCAGAATTTACAGTACAATATGAACACTCATCCATGGTATAACAATTGTTGTTTATCAATACTGTCAGACTTAAACCCACAATCTCTCAGAGCAACTTGGTGCCACTAGACCACAAGTTCTTTGGCCGTCGGTCTTCTTTAATTTGTTTCCAAACAGGATTGGTTAAGCGTCCCTTGTGTAATCTTAGCTTTGTCAATTACGTCCTTAAGCTTGGGATTCACAACAGATTTAAAGAGTAAAGGTAGCGCAAGTTCACACGTAGTAGTGGTTCTTTATTGCATATATATACATAATAATTAGTGTTGTGGAGTTAATGATAGATTATATTTACATATTTGTATAAAGTGTAGTGTTTTATGATGAGGTGTTAATCAGCAAGTTGCAATACGGTGTCATAACAGTACACTTGGTGAGGCAATGAATCCAGTATTTACCGTAGTAGGGTAGCAGTAGTTGCAACATGTCTTGGTTTCATAACTTATACATACTAACTTATTAAAGAGTTCCCCAATTTGTAAGGACACTGGGCTGGCGTTAATTTGCCACAATGCAACTTGTAATGTTCTGATCTGACCACAAGATTACAAGTTCAACTATCAACAGAGTAAACGGTTAACTTTCTTGGTTTGAATTGCCCAGTTATAAGCATCATAAACTAGTTCATTTCATTGTGATCTTTCGTCCCCTAAAATCACAAAGTGATCGAATTTACTTAATACATACCATCGAATAATAGCTGTAGGTTTCGTCATCATAAATTAAAAAAAAAATAAAGAATAAAAATCAACGAGACTAGGTAGTGGGCTTCTTCAAAGTAGAATTGAAATTGCGGGCGCGTGGAGTAGCAAGTTGCATATATGTTACGACGTACGTTGAGTCGAAGCGGGCAACTATTTATTAGGATACATCTATCTATCTATCTATCTATCTATCTCAGCTCGATCGTGGCAATTGGATTCCACTTCAATTCTTCACCCAGGTCGACAGGTAGTACTTACTGTATCTCTGTCGCCATATCCCTCCAAATCCTCTTCAAAAAGTAAAGAACAATTAAGTTGAAAAGAG